ATGGGGATGAGATACATTTTTTAGGCAACTCGAAATCCCGACGGAGGTTATAAATACGTGAAAAATAAATAATATACGAGGAATAAATATATTAGGGGATGAAATTTTCGACGATTTACGCCGATGGCCGGGACCAACAAGCGGAAGGAAATCTCGAGGAAAAGCGAATCTCTCTGTAAATTCCTTAATCGAAAGATTTATTAAAACCCTCCTCCTTGGCTGCTGGCGAGTTTATGAAAAATACTTTTCCCGCTTAATATAGATATCGGACGTGCTCTCGTTTCTCTCCCTTGATCCTGCCTCCTGGCTTTCTGGATTATTTCTCGCTCCACCGTTGTTAAGAAAATTGTCCCCCAAGAGTACTCGGTAGGAGTGCAGAAGTTACCCTTAGTCATGGCGCAAATTATCGGGCGACAAGAAATTATGTGAAAAAATCCGATAGAGGCACAATTCGTCGGCCTTCCTGAAATTCTGTTTCGTAAAATGGAGGGAATTGAGAGGATTGGGAAAATCGAGAAAATTGAGGGGAAAAAAAATTAGGAAATCGTTTTACCGTTTATTCCTCCTGAACTATGTTTCCATTATTCCCCGTCTCCGTGACGGAACCGGCAATTCCGGTCTGTAATCAACGAATTGCACGACCGTGTCGAGAGATTTCCAAATCGAATGGCAACGGGGCAAGGCTTCAATCCCCGGCTTTGATCTGTTACACGAGGGAACATCCAGGTCATGCTCGCTAAACTTGTACGAGTACAACGTGCATGCACGAGTTCTGCCAATGAATTCGCCCCGCAATTTCGTCTCCGCATCGCATCTCTGTCCTGATGCACTTTGGTCGCCTAAGCCCCTCTCGCTCCGCCTTGACTGTACCCCATGCAGCCCTTTGCACCCCTGGCACCCTAGACTCCCTTGTTCGATCCGATGTGGTCCATTTCCGAAATCTAATGGTTCTCCGATTGGCCGTAGATACCTCTCGGCGATTACGAGTTTATGGACAAGCCGTAAACCAATTTCCCAGATTCGGGACCGGGACTCTAAGAGCGCTCCTCGAACTTGCGTCGTCAGCTCCGATATGCGGCATCTCGCCAGGACGATTTCGAAATCGGAATCCCACGATTTCATCGATTACCAACACGTCAGAGATTTATTAGTTCGTGGGGGATATGCTGAGGGATTTTCAATTTTATAGAAATTCGATGAGAGGTCCGGAGGGCTCAACAAAATGGGGAAATCGAGAGAAACCCCCAGGAAAGTGAAATGGAGATTGTCGATATTACGAAGCGATTTCGAAATTGTAATCTCACAATTTCGATTATCAACGAGAGAGATTGCACTTAGAGAGGTATTTCCAATTTTATAGAAATTTCGATAAGAGGTTTGGGAGGCCAAAAAACGGGGAAATCGAGAAAAGCTCGCAGAGGTGAAGTCCTCGGAAAATGTCCGATCCGTTCCTCTTCTTCCTGAATTATGGGGATTCTCGATATTACGCGAGCGGATAAATCAGGGCGGAATTCCGCCTTCCAGGGTCCGGAATTATCTGGCTATCTATTCGACCCCGCAAATGCGATCTTCGGAGTGGATCTAAGGGAATACGTAACATCCGCGTGCTTATCAGCGTATACGTAACTCGCAGAGGGGATCCTTTTTCGCACTCGTACGCGCCCAATACTCGCATTTGCATATCGATCCGTGTCTATAACAATTTGGGGGACGGATTACGAAACGGCCGAGCCCCGGGGATGCACCCGAGTTATTTACTCCGCCCGCGTATCCTGTAATCTCAGGATTCCCTCCGGAATGTCCTTTCGAAGGAGGCGAGGATCCCAGCATCCAGGAAGGGCGAGTCGCCCAATCAGCTCGATCGATCGGCCATCGATCACTAAACCTCGTCCCCATCGTAAAACATATCCAAAAACATCTCAAACAACCCTATAAATATTAACTACCGAAAAACAATTTTGATAAGTCTCGAGGGACTCTCGTCAAAGGACGACTCTAAATGGCGCGCATGTTTCATCTATAAAAATTACCACTTGCTATCGGAATCCAAAATTCGGCGGAGAAAAATTTCTAACGATACCTAAAGGGTTCCTCGTGAAGTAGAAAAATCAGGAACGATCTCGATGGACGGTGATAGGAGCGAAAAAATGCGAAACTTTTGCGAAATGTTGCGTCGAGTTTCCAGATAATAAGGTCAGCGCGTTGCAAGTGTCGCAGCGTTTGGATTGATCGGATCTGCATATATCGCTCTTTTTCCTGCATAGAGGATCCCGCCTATAAGCGATTCATCTCGGGCCGAGCAGAGCCCTCCTCCTTGTTTATTTTTATCGGATTTTATTCTTAGAGCGACCTCCATCGGGAACCTCCTCGCGGATCGCCGCTCGACATCCTCCGGCCAACCCGTTGCACGCTCGGAAGGTCCTGGGAAAACGAGCCCACGAGGTGCGGGAAAACGATCTGCTTTTCCCCCCGGAAGTGGGAGGGCCATCTCGGGAAGATTCTCCTCCGACCTATGGACCGGATCCGGGGATTGGGCCCTGCGATCTCGTCGAATGCCGCGCAACATCCTGAACGTCCTTCCCTTCTGGAAAAATTTTCATTTCTTATCAAAAAATGAAATTGAATCTCAACACGCCTCGCAAATCGCCCGAATTTTACTCTCTAATAATTTTAATAACGCTTAGAAATATGTATTAAAATTAATCGGTACCTTCCATAGATAGAAATGGTGCAGTCTGGAAAATTGATAACAAGTCCCCAAGTGTAGTCCTTCTCCTTGGTTTCACCTAAGGTGTAGACAAGGCACCTCGCGGGGGGGCTGCATTTCGCGTACCTTAATAGTTTAATATTACGATCGTAAAGCAAATTCATGGTTATTGCCGCGGCACAGTTCCGTGGCATTAAATGAGCCTGAAACGAGAACAAGTTCTGATAAACACGTAGCCCTGTAGTGATAGCGCGTGAAAAATGAACTCGGCGGAACCGCTTCGACCGGGACCAAAAATCTTATCTCTCTTGTTTTTTTCCCCTATTCGTTTACACGGTTCGCTGTTTTTTTTACCCCGGAAAAGGCAATCGAGATTGTGTCTGCGCCACGTGCGTGAAATACCGCCGCATTTTCGATTTCCCCGGTAATTGCCTCCTCGTATCACTAAGCGCGTGCATTTCCGGTCGCGAGGGAAAATAGAGAGCTTTTCCGCCGAGAGGAATGATAAACATTTAGCGCAATAAATCGGACCTTTTCTCATGGTGTACCTTCTCCAAGAAGTTCCTCTTTAATGAATTTATCGAGCCCCTTGCATCCCTCTTCCGCTAGGAAGTGACTTCATTAGCAGCCCCGTGCGATCAGCTGACGAACGGCGACTCGTCGTTATCAACGTTATCACCCAAGCCTCGTCGACCGTTTCAGGGCGCCTTCTGCATCCTCTCCAGCACGTCGATTTATTTACGAATTAATCTTAATTACCTCTGTAACGTCGTTCTTTCCCATGGCCACCAGGAACTGGATTAAAGCCGAGGTCGAGACCAGACGAGGTCTGCATTTATTCCAGATTTTGCACCTGTTAATCCAATAACCCAGAGGGCCAATTAACCAATTTAATAAATGGTACTCGAACAAGGAGGAGTTGCTCCACAGAGCGGGGCTTATAAATGTTCATAAAATGAAAATCCAAAGGAAACGTGAACCGTAGCCCCGCAGCCATTTTATGGATCATCGTTTAAAGGCAATGATTTACGCCCGAATCGTCCTGGAAACGAATGTCCTGGTCTAGATTACCGTGGCTTCCTCTTGGACCCTTTAGGAGGGGAAGTGCGGATGATTAAGGACCCCCACGTTCGGTCTACTTCACCCTCCTCTTCCTGGGGGCGACTAAAAACTCAGATTAAAATCGCCAAGGCCGTTTTTACGGAAAGTTTACCTCGCAGCCGGAAACTAAAAAGATTACACGTAGAGGAGTCCGGATTCGCGAACGCAAAGTCTGAGAGTAAATCTCCGTGTTAAGAATCCTCCCGGTGATGAACTGCTCCAACTTAGCATTGAATTAGAAATTTCATTTTTCTCGATCACCAGATCGAAATGTAAGTTCGGGCCGAGTTCCCTCACGTAGGGAGAGTTTTCATGGGTGACGAGAAAGTCCTCTGGATCCTTAAATCCGTCTTTCGGAATTGTTTAAGGACACTTCATCCATCCCCGGAAAATATGGCGGACAAAACCAGACAAAGTTTCCGTGGCATCTCGGATTACCGAGGGGAGTTTTCGCGAAAGTTTTCCAGGGACGAATGTAAATCCCGCCGGAAATCATGAAAGCCCGGTCTCTCGGCCCCATAATTGCATGCGGAAACGGAATGGTATTATGTCGAGAAATGACAATGGCGAAACGAGGTCCCGTTGACCCGGGTAATGGACTTTCCTCCCTAGAAATGCGAGAAAATTCCGTTTTCGGGAAAATATCCCCGAAAGCCGGTCGCGGCGACATCTATTCACCCCTTATTCGTACTTTTTGCAGGCTCTTCGGACCAACCGATAAGTTATCGCCGGGAAATGGGCCGCCTGCAAGTGACTTTACACCGCGATCAATAAACAGGTGACAAATGCAGGTGGTGCACACCATGCCGAATATTTGTTCGAGCCAGCTAATCGATCGATATGTCCCTGTTCCGCACACCTCTCACCTTAAATTTCGTTTTACAGATTGATTTTAATATCACCCATAAAAAAATATACTCTACAATAGTTATCTATTTTCTTCCTACTTTCGATTGCCATTACTTGAGATTAAGACGAATCGTACATCGCACAAGGTTTAAATGGGTGAAATCTCGGTCCAGAATTAACTTACAGGTGTGTATATTATGCATTAGAGTTAAAATTAAAAAAAAAAGTATTAGTTCGCTTCGGAAGGTACATGTAGAGCGATTTGAATCGCGCGCCCTGGCGTTACCAGTCACGTGATACCCAGAAGGCATTGCGCCATCTTCAGGTGGTGCCAACTTGCGTCGCCATATTTCTGGCCGCCGCAATGTTCGTTTCGTGTCGCGTTAGTGAATCAATCAATCCGTAAATGCCGTAAACCTCTACGAGTTTGATACCAGTGAGTACCAGATTATTTTCTACTAGTTGTAGGTTAGACTTAAGCGTTATCAAGGCGAGCGTCGTCGTTATCGAGGAAGGGAGTCCAGTCCGACGACGGGGTGCCAGGGATCGAAACCGATCCGCTCGTTCCGGGCTATGGAGATGAGAGGTGTCCCTAGTCTTTCCCAAAATCGATAACCTCTCCTTTAAGCCCGGCTCTCGAGAACCGATGCTACAGATTTTCCGCAATTCTTGTAAACGGACGATCTTCCAAGCACGCGCACTCTACGACGCGAATCGCGCTATTCGCAGTGCCACTGTGAACTCTTACCATGCTCGTACTTTCATTTCTACATATTTGAAGCAATGCTATTACATTGTCTGTTAACCGTGTACAAATTAATACGCTAAGCTCCTTACTGAGAGGAAATTCACTCTTTAGAAGGGTCTTGACGATCCCTGTTTGGTTGCGAATCTATGCCGATGGCTGTACCGAGTTGCCATTAATTAATTGGCGTTGCAATATGGCATATGTATTGACCCCATGTGTTCAATACTGAATTACCATTGTATTACTTTAGCTCTTTCATGATGGAGCGAAGGGTGCAAAAGCATTCGTTTGATATTTTGAATTACTTTCCAATCTATTGTAAGCGTAACTGTAGATAACGTTTGCTTCTCTATGTAATCGTTTTCTTGGAGAGAAAGAGGGAAAGTGATTATATCGATGACTTGGGAGAAATGTTTTTAGAGGTGAAGAGCAAATTTATATCTAAGAACCGTAAATGGAAACCGTTACATTTTAACTGCTCTTATCGAATAAGTATGAATACGATAGTCTTTTGAATGCTCGATAAGAATTATAGAAAAATTTTCAATATCTTAATAAGTCCTGGTGAAAACTTGTTTTCATTGCTAAACGTTGACTCATTATACCGATTCATGCAATGCCAGAACATGTGCATTTGCTGGGATTATAGTCGTACAATTATGTGTGATTCCCCTATGCCATTTATGAACGTTAACAAATGCCGTAATGCAAAACTCCCTGTAGCAAATGCTATGATGTCAAAAAAATTGTTTACTCAAGTGCGCTTATATCTTGAATCTGTTATACACTGGAATCATTATACGTTGTGTGTATTATGATTTTATATTTCAAAATCATCTATCGAAGTTCGTAAGAGTATTGACTTTTACGATTAAACTTGTCTTTGTGAGATTTTATGACATGTCCGAAGATGTTTCAAACATCTGGCTTTTTTAATCTACGATATATTTCCTGGTGTACATTTCCTTGCGAATATTCTTAATCATCGAAGCAATTATTTTCAAGCGCAGCATTTGGTGCCATTTTTACACCATAGAGTTAGAATTAGAAACAACAATTGGTGTTTCTTTTATTTTCAATTACCCTTATCGTCGTATTGGTACATTAGGATTTTCAGTCGAAAAGGAAGTATCGCACTTCTTCGCAATTTGCCAAATATTTACTATATATAATCTACATTACATACACATATTTAAGCTTATTACGTCCCACACTTTATGTTTTGCGCGATCCATAAATTATACTATTTATTCCCGAAGCCTTATTTTGTGATTCATTATTTATACCAATGTCAATGTATTCCGAGACAATGATTTTTCACAAACATTACCAATTTAAATTACATTTACCGATTAACCTTTTACATTAGGGTGAGTGTCCAATGATTTGAATATGCATACTGCGTGCAAAACTAGCAACCAACTTCTGGTGCGATCTATCATGACTATACCGAATAAAATTTGTACGTCTTACTAGGTACCGCAATCTTACAATAAACATTTTCTCTGAACATGAAATAGCGTCCGAACGGACAGCAGCCCTTAAAAAGTCAACGACATGTGCTAACTAGCAAACTGTACGCTAGTCTGAGAAAGGGTTTTAAAAATGCAAAACTGGAACCAATGGCAGTTACCACCAAGTACCGTCACAACTTCAATGCCTCAACCACCAGTGGGTTACAGTACCCCTGGGACGGACCCCATGGCAATTATGCAGGCTTACATGCAATACTACAGTCAACCAGTAAGTATAATTACATATCAGCCCTTCTCTAAAAATTCCGTAAAGAGATAGCGTAACGTGTACTAACCTCAAAATTAATTCGATGATTAAAAAAGGAAATGAATCATTACGGTAACTGGTAATACGCACCATTTTTATGAAAAACATGTATACCGGATTACCTTTTGAATTTGTTCCTACTCTCTTTTAAAGTGTAGTAACTTTTAATGTAGTAAAAGGCAGAAATTACCTCCAAAAAAATGGCATATTAAGAATCAGAATATTTTTTCAATGTGTCGATTACAAGGCAGTGCTTGCATTTTGCTTAGGCACCCAGTGGATATACTCAGGAGCAGTGGGCTACGGCTCAACAGCAAAACTGGACTCAGTGGCAACAGTGGCAACAACAATTTCAACAATGGCAAGCTCAGTACGGGGAGAAGGTACGACTCGAAGACTACCACTTTCTTTGGGAATGTTTAAAAAAAATAAAGTGGATTTAAATCGTTACCATTCTCCCTGGAAATTCTATCAGTTACTCTTTGGTTCTCTCTTTCAACACTCGGCACTTCTACATCTCGGAGAAGCAACCTACAACGAGCAAATGAAAATTGAAAAGAGCATCCCCTTTCTTTTCTTCTCCTATTTTTGCTGTTTAACAAGACTAGAGTCTGTGCACTTGAACCTGGAATGCTTTATAATTGTGCCCTTCGAGTAACTTCACAGTGTCGAGTAGTCGATTGAATAAGTCCTGCATGCCTGTAGTAATGAAAATATCTGAGGAACCTTTCGATTTTGTTCCAGTACCATGAGACAATGAAGCAGTTTTCCGCTCAGAATATGCCAAACGTAGCCAGTCAGGCACCGCCGTTGCCCAATGTACAACCCCCGCCCTTACCGAAAGACGATGCCGTCAAGCCCCCCTTACCCCCCGATAATATGTACAAGTACTCGAGTATGCCTCCGCCACATCAGAACGATCTTCCGCTATTTCCCTCGAAGCAACCGGGAACCGGTGGGGCACCGCTTCCGCCGAACTACACCCCGAATCCGCCGCCACCGCCGAAGCAACCACCGTTGCCTGCTGATAATCGCCAACCCTCGAGCAACGAGGTAGTGTTAGGGGAGAAACGAGCAGCCGGCTCGGCCTCCGAGTCGGCCAGTGCTAAGAAATGTAAAATCGACGACGAAGAGCTGACCGAGGCGGAGAAGACCTTCGACGCCCAGTTTAAACAGTGGGAAGAACAGTTTAACAAGTGGAAGCAGCAGAACGCGAACCACCCGGACAAGGTAAGTGCTCGATCGGATGTGAGTACTCGTAAGTCGATAACTCCGGTAGGTCTATCTTGAAGTAAATGGGGGACCTCTCTTCAAGGCTCGATTCCACGTTTCAGACGCAGTACAAGCAGTACGAGGCCAAGTGGACGTCCTGGCGCGAGAAGCTGATCGAGCGAAGGGAACAGATGCGCCGGAAACGAGAGCAACAGAAGCAGGCGGCCGCAAGGGCGGAGGCCGAGAAGAACAAGAACCTGCCAGGTGGCGACAAGATTCTGAATATCCTATCCAGCACCGAGAACCAGGGCCTGCTCAACAACCTCCTGGGGATCGGGAAGACCCTCGGACTGACCGGGAAGCAGGATATCTCCGTGGCTCCTCCACCACCACCGGACACTACCACTGTCACCGGACACTCTTCTTCGATGTCGACCACCTCTACAGCGCAGATGACCTCGATACCGGCCCAGCCGATGATCTCGCAGGTTCCGACCATGTCCACCAGGTCTGTGGTCCACGACGTCGGCCAGACCTGGGGTGCCCAGCCCTGGAACGTTCCCTACAACGCCGGAATGACGATGAATAATTTTGCACCCTTCCAGCAGATGACCTCCATGCCTCCACCGCCGATCTCCATGTCGCAGACTCAGTTGTCACAGCTGAGTCCACTGCCCCCGACGAACTTCTCCCAGCCCCCGCCAAATATGTCCACCGCCCCGCCCAGCATGTCCGGCATGCCGAACGTATCCACCATGCCGCCTAATATGTCTACCATGCCCCCGAACATGGCCATGCCCAACATGGCGAACCCTCCGCCCTCGGGCATGTCGAACCCACCGCCGAACATGGCCAACCCGCCGCCGAACTTCTCCCAGCCGCCTCCAGGATTCGGGGGGTCCGATATGAGCAAGAACAAGGCGCAGAACTCGGCGACTAGACCGCCTCCTGGAGATGGTAACTACGGCATGAACAAGGAGTCGTTTCATGGAGCAGATGGACGGTTTGGACAGGGAGAGAGATCGGGACCTGGCAATCAGTTCGCACCTGGGAGTGATAACTATGGGAGAGGAGGGCAAGCGGGGAACTTCGGGCCCGATGATCGAGGTGGCCCCAGGAGTCAGTTTGGTCCTGGGAACGAACAGTTCGGCAGGGATCAGGGCAGAGATTTCGGACCCAGTGAACGGTTCAGGCAGAGCGATGGCTTTGAACGGCAGTCCAGGAACGAGCAATTCAACCGGGATGAATCTTTTGCGCCGGGGAATAAGGCCGATTTTGGGAACAATCAGTTTGGAAGGGACGGAAATCGCGGTGGTCAAGATAAAGATAACTTCAATCCGAGCGAGCGATTTGGAAGTGGAAGTGGCCCAGGATTTCCGGCGAAAGATCAGTCCGGGCCTGGGAACGATCGTTTTGGGCCCAATGATCGCTTTGGGTCGGGTGATCGTTTCGGGCCCAACGATAAGTTCAACCAGCCCAACGAGCGCTTCGGCTCGGACAATGATCGGTTTGGTCAGGGTGATGAGAATGCCGGTCAGGATAACTTCGGTTCTGGGAGTCGATTTGGAAACAGTGGTGATCGATTCGGCCCTGGAAGCGATCGCTTTGGGCAGGGTGGTGATCGATTCGGTCCTGGAAGCGATCGTTTTGGGTCCGGCGGTAACTTCGGCCCTGGGAGTGAAAATGACGATCGCTTCGGATCCGGCAGATTCGAGAAGGGTAATTCGGATCGCTTCGATTCCGGAGACGCCAGGAGAGGAAATTTTGGGAACAGCTCCAGAGGGTTCGGCAGAGGCCAGTTCGACTTCTCCGACGAGGTGGCGCCGGAGCTGAAGAAGCTGATGGAGAAACGCAGGACGGCGATGGATGCTTTTAAACCCAGGGGGAGTTTCCTCAGCTCGGACCCCAAGTTGGATGTTGGATCGCTTAGCGAAAGCTTCAAGAAAATTACCGGGGACTCGCCGTTTCTATCGCGCCCGTCCAACGAGAGCTCGACGTCGAGGGGTCCCGAGAACTTTGGCTCTCGGGGACCAGGGTTCGGCGCCGAGTTTGGGCCCCGCGGTGCGAGTAACTTTGGGCCCCGTGGGCCTCCTGACTTTGGGCCGCGAGGACCAAATTTTGGGCCACGAGGACCCAGCGATTTCAGACCCCGAGGGCCCGGGGACTTTAGTCCACGTGGGCCCAGTGATTTTGGTCCCCGTGGACCCGGCGATTTTGGGCCTCGTGGCCCCAGCGATTTTGGGCCTCGCGGGCCCGGCGACTTCGGGCCCCGAGGACCACCTGATTTTGGGCCTCGGGGACCCAACCACTTCTCACCGCGAGGGCCTGGGAATTTCGGACCTCGTGGACCCAGTGATTTTGGGCCCCACGGTCCTGGGGACTCGGGCCCTCTCGCTGCTTCTGGGCCTGCCAACCCCGAAACGGTTGGCCCCGAACAAATCCCCTCGTGTAACAGTGCTCAAGAGGAGATCTCTATGCGACAACCAGGTGACCCTAATCAACGCCCATTGGAGGAGGCTAAAATGCCTACCGAGGCATTCTTGGAAGGGCCTCAGGGCCCCGGTGAAACCAATATGGAGGCGCAAGGGAATATCGAAACCGGAGCCGCACGCGATAACGAAAAACGTGGACAAGCTTCGGGCATTGCTCAGAGAGAAGGTATCGACTTTGCGAGGGATATCAATCTGGACGAAGACCCGAACAGTGTGCAAAATCACGTCCCTCCGTTAGAGATGCCTCCGTGGATGGATCCCCAGTTTCCAGAAATTCCGCAGGTCAAACCGATCGAGGGGCCCAATCAGGGGCCAGGTGAGGCGTTGGAAAAGCAATCGGGCCCGCAGGGAAATTCTGAGAAAACTGACGGTTCTAGTGGGACGGCTAATCTGGATGTAAAAGTGGATGCACCGAATGAGAAGTCGGACGCATTGCCGTTCATGGGGGAGAACGATCCGAAACCCGAAGACCTGAATATGGAGCCCCCACCGGATCTACCGAATTTGGGTCCCATGGTTAGCGGGCCCAATGAACCCCCTTTCCAAAATTCTGAACTCGGCAAGGGTGAGAGTCCGTTCAAGGAAAGAGACCCTGACCAACAAAGGGAAGACGGACGTCAGCTCGAAGAATTTAATTCCGGGCCCAGAGACATGCAATTCAGGCCCATGGGGCCCACGGGCCCCAGAGGACCCCTCGATGGAAGGTTCCCTCCTTTTGGACCTCGCGGGCCCAACGATGGGCCGTTCGGCAGTGCGCGTTTCGGTTTTCCGGGACCCAATGAAGGACCTTTTGGGCCCCGGGGCCCTAACGATAGGTTGTTCGGCCCGAGAGGCCCTCAAGATGGGTCCTTCGGGAGTCGGGGGCCCAACGATGGACCGTTTGGGAGCAGAGGCCCAAGAAATGGACCTTTCGGTCCTCGAGGTTTTAACGATGGACCATTTGGAACACGGGGACCTGGGGACCGATTCGGGCTCAGGGGTCCCAATGACGGGTCTTTTCGCTTCAAGAGTCCTGATGTTTCATTTGGCTCGCGGGGTCCTAACAGTGGGCCGTTCGGCTCGCGAGGACCAAACGACAGACCTTTCGCGCCGCATTTTGGTCCCCGGGGCCCAAACGACGAACCTTTTGGTCACCGAGGTCCCGAAGATGAACCATTCGGCCCACGTGGACCCATAGACAGACCCGACTCACAGAAACTGAGAGAACCTTTTGAAGGAGGCCCCGACGTTGGGCCACGGGATCCCAATGCCTCGCAGGGCCCAAATAATAGGCCTCAGGGTCCGGCTGCAGATTCCGTGAACATTTTGCGCGATCCTGAACATGGAAAAGGCGTTTCGCAAGATGGTAACGCCGAGATAGAGCTTCGAGATAATAGCGACGGCGCACTAGATGGGCCGCATGTGCCAAGAGGCCCCAACGATGGGCCCCCCGGACCCAGAGGTTCCAGAGATGCATCACCCATGGTACGCGGTCCCAACGACGAAGCTCCTGGACCTCGAGATCCCGGTGACGGGCCTTTCACACCTAGAGGTCCCTCGGATGGATCTCCGGGACTTCGGGGCCCTACCGACGGGCCCTTCGCCTTTAGGGGGTCCAACGGCCCGTTTGCACCCCGAGGTCTCAACGACGCGCCGTTTGCACCTCGCGACTCGAAGGATCCGCTTCTTCGAGGTCCTACCGAGGGGCCCTTCGGGCCCAGAGGATTTAACGAGGGCCCGTTCAACAGAGGCGACGGACCGTTTGGCCTTCGAAGTTTCAAGGACGCCCCATTCGGCCCACGAGGAAGCGACTTCGGGCCCCGGGGATCGTTCCGCGTTCCCTTTGGACCCCAAGGGCCCAGAGACGGGGGTCCCTTCGGTCCCCGAGGAGGCCCAATGGGCCAGTTTGGACCCAGGCCTCCCTTCGGTCTCAGATCACCCATAGGTGAGGAGTTCCGTCCGAGAGGGCCCCCCGACGGCGACATTGGGCCCAAAACCTCCAACGAGGGCCCTCCGCAATCCGGCATTCCTTCTCTGATGGGCCTGAAATTCGATGTCCCCGGCAGCATGGACCAAGGTAAAGAGTTCGATCCGGGGAAATCAACCGACAGGACCTCCTCTCCGGTCAGGTCGCCATTTGCGCCTGATGGGCCCGACCGCCGACCCGGGGGCCCTGGTCCAGGGGGACCGTTCGACCAAAGACAACAGCCCTTCGGCCCCGGGGGCACCGAATGGAGGAAATCCCTGCCACACAACAAATTCGGGGACTCCGACCAGCGGCAGAATTTTGACCCCATCGGGCCAGGGGAAGGGGACCTACATCCACCACCCGTTCAAGACGTTGGCCGAGTCCCTTTTGGGGAGAATCGCTCCTCTTTGTCCGGTCCAATCGATGATAGGCTGGGGCCCCCCAAGGACAGGCCCAGATTCGGGGGCCCTATGTCCGGTCCCTTCACCAGGCGCAACGGAAACGTCCATCCTGGCTTCAGGCGACCTCCCATCCACGAGTTCTGCATCGAGAAGCAGTTCAACTACAACCATGGCGGCACTGCATCCGAGTGCATGGACGACGAACATGTTCCGACCAAGGTGATCGACTATGCTCACGTTCCCAAGACGACGGTCCAGGATTACGCGACTCCTGCACAATGCTTCGACTATGGCCATGGGAACCTGAAGCCGGTGGTCCCGGAACACGAGGTCAGTCCCCAGCAAGACTTCAGGAACTGGGAGGAGACCGAGCAGAACCTGAAGGAGTACTCGGAGAAGATGAGGACGTACGAACGGACCCTCAGGCAGAAGGGCCTCTCCAGGGTGGCGGAGAGGAAAGATACCAGGTCCAGGGAGAGGGACAGAGACGATAGACCTAGAAGAGAGGTCGACGACAGGGAGTACAGGGACAGAGATCATGCGAGGGAGGCGAGGATGAGGGAGTACGACAGAGAAAGGGCCCGGGAGAAGGAGAGAGATAAGGAGCGGGAGAGAGACCGTGATAAGGATCGAGATAGGGAGAGGGAAAGGGACCGAGAGAGGGACAGGGACAAGAGCGACAGAGACCGCGACAGGGAGAGAGAAAAGGAGCGCGACAGGGAGAGGGACAAGGACCGCGATAAGGACGACAGAAGCAACGGCAAAGGTAATTTCGTCCTCGATTGTTTATCCGTGACAGTGAACATGTGCCGGAATTAATTTCTCCCACTCTGTGATCGCTTCCGGTCCTTTCCATAAGTATGAAAAATCCAATATTTTTCCGGTATCTCGATTAGAATGAATTATTCCTTGAGAGGGATCTTCTTTACGTCCGGGGGCGTCTCGCCGAAACTTGGGAAACTTTCCTCCGGGTCGTTCCAATGTTTCGGCGAGGGGTCCTATCGGGAATGAACGCTCGAGAAATGCGGATAAGTTTATTAATCATATTTTTTCCTGTAAATAGAGAGAGGCCGGGATAGATCCGAGAGGAGTCGCAAGGACGCCGGTAAAGATTCTTCCAAAGAGGACGAAAGGTAATTACATGGCTTAGATCGCTCCAGAATCGACGAATAAATTCGTGGGCTTGTTATGATCAATCATTTAGTGGCACGAGGTCGCACCTGAGATCGATGGCCGGAAATGCTTGAGAAATTAATTCCTACGGTGGACGGATTTATTCCCGATTCTGCCGATCGTTCGAATATCTACTCTATGGATCATAGTATTCCCTACTAGGACGTATTTTGAAAATGTATGGATCTTTACTAGATCTAAAGGAAACATTAGCTGGCAGGACGGCCCACCGAAGAACGTCGTCGAGGCGCCGTCTCAGGACACCAGGTACGCCCTCAGAATCCCCCCCCCTTTTTTTTTTTCTTTTTTCCCCATATACCCACAACTTGTCGAACTTTCTTTCCCAACTTTTGCGCGCGAGTCCACGCTAATTACTCGTGGATTACCCCTAATTCTATATTATTTAGTCACGAGGTAATCGATTTTTCACTAGCTCCTTTACGACCTAATTGGTAACGCGCAAAAAGCATACCGATGGATCACTTTGGAAAAAATTGCAAACCACTCGTGGAGATGAATTATTTCCTCGCCATTGCGCAGGACGTTTCTCGATGACAGAATGAACCAAAAGAAAAAAAAAAATGAAAAAACAATACCAGGGGCTGTTCTTTCGGACTCGGTACTTAATTCTGGTTGCCGCTCATTCGTGGGAATATGCTGAATTTCCGAATTTTGAGAAGACCGACTGGCCGAGACGTGGAAAGATCCTTGGCCGATTTCTTCCCCATTTTTTTTGGGAACTTTCCAAAAGAGGAGGAGCGGATAGGTTTTTGGCATCTCACCTGGAGTTTCTTGGATTTTTCGAAAATCGTTACATTTGTCTAAGCGAGGCCTTGTAAAGCGATGTTTCGAGGTCGTTGAATGCGCGGTGGAGTTTTTAATTTTCTTTTCTCTACTTTTTTTTTTCTTTTTTGTTCACACGTCACGCCATCGTTTCTGCTTATCGCGCATCCCCTTTGGCGACCTGGAAACATTGTCTTATAAATCTCGGCTTGCGCAAATCTCTCCCTTTTGGTGGATGCTCTTCGCCATCGATCAGCCTGTCGATCGGCGAAAAATTCGGAGATTCTGTCCGTTTTGTTCACACGATTTTAGGCGATCATCCCTTGGGACCACTTGACTTTTTAAATATGTTTAACCCTGCCATTTGGCAGTGCCTAGAAATTTATTTGCCTCGGCGATCCCCACCTCTCCGACCCTTCTTGGATATTGAACTTGAACTAGCAACTTTAGTTGTCCTTTGATGATTTTGTAACGAGGACACCTCGCGTGTCTCCGCTGTTTCTACTATTTCTATAAAACGATTAAGGCTTTAGGCCTAGGGATAATGACGAAAGAAAGTGTCCGATTATATTCTGCGGTGTCCATTCGTCGGCGTATACGCGAACACCTTGCGCCGAATCGCTCGGCGATGGTCGGTAGGATTTATTAATTAATAGATTATGAACTGTGTATTTAATGATTGCGACTTGTGGGGCCACTCCTCATGTTTCCAAAACTCGGCCCTCGTGGCCAATTTCTCGGATAAGAGATTGCATTACGCCGTTTTATCGCACATCTTTGCGAGGTACTCTTATGTTGTCGGATAAGCTTTCCGGATGTGACGGTGTTATGGTCGTCGGAGAGTCATTTTATTCGTACATTAGACTCGTATGTGCTACGCGGATGCGTGCATGTACGTCGAGCTGGGACTATCGAGGACCCTCGAGTAATGGGGTGCATTTTGTTGCAGTGGGTTGGCGAGCAAGAAGGATGCACCCCCGGAACCACCGAAAACCCTGGAGCTCCCGAAGACGCCAAATTGCACGATGGTCGACGACCTATTGTGCCCACCGGGTCGTCAGAACAGGCCTCCGAAGATTGTCATCATCCTGAGGGGCCCACCGGGTAGTGGGAAGTCATTCGTCGCGAAATTGATCAAGGTATGGAACGCCATGGTTATTGTTATCTCTCTCCCCTCGATAAGACTGATAAAGCGTCGATTTTTTTGGTACCTTGCAGGACAAAGAGGTCGAACAAGGCGGCTCCGCTCCGAGGATTCTCAGCCTGGACGACTACTTCTTGGCGGAGAAGGAAGTCGAGACGAAGGATGACAATGGGAAGAAGGTCGTGGTGAAGGTGCGGAGGAAACGACGCTTTGTTGGGATTAAACAAGGAGGAATGACGATATTTATCTACGGATTTGCAGGAAATGGTGTACGAGTACGAGGAAGCCATGGAGCAGAGTTACCTTACCTCGCTCACGAAGGCGTTCAAGAAAAATATCACCGACGGGTTCTTCAACTTTATCATCCTTGACAGTATTAACGAGAAGATATCGGATTACGAGGAGCTCTGGAGCTTCGCGAAAACGAAAGGGTTCAGGGTAAGTCGGGTCCTGGTGCATGAGGTCGGGTCGTTACACGGTCGCATCGTGCGGTTAATACTTCGATTCGTTATTCGTTTTAGGTATACGTCTGTGAGATGGAGATGGACGTTCAGATTTGCCTCAAAAGGAATGTCCACAACCGCTCGGAGGACGAGATCAACAGGATAGTGGATTATTTCGAGCCGACGCCGAGTTATCACCAAACTCTGGACGTTAATTCCATGTTACAAGAGCAAGCCATCGAGGAGGTGCGAGCTTGAAATTTTTCTTATGTATATTTGAACGTTCACGGGGTCATGGAAATATCTGACGGAGTTTTATCTGTCCATTCTTAGGTCGACATGGAGGACACCCATCAGCCGGAGCCTGAGCTGGAGCAGAATCCGGTCACTGACGATGGTCAAGACAGTCAAGACGACAAACAAGAGTCAACGGTAAGAATGGCCGCTGACAATACCTACTGTTTCTATAGGGTGACGTATTAACCGTTTGCCTCTGTTCTATTCAACTCCAGGAACTCAGCAAGTGGGAGAGAATGGAAACCGAGGATAAATTAGGTGGGCACTGTTTAATTATAAAATTGTAAACCGCTTGGAAGGTAGTTAACTGCGATCCATTCAACGAGAGCCGTTTATAATCGCGAATTATTATTCCACAGACCGACTGGATGGGTTGGCGAAGAAGAAGAACGACAAGAAACCTCAGACTATGGAGGACTTCCTCCAGGTGCCCGACTATTATGACATGGAGGACACCTCTGGGAAGAAACGAGTAATATATTTATACATGGACGATAGAAATTTATGTCGAACTACGTTGACGATTTTTTTTAATAATATTTTAGGTCCGATGGGCAGACCTTGAAGAGCGGAAGGAGCAGGAGAAGATGCGCGCCGTTGGCTTCGTAGTTGGTCATACGAATTGGGACCGCATGATGGATCCTACCATGGGTGGAAGCGCGCTCACACGTACTAAGTACATATGACCCAAGTTTTTACCTAGAGCTTCTAGGCAAAACTTTTGATCGACCCGACTCGTCGGAAGTCGTTATCACATCGTCACGATCACACTTCAATCGCGGGCCAATTGTCGAGAGACCTCGTTTTTTGCCCGTGTCGTTAATTTTTAACCATCTGATTCATCCTGTGTACATTTTATTTTAACTAGGTTCCTCGAAGCTTCTTATAGTATTTCTATTCAAAATTAGACGGGCAGTGGCGAATTTGCGGGTGGTCTGGCTATAGGAAATAACAATTGGCATTGATTTTTAAGTTCACCGGTGCATGGCGTGGAGGACAAAGTACCCGAGATATTGGCTGATTTTTTTCCCGAATTTTGTATGCTTTGGAATTCGTCTTACGGATACATTGATACGTTTCTATTGCAGGTTTTTTCCAATGTCCTAGTGACATGTTAATAAACACGCGCCATAGTGCTGGATGTGAAACGCGAACCTGCCTGCAGGTTCCGAACTCAGTACGCGTGGTGCAATTATAATTGTAGCATTTAGAGATTCAGCTTCGATATACAAACCGTGTACCGAATTGTGACTAAGGTTGTGCCCGATGAAATGTAATTATTGTATCATAGTGGATAACTAACCGAAATGTCCTGTAAACGGGACCCTTCTACGATATGTTTACCGCCGTTCATGTTTCTTCTAAGGAAATGAAAAAAGCAAACCGGTGTATCGTAATTGCTTCCAGATAGGCATACGCTTAGATTAATTTCACGCCGAACAGTGCACGTAAGCTCTTGCGAGTCGTTACAAAGAGGAAGTGTCTTAAGGAACGTCACTGTTATCCACGTCAGAGTTTATCCCTTAATATGGTTAATACCTTCATATTCCTATTACCTTCCGAATACGTCACTTTTTCATCTACGTTCGGTTAAGTTTGAATGAGATGCACGACATTTTGTAACTAGCAGTAGTGACTCATATATTAAATCGATGAAACATGATTCACGAGATTAATGACTATCTTGCCTATTTTTGGTACACGCCGTTTTGACTCGCGAGAACAACAGACAACACTTAAAATTAATAACAGGATTACTTGCGGGACACGTCTCTTTACTTTGGCTGGAGGAAGTTTTTGATATTCTCCTTTTTGCAAGTGTACTCCGGTGGACACTGATTTCTAATCCCGTACTCTATCGCCTTTCGAAATTCTTGCAGAGTCTTTTCGTACTTGTCGTTCTCCGGGAGCGACCTGTAACAACGGTAGGTAAATCGTCGCATTAATTTAAGAGACAAGTTATTGATATTTTTAATAGAGGATTGTCAAAATTACTGGGGCAACAGCTTCAGGGTCTGCAACATCATTTCCGCAGCACCCAGATACTCTTTTGCAGTTTGAGGTGCTTCACAAGCCGCTCTGTACAGACAGGTGTCCCCCATTAAATATCCCAATGCCAGTGCCACTTCACTTTCTGACACCATGGTCTCTGAAACGAGAAGACATCTCACGCTTGTTATAAAAAAAAAATTGTTTCTGGTCCCTCTGTTAATTAAGCAGGGTTAATTACCTTCGTCTAAATCGCGAGCTCTGTAACCGTGATTCCCAATGTACCCAGCGCTGAATACCACGGCTTTTAGCACCAGCAGTATTAATAAATTCGATAGATTCAGATTCAATACCTAAGGGTAGTGAGAAAGATTTAAAACATACAATTTTTGTGATAGGACTTAACGAGGTAAATGCGAGCGACTATTCGATCGTCCCGCGACATGTCTTGTGCCGGCCGGAGGCATCGAAGTCTCCGCGAATTACCTGACTGCTGCTCGCAGATCTTTGGATCAGCTCCTTAGCGATTTCGGACAGCATCGAGCCGGATATTTTTCGGTTTTCCTTCTCGAAATCAAAGTCCTCCATTCCTCGTGCCCAAACGCCGGCCAATAATGTAGAGAAAATTAATAACAATCGCGCGCTCCCGCACATCTCGCCGCAGAATGTCCGAAATTTGTGAAGGACCACCCGAAGGTCTGGGATTTTTTGTCGAGACCGTGATGTCCTCAGGACCCGCGAACAATGTCCAATGCGACCAGTCGAGCTCTATATAAAGGTCCACTCTTGCGGCGTAACAAAGCGTGGAGCGTTCCTTTTTCCTTTCTCATTGGCGTGCGTATCTGTACATTTTCTCCATTGTGGCGAGCCGCCATGACGAGAGACGGCTCGCTTTAAAGGACGCGCCTTGGCGAGCGATTACAATTGTCGCATGACGGAAATAAGCGGTGAAAACCGCGCAAGCGATGTCGCGACTTTCCCTCAGGATCTTGACATGCCCAAAGAGCATTTGTTGGAGTCGCCTTGCCGGAAATAAGCGGTGAAAGGAGATGATCACGGAGTGCAGCCTGGAGGGTGTCCTTTGCCTGTGAGAAATGGATCATTGTCCTTTGTCTTTCAGATGGAACGGCCACGCTGCTCCTGGACATCTTTTATGCACGGCTTATGGACGATGAATCTAAAAAACAAAAGGAAAATAGGAATATGGCCACGTCTGGTGACCGAGGGTTCTCTGAATTAATCATTTTTACAGCTTTTAAAAGAAATCTGAATATTCAAGCGCAGGCTTTACTTCCCTCTTCGTGGTATAACTCACCCATGTATCGCGGTAATCGCGAATGCACCCCATACTCGACGAGCCTTATCAATGCATATTTAATCAGCAACTAAGGACACCGGTTGACGCAAATCCGCGGATTATAGGCCCCATCAAAAATTCCTGCCAACGACCTCGTCTTTACACTGCCTAGGCTATACTTTTCATCGATCCGCTTCCATCTCCTGATGGACTCGATAAATATATCTCCAATAAATCTCAAAACTGAGATTTTACACTTTTCAGCTTTTTCTAGGACTGGTTTTTGCATTTTCATCCAGAAACTGCAATGGCTGCGACCCTTTGCAATGGTCGGAAGAGCGTGTCTCATTTTTCCTTATTTTCAAAGCTTCTTTCATATTTTCCTTATGTTCACTGCAAAGAAGAACATCGGGAGAATTATTGCTGCATTGGTGCAAGATTGTTTAATGGTTATTATTCTCATTTTTGCTTTTTTATTTTTTTTTAAATTATAATGTACTTCACGGGCGCTGGGTCGACCTGCGGAGAGTTCAACGAGTGGTCGCACCGTAATGAAGAGTTACGTTTGCATCCATTATTGTTTGTTGTTATCATTTTTTTTTTTCAGTTATATTTCTAATAGACAGGATCGACCTGCGGAGAGTATAATTATCAATTTTTGAGACGGACTTCTAATTTTTATTTTTCTTTTAATACCTGAAAATACTCACCGAGCTGAACGTCGTCAGATTTAAACGGGAGAATTTTCTAATAACTAAAATAACTTACAAACTCGAACTCGGTCCACTGGCGAACGCTAAAAGTGCATCCTTATGCAGGTAAATCGACGCGCTGATAAAAGATAATAAAAAAATCTGACCTGCATCAGTTGGAGCAGAATATTAGAAATTTTAATATTTTCTGTTATTTACAATGCACAGCAATTAGGCATAATTTCAGTATCCATATTGTATACACAGTGCAGAAATGAGGAGAAAACCGGCAAGTGCACTTCAGACTTGTCAATTATGCATGTAGATTATTTTTTAAATGAAGTAACGATGACGGTGAAAAATGTTCACTATGCTCACTATTTTGTGTAGCATTGTTATACCTTCATGGCTAACAATACGGACAGGTAACTCAAAGATGTCCTCAAGATCTTGAAAAGAGCGATCGAGGAAGACATGGAAAAATATGTTCATTAATAAACAACCAATATCAATCTTTAATGATAAAGCATCGGTAGTATTATTCACCTACCGTCGAAAAAGTCGCCATGTTTAATTCGCAGAAATTTCCTGCCGTTAAACAAAGTGGCTTGCTTCCGCGGACCATTATAAACAATAGAGTCTTTGTTTGCGTTGACGATAAATTGTACCAGGCGCAATTGTAGGCTGCTCTCGCAACAGCGATGCTCTAAAAAAATGAGGAAGATTATTTCACTGGAGGAAAATTCCTTATAGAAGCCGAACGAGGTGAACCTTTTTTTTTTTTATAAATATAAAACTGTCTCCGGAAAGTGTATACCTCTTTCTGGATCTCCTCTCCCACGTAGCAATAAAAGCAGAGCAATCCCAAAACGAAGGCGCTAAAAAGCAAGTAGACTCCAAATTTGGAAACCGTAACGCGAGTCTCAGGATTTGTCATCGACTGAAACATTAAATAACATATTCCCCATTAATTATCATTAACCAGTTTTTTTTTTTTTTTTATATAAAAGCTCTCACCGTGAACAGCTGAAAGCCCTGAAGAGACATCATCACGGTGCAGGCGACGATTTGCACCAGGAACATCACGTTGAAGATGCTCTCGATGTTCGTCGCGAACCTTGAAAAATCCACCAGGACGATATTAATCTGAAAATATGGATGATTTCCAAGAGCCTCGAATTTTACACTCTTCGTTAACAACCTGATGATCTCTTCGTGCTTCCTCGCGATCCCTGCAGCCTTCTTCTGGAAGACGGCCTTATCAGGGGGATTCTCTTCAGGGACCAGAGTCTCCAGGTCTAATCGCAGATTTGCAAGCTGGCCACGGGCGTGCAAGATCAAAACTGTCACGAAATTGTCAGCTGACATGTAGATCGTGGCAGCGAGGAGGACGCTGCAATATTGGCAGGCAGTGACGAGCTCGAAATTCGGACTGACTCTGGTGTTGCAGGGAAAATACGAAGCGAAGAGAAGGTCTCGGCCATTGTCAGTGTCATCGGTCATATTCGACATGTCTCTTGAGACCTGAGAGTGTAAGTGCTGGCCAAGGTACAGAAAGTTCAAGGTACAGGTGAACAAAATGATCCTCTTGATCAGGGCTCGGCCCGTCTCGGCGTTCTTCGTCATCCTCTGCAGCTCTTCTTCGTCCTTGACACTCGTCCAATTTCTCGCGATCAATGTCAAAAGCAGCCCCACGTCTTGAAACAGAAATCCTGGTGACGTGGAGGAGTCACAGCGGAAGAGGGAAACGTCAGATGAGACGAGGGGTTAATCACTGAATTATTATTGAATTGTTGATTCTTAGATTTCTTTTTTTTCCGGATTTTTAGTACCTTCTTGTTTCGTCCAGAAGATCAGGATCTTCACCAGAGAAACTGTCGAGGGGAGGGTGCATAACACCAGGTTGTCGATGGCAATGTCCATGTCAACCTTAACCGTCAGTAGAAATGTGGTTTGGGGCAGACATATGAAAACGGCGATAAGCAGAGCTATTATCAAGGGACGGAATTTCAGGAATTTCCAGGACACGAATTCTTCTTCGCGATCATTTAAATTCGGCCAGACCCCAAGGACCTGAAGGAAAATTTCGTTCCAGCCTACTGTCAACCGCACGCTAGTCGATCCTGGGAAAAAATTAATAATCCCACGTAAGAAGAAGATCTTACACCTGTAACTATTTTTTAGAACATTTTTGCATTAAAATCCTGCTGGGGAAAAAAATGTAATCGGAGTAGTTTCGGACATTTAACGCGTAACTTTGCGAGTCCAGATGGAAAAATCTTGAATAAATTCCTTTGTCGGTTTATGGAAGGGTCATTTTAATTTTCTATTTTTTTTTATTTCTTTCGTTATTGGTGCGGGGACTTTTTGTTTAACATACCGCAATTCCCGCTCATTGTGCTTCTCGTGCAGTCGGTATTTGCAAGACTGATGACGATGACGAGGGCTCTCCTCGATTTGCACCCTCTGAAACGTTTTCTTCCCCTCTACGTCTCCTTTCCGTACAGAGCATGCTCCAAGTCGGCAAAACGGTACACCATCTACAGGAATAAACCAAGGTAGAAAAGTTTAAAGAGCTCCGCTGGTTATTCCCGGAATGAATGTCGATCGAGGACTTTTACCACCGACAGAAGGTACCTGCGATGAAACTTACTTCTCCGGTAAAACAGTCCCAGCGATAACAATTCTGGATATTTACCCAATTGTTCAAGAAAACGGCATACCCAACAAATATCTGCATCTTTCGTCTTTAATTTCCCCTTGAATAACGATGTCGCTGCATAACGCTTACAATAACTTTTGCTAAGAAGACTTGATAGTAAAATTAAACAGTGCAGCTTCGTTTGTTTTTTATTTATTTATCTGAGGTTTTCGCGGCCATCAATACCGATATGTAACTCATCGACGTTTTCAGGATCTAAAATGAGATGAGAAAAATTAGGGGGGCTTATGGATTTGTTGAAATTGAAAAAAAAATTATTTTCCGAATTTTTACTCACCGCGCTGAACGTCGCCATGTTTAGGGAACAAAATCTTCCAGCTGTTATGCAAAGTGGAGTATTCGATCGCACCATGATAAGAATCAATGTCTTTGCTTGATAGGGTGTCAATTCGTACCAAGCGGAATCGTACGCCCCAAATGTCAAAGCTGTACTCTGGGAAAAATGAAGAAATTAATTTGAGAAAGCTCTTAATCCATTTAATTATTTAAACACATTTTCACCTCTTTTTCGAGCTCCTCCCCCACGTAGCAGTAAACCCCCAGCAAGGAAAATATGAAGATGCAGAAAAGCATGTAGACAACGATCTTCGGCAGAGGCATGGTGCTTCCCGAGTTTGTTAATGACTAAAATGACGTTAAGAAAAATCCTCCTAAAATTGGTTATCAACAGTTAACAGATAGCAAGACCCACCATCAACAATTGGAACCCCTGAAGGCAGAGCTGCACGATGCAGACCAACATCTGCACGAGGAACATCAGATTAAAGCTGTCCTCGATTTTCTTGGAGAACCTTGAAGAGACCCTCGAAGGATGCACGGGAAAAACAAAATGGCTGACCGGAAAAAAAATAATCCACCAACCTGACGATTCGCTCGTGCTTTCTGACGATTGCGATGATTCTCTTCGAGCAATCTTTCGACTCTGCCAGACTCTTCAGGTCGGACTTCAGGTTCACGAGCTGGACGCAGACGTGGGAGACGAGCATCATGATGAAGCTGTCGGTGGCCATGTATGCAGTTGCGGCGAAAAAGAGTGCCAAGTACTGGCCGAAGGACACTAATTCGAAAATTGGACTGGCTTGGAAATCGAAAGGGAAGTACGAAAGGATGATAAGCTCCCGATGAGTCTCAAGGTCCGCCGATTTTCTTATCATCTGCAGGTAGACGTGTTGGCTGAAGAAGAAGCTCTGCATGATGTAGGTGAGGATGGCGATCCACCTTAGGACCATTCTTCCCAATTCTGCATTTCTTTGCATGAGCTCCAAGGGCCTTCCCTCTTCCACCTCGGTCCAGTCCTCGAAGATCATCCCCAGGAGGATCTTCAAATCTTCAAGGAGGAACGATCAGAAGTCGAAGGTAGGTGCTCTTCGGGATCCCTTGCCACGATTGGGAATTACCTTCCTGCTTGTACCAGAAGACCAACATCTTCATCAAGGTTGCCGTCGCCGTAACGTTGCACAACGCCAGGTTGTCCACGATGTCGTCCATGTTCGCCTTGAAGACCACCAAAAACAAGGTCTGTGGTAGACACATCAGCAACGCTACGAAGAGCGCCACTAAGAGGATTCTGTACTTCAGGAGCGGAAACGAGCTTTTCTGGACTTCCTCTCCTCCTGGCCAGATCCCCAGCATGTTCAGCAGGACGCGGTTCCAGCCCACGGAAAAACTCAACCCTGAAGAGCGCCGATGCAGGGAGGAAAGTATTATTTTACCGAGTAGAATGTTTTAAATCATCGACTGGATAAAAATTAAATTGATAATTATTTTTCCCATTTTTAAGGGAAGATTTGTGGTGGGAGATACCCACGAGTTTCGTCGTTACTCTTCATGGTGCTCTTCGTGAACTCACGACTTCGGGTCTCGAGCAACTGAGCTCTGTCGTCGGGATCCGGGATCACGGAAATATATCCCTCCATTTGTCATACTTGGAGCATGCTCTGTACGTGCGAGGGAAAATGCCATCTGTAGGGAAACCTCGAGGTACTTGCGCAATTATTTCACCGAACAATGTACTAATAGTTTATTCATCATTTTTGTTTACGTGATCGGAAAATGTACTTAATCGCACTTTTTGGGAGGTTCAAGTGAAATACGGAATTTTTTAGTTTCGTGGTCTGGCGTTCGGTTCACCTTAAATGAATTTTTCTCGGGAATAAAATTGCTAGAATTAAGTAAGCACTGTTTTATATTTTAGATGTCTTCAATAGATATTCAAGCACGGTGTACATACATCTTGAAGTTCTCCCGGAACAGGGTCAGTAAGTTTTTCCTCCCTCGCCAGACATGAAAGTTCTATCGATCCTTGACGGTCAGTAGAATTCAAGGAAGCTGTCATTATTTCTAAATTTTTTTTCTTGTCCGCTACTCTCTGGTTATTACTTATTTTTTTTTCCTTTATTTCAAAATTCCAATGATCCGGGGAATATGAACAATTATTTTCTTAGATGTAATTAGACTCGTTGATTTAATTACCGCAATGTGGAACGTGATGATACCGAGGACTATTTTTTTTATACAAAGTGTTTCGAGACTTGATTTGTTCCTAATGAATTTATCTACTCTTGACTGTTATCAGCACCGATAAGTATCCCATCGATGTTTTTATGAACTGAAATGAGAGAATTAACAAAGGTTCATTCATCCACTGTCCACATGTTCGATTTGTCGGCTCGTGGAAAGGATGGAAATTGAAAATGATTTTTCATAACTCACGTCGGCGAAGGTAGAAAAAAATTCTTACTCGCGCTTTTCGACCGATATTAATTTATTCGGCAATTTAATTACACCTCCGAACTTTAAAGCGACTTATTTTCATTCCAGTTGATTTTTTTACTTCTAATAGAATGGCATGGTAAAGTACCACATGACACATCCTTGTGAAACATTTGATTGTCAACTTTAAATTTACGCTCGGCTCTATGACGGATAATTAATCGACTTTCTACTTTTTTCAAGACACTGAAATAGCGCTTTTCTCTCGTCGTGTCCTTTGTACTATTTTAGTACCTGATTCTTCATTGCCACGAGCACTGATACGTACCCTAGTATCGTTTTTATTACCTGGAAGTGGTAAATAAAATTTAATGTGATAATGGAAATAAAATAGAAATATGCCACAATTATGTTGGTCGGTTTACTCCTCGCCTAAGTAAGTAAGACTGGGATAACTTGCAACGTCTCTATTTCGATAACAATTATAAATTGGATTAGACTATTTAGAAATACTTAGAGATTTGTAACGGTTTGCATCCGCGTTAACAATTTATAACTTGTTAGATAAATAGCTATCTGGCTTTACATGATTTGATAACGATACTTGATAACGCTTCCTGGGAATTAAGCGAGTCTAAGCTTCCACCAATCGATCTCTCATCCCAACTAGAACCGATAGATATCCCATCGATGATTTGAGCACCTGGAATCGTGAATAATTAATTTTAATAATTTACAAACGTCCGATGAAAATAATCAATTCTTTGAAAACTCTTAAAATAAGGACTTACGTTAGTGAAGGTGTCAAGGAAGAATGGAAAGAATTTCCCTGCGGTTATGCAAAGTGGTCGTCTTGTCGCAGTCATGATCAAAATTAAATCCCGAGTATTTTCGGAGGACATTTTGTACCAATGACTGTCGTACAAAGTGTCGCACAATCCGGCGCTCTGAGAATTGTTGCCCAATAATTATAAACGATCCCGAAGAACATTTTGAGGATCGCGCAAAAGGACATTCGACTGTCAAATAAATTTCTAAAATCATACATGATAAGAGCACTTATTCAAGAAATTCTCACCTGGCCGTAAAGCATTTCTCCCACGTAACAATACACAAAAAAGTGGACGAGCATCGAGCCCGTGAAGACGATCAAGAAAATCGATTCGAAAATGATCGTTTCCTTCTCGCCGGTCGATAATGTCTGAAATGAGGAGAAATAGATCATTTCCATTACCGAAAAAAATCCCCAAGGGTCTCCCTACTCTCTCTCTCTTAAACAAAAGAAAGACAAGATTCGCTCAAGCACGACTTCAGAAATTACTACGAATTACTAACTACTTACTATAAGAAACAGGAAGCTTGGAAAGCAGACTTGGATAACGCAGGCAAGAACTTGAGCGAGGAACATCTTGTTGAAGCAGTCCTCGATGATAACACTGACCCTGATAAAAATTCAACGGTGAGTCCGTTTCCAAAAATCAGTACCTAAGGGAGTCGCCCAAAAATTCTGGAAAAATCGGGATAGGTAGTACCATCCAGACCTCGAGATACCCACCAGATGAGGCTGATGTGTCTCTTGACGATAAACCTCAGGGTCTTCCGGAACTCCGAGGGCTCCTGATGTTCACACTCCCTGAGCATCTCGGCAGCCAAAAATTGGAGATTCGAAAATTGAGCACACACGTGGAGGATGACGACACTGACGAAGCTGTCAACGTTCGAATACGCCACGACACCTCCCAGACCGGAAATAAATTGCATTATGCAGAGGAGCTCATTGTTTGGGCTCTTCTTCGTGTCGAACGGGAAATATCCTCGAAACAATACCCGAGGCTCCGAATTTGTATCGCTTGACAGTTTCCGCCGAATTTCCGTCGCAATGTGCGATACCACGTATGCTGTCACTGTCAAATACAAAAGGAGGGAACATCTCAGGGAGATCGATCGAGCGATCTTCGCGTTCTTCATCATCGTATCTCGCTCTTGCTTGGTCTTCGGTCGTATCCAGTCCTCTGTTACGAAAGTTACGATCGAACCTATGGCTGGAATAAAACAGAATGGTACAAAAAAATGGAGATAAACATTTCTTAGAGAATGTATAAGCATCACCTTTTCGGTGATACCAGAAAGCCAGGAGCTTGATGAGCGCCGTCGACATGGGGACGTCGGCCCTGAGGAGGATGTCCACGCTCCCCTCTAAGTCCCCCCAAACTGACACTAGGTACAATGTTTGCGGCAGAATGATGTAGAAAAACATTAAGAGCGACGGAATCAGGAACTTGTAGCGGTAGAATCCGGAATCTTCCTCGGAGATCCCTGAATCTGGCCAGATCCCTAAAATCTTGAGGCTGGGACGAGTCCATCCGAACTCGTAATTCAGATCTGGGAAAATTCCCTTCCTTACATTTTTCCCAGCCGAGTGGTACGAGATTATTCCTAATTACCCTGTCGGGAATTTTTTCTGCGAGTCCATTGGTTCATTTTCTTGCGAGCTTACCTGAGTTCCACTCCATTGCAACCTCGTATGCCCCAAGTCTGAATTCAACTAAAAGGGACTTGGTTAAATGACTCCGATGGGGTGCACCCCTCTTCAAGAATGGCGCATGCTCGGTGCGTTTCCTTCCACCCCATTATCAAGGTCCTAAGAGGAAGGAACTCCAGCATTAAAATTTACGAGGCGCTTATAGCTCTGCTGAACCTAGGGACGCCTCTTCAGGGGGTGAAAAGTCTGCGCATTGTTCTCACCTGAAAATGTTTTCATTGAGTAACCGCGAGGAGTCAAGAAAGTCTTTCTTGAAGAGACCGGAAAACGTGTGTGGAAAAAAATAGGATACGAAGAGGAAACAATGACAAAAGTAAATGACAGTATTCCTGTCAATGGAGCATTAACCCATTTTCTTCCCGACTTTCTGCAGGCTGGAATACCTCTCGCCATTTCTACTTCTCTCGGTACAGGACGATTTAAGAAGAAGCAATGCACGTAGGTTAACAATTTATAATTTCTTAAATTAAGGATTATCTGGTCTTACATGATTACATAACAATACTTGGTAACATTTCCGCGGAATTCTCAAACTTTAAGCCTCCACCAATCGATCTCTCATCGCGACCAGAACCGATAGATATCCCATCGATGATTTGAGCACCTGGAATCGTGAATAATTAATTCTAATCATTTACAAACCGTCCGATGAAAAATTGAATTATTAATTGGATACGCTCGGAAGAAGTACTTACGTTAGTGAACGTGTCGAAGAGGAATGGAAAGAATTTCCCTGCGGTTATGTAAATCGGTTTTTTTGTCGCTACCATGATCACCATTAAATCGCGAATATTTTCAGGCGGCATTTCGTACCAATTACTTTCGTACAGAGTATCGCACAATCCAGCACTCTGGAAAATGTCCCAAAAATTGAAGTGCTTGGATATAAATTTGCAATTGCACAGTTTATTATTAAATATTTAAGAAACTTTCCTCACCTGTCCGTAAAGCATTTCTCCCACGTAGCAGTACACGAAAAAATGGACGAGCATGGCCCCCGTAAAGACGATAAAAAAAATCGATCGTAAAACGAGCGTTTCCTTTTCTCCGGTTGACACAGTCTGAAACACGACGAAAATATGAATTTCCATAATTATACATTATCGTCCACTTACATCTGCATATTTAAACCCCATATTCACATGCACGACGCGTTCGTAATTAATTTCCAGGATGCACGAAATGCACCGCCACTTTATTACGCGGTATTAATCCCTCCCATTTGATAACATAATTAATAAAAAATTACCACGAGGAAAAGGAAGCTCGGAAAGCAGACTTGAATAATGCAGGCGATTACTTGAGCGAGGAACATCTTATTGAAGCATTCCTCGATGACGAGAGTGACCCTGGTAAAAATCCTTTACTGAGTCCCAGTTTCCCAAAATCTACGAGGACCTACAAAGGATTCTGCAGGTACTGAGAGACAATCGGAAAGTACCATTCCCCAGAGCCCGATTTACCCACCAAGTGAGGCTGGTATGTCTTTCGACGATGATGCGCAACGTTTTACGAAATTCCAAGGGCTCTTGTTTTTCGGCCTTCCTCAACATTTTGGCTGCCAAGAATCGAAGGTTCGAAAATTGGGCGCAAACGTGGAGAATCGTGGCACCGACGAAGCTGTCAACGTTCGAATATGACAATGCACCTCCAATGCCGGAGATGAGCTGCATGAAGGAAAGGAGTTCATAATTCGGGCTCTTCTTCGTGTCGAACGGATAATATCCTCGAAGCAGCACTTGAGGCTCCAAATTTGTGTCATTTGACAGTCTTCGTCGAACTTCGGTCGCGATATGGGAAGCTACGTGTGCTGCCATTGCCAAGTACAGAAGTATGGAGATCCTCAGAGAGATCCCTCGAGCGATCTTCGCGTTCCTCATCATCGTTTCTCGTTCTTCTCTCGACTTCGGCCGCTTCCAGTCCTCCGTCACGAAAGAAACGATGGAGTTTATGGCTGGAAAAAAAGGAGCCCGACCCTGCGAATTTAATTCTAGGAAGGGACAATCGTGGTTAACTTGTTATTAATTTTAAACAATTCTTCGATACCTTCTCGATGGTAAGAAAAAGACAGAAATTTGATGAGCGCCGTTAGTATAGGAACGTCTGCCGTGAGGAGCGCATCCACGCAGTGCTCTAAATCGCCCCAGGCGAAAAACAGGTACAATGTTTGCGGCAAAATTATGTAGATTAGCATCAGCATCGATGGAATCAGGAACTTGTAGCGGTAGAATAAGGAATCCTTCCCGGGCCTCCCAGAATCGGGCCAGATCCCAAGGATCCTCAGGTTGTTGCGCGTCCACCCGATCTCGAAGTCCAGATCTGCGAAATCGGACAACCCCTTCGGTTTTTCCTGAATTTCATTTCTTCGGATATTTTCGCCTCACCCTCACGCCAGTCCATTGTGATGTTCTCGGTTCCAGGTCATTCAGAAACTGGTGATGTGATCATTCTTCTGGGATAAGAGGCACCCCTTCTTGAAGGTTGCGCATGCTCGATGAAGAGTTGCAAATCCTAGGAGAAAAAACCTGGAACTTAAAAATTTATGAGGCTATACCCTTCGGGAATCGATTGCCTCCTCTTCAGGGGAATCACGACTTCGCGCAACAATTTTGCGGAGAAAAGTTTTTCCTGATTTGACGTAAGCTCCGAAAGTCGATTCGAAAAACTGGAGAACGTGAAAAAGGGCCGGAAAAATGGTATCCGGAGTCAACAAAAATATACCATCTATTTGGATCCGATTTCAATTAAGTCCTACTTTAAATTAGATACGTATCAATTAAATTTCTTCCGGGTATTTATGGGAAATAATTGAAGTCATGAAGAGGAATCACGATTCGACGAGACGTTCCCTCACGGCGATCAGCATCGACAGGTAACCCATGGAACTCTTCAGGATCTGGTAACAGAAAAATCGGGAATTAAATTTAGTTGCAGTATTTTCTGGGGATATTTTTTTAAGTTTCGTCTCACTTTGCAGAATAACTCCAGGGAAAATGCTTGGAATTTCCCTGCCGTGAATTCGAGGGGCGTGCTTGCGCGCATCATTACAAGGATCAGAAGTTTTGCATCCTTCGGCGACAAATTGTACCAATCGCTCTCGTAAAGGGAGTCACGTAGTCCTATGCTCTGCAATGAAAGTGATTTAGAAAATTTCTCTTACACAATTCGAAAAATCTATGAGCATTTACCTCCGCGTTGAGCATCTCGCCCACGTAGCAATACGCGAAGAAGTTAAGCAAAACCGAAGAGGTGTAAATTGCCAGAAATATTGACTGGGTGACGATGGACTCCGTGTGTCCACTCGCGAGATTCTGGAAAAAAGTTGATTTCCCAAATTTATCCAAGATCCAGGGGATTTGAATGAAAATTTAATTAGGGCAAATCGTCGCCTAGCTCACCACAAGGAACTGGAAAGCTTGAAAGCAGACCTCAAGAGAACAGACGAGAATCTGCACGACGAAAGTCTTGTTGAATATGTCTTCGATCGTGCCGGCGAACCTTGAAGAGAAATGGCCATTTTGAAATTATTCAAAAAATTTCATATTTCGGAGCACGGACCTATTTAAGTGTTCGTGTCTCAGGACGAAAGTTCGCAGGCCTTCCCGGAATTTTTCAGACCCTGAATCTTTCTCTTCGTCTTTCATAAACAGTTTCTTCAGGGAGAGTCGCAGACTCGAGAGCTGGGCGCAAAGATGGAGTACCAAAATGGCGACGAAATTGTCGACGCTCAAATGCGCGAAAACGGCATAAATGATGCCGATCAGCTGTGAGAGAAAAGCGAGCTCGTAGTTCGGACTCTTCTTCTCGTCGAAAGGATATCCGGAATGAAACGGAAGACGCTGAGGAAAGCTCGATTCGTGGCCAAGTCTTCGACGCGCCTCCAAGAACGAGTGAAGGGAGAAGTAAAAAATCACCGTGGTAATGAGTAATACGAAAGTGCGAATAGACAATTTCCTGGCGATTATCGCGTTTTTCAGCATCACCTTCTTCTCGGTAGCACTTCTAGAAGTGGTCCAATCTTCGACCACCGAGGCCAGAATCGGTCGCAGACCTTCGAAACGAGAGAATCTGATGATCCCAAAATTCCCAGCACAATGTTCACTTATTCAAGTAATAATTTCAAGATAAATCTTAAATTTTCAGAATTAATTTCACCTTACTTTCTTTGTTTAACCAAACGACGAACAATTTGAGAAACGAAGTGGCAACGGGCAGTTCGGCTTTCAGCATGATATCGACGGTCTTCTCGAGATCGCCCCAATTTGTAATCAGAGCCGCCGTTTGTGGAATATTGATAAAGCCAATCATCGCCATAATCGGTAGTAAGACGATAAATTTTGACAGCCCATTTTCCTTCCTGGATTTTTCCGGGTCTGGCCAAATCCCGACAGTTCGCATGCAGAATCGATTCCAGCCGATTTCCGTCTTGAGACCTGAGAGGACCACCAAATTCTAATGAAATCAATTTAACAAATAGAAACGTATGAAATATTTCATCCCTATCCGTTAAAAACAGGCCTCAGAATTTTTCAATCTGCTTCATAGGGTTTAACTTTGTGCCCTAGAAGTGCAAGAAATCCTGAAATATTTTTAACGCTAACTATGAAATTGTTGAATTATTTTTACACACCCGAAGGCACATCCATTGAGCCTGATTGTCGGCAAAGCAAAGACTGGAGCTTCGCCTTTCATCCTTCGGTCTTCCTTGAGATTGCGCATGCTCAATAGGAACCGCGAATGCCCTCCCTAAAGAACTTATAAAATATTCCACCCAGCCGAACGGATCTCGCGGTTATTTATTTTTAAGCTGAGGTTTATACTCCTCGTCACCGTCGAAGGTAATAATAGAGCGAGGGGCTGCCATTGTTTCCTTAGAATTTGACAGAGTCGTTTTCTACGGTGACTCTTCTCAAAGAAAATTATTACAGTGCACCAAAAAGTGGCCCAAGTTGGTCCGACCTCGAGAAAAAAAAACATGCTGTGCAGTGAAAAGGGTTCGTATAAATTCTACAGATTTTTCTATCGAGATCTTTCTGTAACTAGTGAATTATTAATGTTTATCCAACAGTGGTAATAATTGTAGAATTGCGGAAAAGAAATTCCTAAGAGGGATAAATAAATTTGTGAACAATCCGGTCAACCGAGCGATAACGACGGCAGTGATAAACTAGGAATCATTGTCTCTTTTTTCATTTTTGCGAACATCAGACTTGCTTCTCGATCAGGCGGTCTTTGACTGCGACTAAGACGGATAAGTACCCTCCGGATGATTGCAAAATCTAAAAGAGAATATTAATGATAAATGATTAAAAACTCGGCAATTAAATTCCAAAATGCATGCTCCTGGAAATAATTACAAAGACTTCGCTCACTTGAGAGAAAGTTCTAAATGATAAATTGAAAAAACCGCCGGCCGTGATTTGGAATGGCTGATTGCAACGAATCATTATCAATAAAAGACACCTCGTCTCTTTCGGCGATAATTTATACCACTCGCACTCGTAGCAGGATTGAAACAACCCTGTATTCTGTCACAACAAAGTGAATAAAATTATTCGTCCATAGGAAATAAATCTCACAAATTATCCAATCAAACTATATTAATAAGTAAATATCTCACCTCGTCGTTAAGACATTCGCCCAGATAGCAATAAATAAACGGGCTTATCAACATAGCGGATGAAAGGAGAACCACGCAGCATCCCTGTAGAACAATCGAATCTTTGGACCCAGTCACAAATATCTGCAAATGGAGAAAAATTAGCCGCAAAGAAATTACATTGATGCCCACCAGGACCAGGGAAAAAAAATCATTATATTAATATTACAATCCCTGTATTTTTATTAAAAATCGACGTTCATTTCCGAAATTTACCATGATAAACTGAAAGGCCAGAAAGCAGAAGAGTATGGTGCAGACGAGGATTTGACTGAGGAACACTTTGTTGAAGGAATTCTCGATGGTGTCGGCGAACCTTTAAAAAATTGCATTGTGATGGACAAGTCTTGGTCAACAATGGTTGTTCAATACCGACCAACAGAGGTGTTGGTGCCTCTTCACGACGAGCTTCAGCATCTGATGGAACTCCACCACTCGTTGACCACTGGTCACCAGAGAATTTTTTACCATCGATCTCTGAATCCCCAGCTGAGCACACAAGTGCAACACCAACATTGCAACAAATCCATCCGCCGAGAAATATATGACCGCGCAAATGCCAATTGTTGAGAACTGCAGAAAGCACACCACCTCATATATCGGACTCTTCGAGGTGTCGAACAAGTAGTCCGAGTGCAACATTAAATGTTGCTCGATGTTCGTGTCGTTAGACATCCTTCTACGTATTTCGATGAAGCCGTGAAGAAAGGCGAAGAATATTAACGCAACTCCTGACAATCCCGAGTAAGTGATGCAAATTTTTCTGGTCAGACGAGCGTTCTTCAGCATCAATGTTCGTCCTGATTCGGTTTCCGGACTCGTCCAATCATCGATAAGAGACGCGATAACGGGTCTCATGACTTCGAAGGGAAATACATTTCTTTAAAATGTGGCGATAAGAAATACGGGAGATAACTTCCAAGGGAAAGAAGTACGAAATAACTGAAGCGGTAATGTAAGCGGGTTAAAGGAGATCTTTTTGTGGAAGATCCCACTTAAGAGGAGATTTAATTGCACTTTCCAAAATTATTTTTCAACTACCTTCTTTGTTCAGCCACATGTAGAACAGCTTGACGATGCATACTATAAATGACAGAAACACCTTCATTAGGATTTCGATGACCTCGTCCAAGTCATCCAGGACCTCCACTAATCTCAGACCCTGAGGAATGGTGACGAAGAAGATGATCGTGACCCCGAGGAAGAGACATTTGCAAAAATCCCATTTTTCGTCGGTATCTCTCAATAATTTAGGATCGGGCCAGATTCCCAAAAATTTCATGCTTTCTCGATTCCAACTGACTTCGGTCTCCAAACCTGAAGAGACGTGTATTTAAGAGAATCCCTACTTCCAAATCGCGGGAAATTCAAATTCTGACCTCCGGAATAATCCTTTGAGAAATCCGATCCTTTCGTGGGACTTAACATATTATTTCTAATCCGTATTTTTACTCCCAAGAATTTATTTTCTTGTTTTTAGAGTAACTTTCGCGATTTCCTTCGGTCGAACCGTTCCTGACCTCGACGCTAAAGAAACTGAAGATTTCTCCTTGTCAACCCCCGAATGGCTTGCAGTGCGCATGCGTTGGGACCCGCGCTAAAGGATGAACCCCAGTAAAAAAAAAACTATTAAATAATTCCATCAACTAGAGACAATCGTAGACACAATAGAGCACGTGAGGTGGTGTACTGCCCTTGAGACATGAATTTACCATGCTTACAAGGAGGAATCTCCTTCCGTTTACTCGAAACTCCGGAAAAGTCTTCAACCTGTGGAGTACCTATTGTACTTAGGGGTACCTACAGGAAGGATCCTTCGACAGGAGCTGCGAAGACCTGCGAGCACCCTTAATCTGAAAGTTCTTATCATATCGTGTTGCATTCGAATACTGGAAAAGTTATAGGGTGAGTATATTTAGAATTATTTAACAACAAAAAAAATAACATAGTCGGTTCCATTCCGAAAGCATCCGTTCACTAGTACGAGTAGGATTCAGCTCAAACTGATTAGGCTCGTTATCATGTCTAATCGGTACCGTAATTAATTTTCCATCTCGAGCTGCTTGCTCTTGACAGCAATCAACATGGACATATATCCGAGCGAGGTTTGCAAAATCTGGAAAGTAACGTTAAATTGACTGGTATCAAAAATTCTACCATTACTTTTCCAGTATATTTAATTGAGATCGAAAATCGTTTTGCCGGAGTCGGAAGAAAAAATGGCGCGTTTCCTTACTTGAGCGCAGGTGACGAATGATAATGCTGAAAATTTCCCTGCAGTTATTTCGAGGGGACACTGAGAGCGAATCATTAACACGATAATACATCTCGCATCTTGCGGAGACAAATTGTACCATTCGCACTCGTAACAGGAATTGCAGAAACCCGTACTCTGCGTGAAATACAGAGGAAAAAATTATAATCGACTTTTAATGTCCCAAGAAAATGTGCGAAAATGGAGACTCACCTCGTCGTGCAGACACTGACCCAGATAACAGAAGAGAAACAAAATCAGTCCCAATGATGAAGTATACATCGCCAGGAAACCTCCTTCCATAATGATCGCCTCCCTTGTTCCCGTCATCAGGGTCTAAAAAACAAGAAAGTTAACCGTACATCGGTTTAAATAAAAAAAAATACTAACCTCTATGAACCTGTATCCCAAAAGACAGAACTGAATGCTGCAGGTGAGCAGAAGACTGAGAGAAACCATGTTGAAGGAGTCCTCCACCTTTCCGGCAAACCTTGGAGAAGGAAAGATATTGAAATTAAATTTCAATATTTTTCGTAACTCATCGTTCATGAAATTTTTCGCGATTAATCAAAGTTTTCCGAAAGATACGAACCAACAGAGATGGTCGTGCCTTGTGACGAGGGAGCGAAGAATTCCCTGAAAATTGACTTTTTTCTCCCCGTTGGAATGACCTAAGTCAAGATTTTGTATAACAGCTCGCTGGATCGCGATTTGAGCGCATAAGTGTAATATCATCATAGCGAAGAAAAAGTCGAACGTGAAGAACGACAAAGCGGCGTACATGACGGTCAGTACTTGAAGACTGCAAACAATCAAGTAAACGGGCGTACTGGAGGTGTCGTAAATGTAGTCGGCGTGAAATAAAAATTCTCGGTGAACTTCGGTGCCGTTAGGATATTTCCTCTGCACCTCGGTGAACGTATATATGATTACGTAAAAAAGAAGGGCCAGGTAGCCGACTATGAAGAACGTCGCAGATATTTTCCTGGTCAGCCGAGCGTACTTCAGCATCAAATTTTCCTGGCTTTTGGTCTTCGGGGTCGTCCAATCCTCGGCAATGGAGGCGACGATCGGCCTCATGACTTGGAAAAATTCGGACTTGACGAAAGAATTTTTCTCGAATTACACGAAGATTTTATCAGGTTGCAATTTTTCGGAATATTTGCGCGCGGAAAATGTACCTTCCTTGAACAACCACATGTGAAGAAGCTTGACCAGACACACGACGAACGTTAGAAGAGGCCTCATCAGGATCTCGATGACCTCGTCCAGGTCGTCGAAATGTGCAATCAATCGTATCGTTTGGGGAATGTTGACGACGCCCATTATCATGATGCCTGGAATAATGCACTTGCACTTCGCCCACTTATCGTCGTTTTCCTTTGACAATTTCGGATCTGGCCAGACTCCCATGAATTTCATGCATTCGCGATACCAGCCGATCTCTGTCTCCATTTTCAATCCCCAAGGGTGGGTTTCCCTAAAACGAACCTTTCTTGTCCTCGACAAAGCAGAAACTGATGTTTCACATTGTTAAATCTCGTCCCCTTCGCTCCTGCGCATGCGGCGTGCACCTCGGAAAGAAATGCCTGCCCCCGGTAAAAAACTGTTTAATAATTCCGCATTTCAGAGGCCATCGCTTCTACCGTTCGCAGAAATGTATGTATATTTATGACGTCGGTGTGTGATTATGGAAGGCGATGGGGAACGCACCCTTTGCGAAAAAATCATGTAATGGAGTACCCACTGGGAGGAACCTTCCGCGGTAGCTGTGCAAAAATTCGAACTGCCGATTCGAAGTAAATTTACGATTTTATGTCAACAACCCCCTGCACCGATTTCCCTTATTCCTTTTTTTTTTAATTATGGTGAAATGTTAAAGGCACAAAAAGTGAAGAATCAGATAAAAAATTTCGATCCGCCGGGAATGACTTCACTTTAATCGAAGTTCGGACCGGCTGTGAGTAATTAATTTCTATAATTGATTTAACGAGTATCTACAAAATACCACGAATAATCGCTAGCTGCCTCTGATAACCTCGTAAACGTTTCGATATTGTTATAATCGACCAATTGGGAGACAGTAGCAGGATGCAGAGTTCATGATCATGAAATTTGTTGCTCGATTATGCGATCTTTGACTGCTATCAACATCGACAAGTACCCTGCCGATGTCTGCCACAGCTGAAAAAGTAAAATTCATCGATTTACTTATTATTCACCCGAGTAAATGGTACGTAACAATTTTTCTCACTTGCGCGAAAGTCCGAAACATGAGGGGTGAAAATTTTCCGGCGGTTATTTGCAGAGGGTGTTGCGATCTCAACATTATAAACATTAGACACTTCGCCTCATGTGGTGACAAATTGTACCACTCGTACTCGTAACACGATTCGCATAAACCTGTGCTCTGCAAATTGTAATTTTTTTCTTAACAGTTCATAAATTTGCGATAATGGATTTCTGCTTTTGTCAAAGACACTTCTAATTCCAGGACTTACCTCGTCGTGGAGACATTCTCCTAAATAGCAATACATAAATGGGACCAAAAAAAGTGACAAAGTGTACATGAGCACGCAACAACCCTGAATAAAAATCACGCCTCTGGTTTCGTTTCTCGGGATCTGAAACACGGAAACTAGAGTATTGTCTTTATTTAGAGGATTATAAAAAAAAATCACTCACCATGAGGAATTTGAAGCCAAGGAAACAAAACTGGAGAGTACAAGCCAGGAATTGACTAAGAAACACATTGTTGAAGGAGTCCTCGATTTTTCGGGTAAACCTTCGAAGGAAAATGTACTTAAAAATGTGTATTATAATTTAATAACCCGTATTAATTTTTCTAGGGAGACTAAAAAATGCGAACCACGAGAGATGGTCGTATCTAGTGACGACTGAGCGCAGCATCGCTTGGAATTCGGATCTCATCTCCCTGATAGCGAAATTCTTTATCACCGACCTCTGGATCTTAATTTGCGCACACAGGTGTAAAACCAGCATGAAGATGAAGCTGTCGAAGGTGACGAACAGAAGAGCAGCGTACATGTCACTGAACACTTGTAAAAAGTAAACGAGGATGTAAACCCAAGTGCTCGAAGTGTCGAAGGGGTAATTTGCATGAAGTACGAATTCCTGCTCGACCTCTGTATTATTGGACAACCTCCTCTGCACTTCATTGAATGCATGTCGAATGACGTAAAAAAGTACGGCGACGTACATCATCGCAAAAAAGGTTTTTCCGATTTTCTGAGACAGCCTGGCATTCTGCAGCATCAAGTCCTTCTCGAAGTTCGTCTTCGGCCTGGTCCAGTCTTGGATGATGGACGAGATGACTGGCCTCAGGACTGAAAGTAAAAAAAAAAATTTCATTTTCACGCAGTACATTGAATGATAAAAAAATATTCTACGCTTACACTTAAGGGAAATGAATTTTTCTCTACCTTCTTTCTTGATCCACAGGTAAATCAGCTTCATGAGGCACGTGGTGGCTGGTACCAGAGCGGCCATCATGATTTCGACGGTTTCGTCAAGGTCTCCCAGAAATGCAACCAATCGCATACTCTGGGGTACTTGCATGACCCCGACAATCACGATTCCAGGTACGATGCACCTGCACAATGCCCACTTATCGTCGGTTTTCTTCGTCAACTTTGGATCCGGCCACACTCCCAAAAGTCGCATCCATCTTCGGCTCCAGTCGATCTCTATCTCCATACCTGAAGAGTAATCGAAAAGTCTGCATTTTCGATGGGAATAATTGTTTTACATATTTTTTCTTTCTCCTTCAAATGATTCTAAGACCGCACTTTTCACGTCTACTCCGCGTTTCCTTCCTTAGAAACGGCGATCAGCTCGTCCACGTCTTCGAGGTCCTCTTCAGGGACTCTGATCATCGAACCGCTCGTTTCCTCGACTCTGTAGAAACTGAAGATTTCCTGGAAAGTGCCTCGAGTACCGAGCAAGTGCGCATGCGAGGTATGGAAGAAATTACGGACTATCCTGTGGAGAAAAAAAAACTCATTAATAATTCCGCCACCTGCAGACGCCGAGGGGACGTGCATTATAAAATTCGATACCTCGGAATGGGCATGAAATGTGCATTCTAGTAGAGAGTACAGACTGACATTGCGAACTTGACGGAGAATTTCCGCGTGACGATGAGTATCGGGAAAGTATTATTTAAATTATTGTAATTACGCGTGCGGTGAATCTGATCGCTTTTATGATATCGCTTTATTATAAATTGCGAATAATCTTGTAAATCGAGTCGTTTATTACAGGTGCAAAATGTCGACATCCGTCACCGCCTAATTCGCTACTTTGTATGCATTAAATGGATGAGCATAAAATGTGCAACCTGGTAAAAAATCGAGACTGAGACATTGCAAAATTGCTGGAGGATTTCCGTGTGACGGTGAGTATTGTGGAAATGTTATTAAAATTACGGTGAACACGTGTGCGGTGAATTTCATAGCTTTATCCTCCTCTCATGTCGTCTTCTTATAAATTGCGAATGATTTTATAAATCCACTCGTTTATTATGGATACGAAACGCCTAATTCGCTACTTTAACGATACTGGATTAATAATTATCGTAATTAATTCTACATGTATCGCAAGGTCTATTTTCCGTCGTCAAAAGTCTTCCTCTTCGAGTAGTCGACTTTTTACGGCTATCAGGACCGATAAATACCCTGCGGATGATTTTAGAATCTGAAACAGACGATCGACGACACAAATCGTTCATATTATTGAGATGAAAAAATTATGAAAAATTAATCTCGATAAAGGGAAATCTCAATTACTTCCGTGAAGGTTTCAAAGGAGAATGCGAAGAATCTGCCAGCAGTGATGCGAAGAGGATATTGCGATCTTATCATTATTAAAAGCAAACATTTTGCCTCCTGGGCTGACAAATTGTACCACTCGCATTCGTAACATGCACAGCACAAACCCATGCTCTGGAACAGAAGGATAATTTAAGAAAAAAGAGTAAGTAGATATAAAAAAAATAATAGGAAAAATCTCACCTGGTCGTAAAGACATTCTCCAAGGTAGCAATAAATAAAAGGAATGAGGAGCATGGTACCCGTGAATATCGTCACGCAGCATCCCTGAATGATTATCATCTCTTTCGTGCCGGTCATCAATGTCTGAAACGGCAAAATTCAATATAAGTCAAGAGGCTCCAAAACCAAAATAAAAAATTCCCCAACCACTCACCACGAGAAATTGGAAACCCAAAAAACAGAACTGGACAGTGCATACGAGAATCTGTCCCAGGAAAGCGTTATTGAATGAATTTTCGATCATGTCGGCGAACCTGAAAGAGAAAAATTTATTTCACACTGGATATCATTCTGAAAATTCAGGATAAATATTAGATGAATTATTAAATAAACACTAACCAGCAGAGATGCTCGTGCCTCATTACGAGGGACTTCAAGACGTCCCGAAATTCCCGATTTCTGTTTCTACCATTTCGAGAAAAATTTTCCAAAATCGACCTCTGAATGGCGAGCTGAGCACAGAGGTGCAAGACCAACATCGTCACGAATCCGTCAGCAGTGAGGTAAGACAAAGCTGCATACATTGTGGCTAAGACTTGCAGAATGCAAATTAATACATATATTAAGACACTCGAGGTGGCAAAACCGTAATTAGCGTGCACCAGGAGATTCTGCTCGGTGAAGTTGTCATTGGACAGTCTTCTCCGCGTCTCGTTAAACGCGTGGAAAATCGAATACAGGAGTATGACCAGATAAGCCATGACGAAACATATCGTGCACATCCTCCTGCTCAGCTGGGCGTTCTTCAGCATCATCTTCTTCTCCGATTCCGTCTTCGGGGTCCTCCAGTCTTCCATCAGCGACGCCACCACGGGTCTCATGACTTGGAATTAAATTAAATAAAAATTGACAAGTTAACAAACTTATTGAAACTGCTAATTGCGAGGTAATTGTACCTTCTTTATTGAGCCATAGGTAGACTAGTTTGATCAGACAGGCGACGAACGGCAGCAGGAACTTCATCAGGATCTCTACGACCTCGTCCAGGTCGTGCAAAACCGTCACCAGACGCATTGTTTGGGGAATGTTAATGACAGTGATCATCATGACACCCGGAACTAGGCACTTGCACATCGCCCACTTGTCGTCGGTCTTCCTGGTCAATTTTGGATCCGGCCAGACCCCCAAAAATCGCATGCATTCGCGGTTCCAGCTGACCTCCGTTTCCATTTTCGGATTTCAAGAAGGAATTTTTGGTAACCGGAAATTTAAAGTCTCTCAATTTAGATTTGCACGAATTTCTAGGCTTTTAGAAACGCCCTATCGAAGCTTGGCGAAGTTCTTCCTCGAGGGCAAAATTCATTTAATTATTTAATAATTAATCTTATCATCGATATCATTTCTGGCCGAACCGCTCGCGATATCGATAAAAGAGAAACTGAGAGCTCCTCTTTGTCAACCCTTGGCAAGATAACAATTGCGCATGACCAGGTGGCGGGAAATAGCAAACCTGGCCGTGCAGGAAACACTTCATTTAATTATTTAGTTTTTAATTCTATCGTCGATATCATTTCTGGCCGAATTCCTCGCGATATCGATAAAAGCTTCTCTTGTCAACCCTTGGCAAGACGACAATTGCGCATGCCCAAGGGGCGGAAAATAGCAGGCCTGGCCGTACAGTAAAAAATCCTTTAATAATTCTACCGTCCTGGAGGAATTGACGAGCAGTGCTCGGCGTACTTACAGTACGCAGGTGTACACCGCAGTGATAAGAATTGCAAGTCGCTGATACGAGGCGGATTGAATTTCTGAATTCGTGGAGGATCTATTAAAGGACTGCAAAAGCTCGACAGAAATTAACATCTGTCAAATTCAAGAATTCACTGCAGTGTTTTAAATTGTTAGTGCATTTTTTGGCATTTTCAGAAGAGTACGGTCGTATGTAATGATATAAAAAAAAGCACACACTCCCGCGTTTATTCCGTCGTATAATCTGTACAGTTCCTCGTTTTTGACGGACGAATTTTATAATTAATACTACCTCACGTCCTGGGGGACAATAAATAGCGATGTTAATCGATTTACTACGGGGTGTCTGGTCATTACATACTTATACATACGTGCAGTAGTGGAAGTACATCGAGGTGCGCACATTATTACGGATTCCTGGAGAAATCACGTATATTAAAATTAACCCGGATGTCGTATCTTAAATCTACGAATTTTAAGTTTCTCGTAATTTTGTCGTGTACCTCCTTTAATGCGGCATGCACCATTTGCGAAACAATTAATCGCGATTATCAGGATGATACGGGGAGGAAAACTCAGGAAAGGACATTTTCTTTTCCTCACCGCAAATCGGCGTTTGAAGAGAGAGAGAGGGAATTAGAAAGTAAATAATAACTAGTTACTTAAGTTAAAGGTTTACATTAAATAGAATTATCGCAACGATTACTATTTACATTTTGGCGTGATATCATCCTAAGCAGGTCCGTCATCGGTCATACCATAGGGAAACGTCATTCCTCCGATACCAATCGGATTCGAAGACTGCGATTAACGTCGGCAAATCAGTCGTGTTTTTACCGTAAAGCATTGCACAATCACGAAGGGTTGATGATATAGTGTCGGATGGGGAAATGTCAACGCTAGAAAAAAACGTTCCCCGGCCTGGCTTGGGGACACAGGAAACTAGAGCAGTCGTGTCTCCTGACAGCCTCCATTACTTCTTGGAAATGACTCGATACTTGGATAGCCGCACTCGGTTGGATCCTAAAGAAGTGACAAAACCAAAGAAAAAGCATTAAAATGGCCCTGGTAATTTTTCAAAATTATATATAAATTAAATGACAGCACGATAGAAATATGACGGAGCTCGTCGCCCCTCCGAGACGCCAAGAGAAAGAAGTGCGGATTAATATCAAATGATTTTGAATAATTTTAATTTTGGTGACAACCGAAAAATCACTCGAAATATTAATGTAAACAAAAGTTGCGAACGGTAATGAAATCGGGAGGAGGATTTCCGGAAATAGCGGAAATCGAGTTTCACCTCTCGGAGACCTTGAAATGTCTCTCCAGGGCTGGCGAACCGCTTCACGCTTTCTCTCTCCACCGTTCTCCCCGGGTATTTCTCTTCTCTTTTTATATGCATACCCGCGCTCCTCGCATGTCGCCAAACTGGGCGATAAAGTGAAACCGTGTTAAGAGGTAAAAGTTGAATCAGTCAGTAGGACGTCGGTGCGCGCGGGCGAAAGCTGAAGAAAGTTATTGCGCTGTACTCTCCACTTGCGCCCCGAGTCCACGATCTCGAATTTGTTTCCGATTTTTCCCCAGGGCGCGTATTTTCCGCTCCGAGTAGGAGAACCGAGATCAGAACGAGCGATACTCACAAGCTCAGCAAGGACGCCATTTTCTTCTCCATAAAGATGGCGTCGTCAGGACCCCTCTGTATCATGGTATCACAAAATATCCTCTTCGCGCAAGGAGTGTTCGTCCAGTCGCCATTAACGTGTCCGACTTCGGCAACTTCGGCGTTCTCCAGATTCTGAAAAGCATCCTCGAGCTCGAGGTCGCCGTCGACGCTTCTTCTGGACCTGGTTTTCCTCTCTTCGAGGTGGTTCCCGGTACCAGCCTCGGCAGGACGCTCCAGCTTCGGTTCTTCGAGGCTTTTCGAGGGTTCTCCAAGACTCTTCGAGGATTCTTCAGGGTCCTCGAGTTCATCCCCAATGACCAGGATGCTGCCCTCGCCCTTCCCTCTCTTCAGCTTCGGAAGGATAAGCTCGTCGATGTTGATACTCCCCCTGGCGGGGACGTCGATCTCGACGATCTCGGAGATGGAGTCGGCTCCCTTCCTCTGGAGACGTTTGCTCCTGACGAGGTTGTCCAGATCGACGTCGGCGTTGAACACGTCGAGGTAATCCAGACTCCTCCTACGTCGTTCCGTCCGCTTGTAGTCGGTTCCCGAGGGCACCTGACCCTTTCTTGGATTTTTCTCGGCATCGGAAGAGTCGTCTTCGAGAACCAGAATCAGACCATCTTCCTGGGTTACTCCATCTGGACCCTCTCCAGGACCTCTGGTCGAGACGATCTCCAAGGGCTCGGCGCGCTGCAGCCCGTCCGACCACGAAGACCCCATCGCTCTTCGTCTCTCCAGGTCTGCATCCTCGTTGGACCTTTTCAGGACGTCGACGTCGAGGTATCTACCGACAGCAACCGCTCCAATTCCAAGAGCAGCCCCCGAAGCGACGAGGCCCAAAGCCGGGATCAGGATCGACGACCCCGAAGCCACGGTGCCGACCTTCTCCTGCGCCTCCTGACTCCTGGACAGCCCCAGATTCTGCGATATTTTATGCGTGGCCTCCACCAGAGGATCGAAAACCGGCTTCGTCAGCTGCGAGACCCTCTCCACGCTGGTTGAAAATCCGTTCCTCAGGTTCTCCGAGATCTTGACCCAGAAGGGCGCCTCGATGGGCCTCTTCAGTCCGTAGAAGTGCTGGTTCGGATAGTAGTTCTTCGTGGTGTAGGAATCAACCAGGTTCTTGTCGTTCAGGACGTACTTCTTCTTGTGCCTCTGCTCGGTGAAGGAGTTCTGGTTCTCCGGGAAGTTGTCGGGCCTTCGTTTTTCATTCTTCAAGATCTTCGCGGGTTGTACCCCGAGCTCAGGGTGGGCGTACTGGAGAACGGGGGCCCTGGCCCCAGGTTTCAAGGCCACAGGAGCGATCTTCTGGCTCTCCGGGGTGTAGACCGGGGAGATCGGGTAATTTTGTACGCCCTCCGGATGCAGCATCCTCTTCTGGACCCCGGAGGTCCCCTTCTCCAGGGTGGCGTCGTATACTTCGGCTCCCAGGGCTGGGTTCCTATAGTTGGCCGGGTCCCACTCGAAGTAGACGTTTCTGCCCTCGTCCTCCACGTTCCTGCCGTACCTTCTGTTCACGTCCTTGAAGAATCGCTCGAATCTCTTGTTCTCCGCCACGTGGAAGGGCCCCAAGGACGGCTGGACGTCGACGTTGCTGGCGGCTCCTTCGAGTACCAGTTTGTTGTTGATGACCCTGGCGTTCCTCCAGGTCTGGATCTTGTCGATGGGCTCGTCGGGGACCCTCTTGCCATGAATCACCGGGGTGCCATCGGCTTCCAGGGACATGGGCGACCTTTTCGGGATCGACTTCACGTTAATCTCCGACCTGATGATCACCTCGGAAGGGACGTCCTTCGCGTCGCGGTTCTTCATCAAGTTGGCTCCCAGGTTGGTCCTCACCGGGGGTCTTGGCTGGTGCCTCAGGAAGGCGTAGGTGCCTTCGTTGTTGACGATTTTACTCGGGTTTAATGCCTCGAAACCGCGACTCGGCAGGATCAAACTTCGGCTCTGGAGAACCGGAGATTGGTACCTGGGGAAGTCCATCCTGTCCTCGCTGGTGCTCGTCGGATCCGTCTGCACCGGCTTCCAGCTCAGGTACGCCTCTGTTGTCCTCTCTTCGGGATTCGTTTTCAGGGCTCGACCATTCTGATCGAGCGGGGTCCAGCTTCCGTAGTCCACCTGTTCGAATTTATCCCTCGACGAGGACGAGCGGTCGTCCTCGCTCCTGTTCTTCGGAGTCTCCGGGGAAATCGAGAACTTCGACCTGATCTCCTCCACCTGCTCGTTCTCCAGCTTCCTGATCTCCTCTCTGGTGATGCTGGAAGATGCCCCGACATCCCCAGGAGTCGATTCGGTGACTGAGTTGGAGGCAACCTCCTTTTGCTCCGGCTCTGACGATGTCGAAGAGCGACGGGGATCCGTCGAGGATCTTTCCCTCTTCTTCACGATCAAGGTCGCCAACTCTCCATCGCTGGTCCTGACTTTCAGCTCCTCCGTTTCTCCTGGGAGACTTCTTGACACCTTCAGAACGGTCCTGGCATAGCTCGGCTTCGGCAATTCCGCGCCCCAGGAAAGCACCGGGCACGCCACGAAGAGGACCACGAAGAGCACCTACGACAGGACACCACCAGGTTACATATCTCACATTAATAAATCTACAAATAATTTCTTTGATAAAACGATCACGAAAACGGATTGTCATTAAATTATGGCCATCACGGCACGAGACCACTCAGCTATCTCACGTATCATTTATTAAATCGGCAAATCATTTCTAAGTAATTCCCTCGATAAAATCATCACGCAGGCGCAATGACATAAAATTATACGGTCCTAATGCGGCAAACACAACGTGGGCATTCATGAATCCAGATGATGACAGCTTGCACAAGACGTCAGGGTCGATCGTTGCGGGCCTCGCAAGTCTCGAGGGAACAATGGCGACGGAAAGAAAATTCCGTCGAAGCGTCAGCAATGACAATGCCTCGCCTACGCAATTCTCAGCCGAAAGGCAATCGGCGTGCCGATTGCTCCGAGGTACTTCCAGAAGACACGTGGCTGATTTACGGCCACGCTCAGAAAAGCCATACCGAGACTTTCTCCGAGTAGCGGTTACCAGGTGAGATTCCTCCGCTTTGTCGAGGACCTCCTCTAAGAGGTGCACCCTACTTACCGCGGATGCACTTTGAATGTCACAGGCGAGAGATCTAATGCACGCCCATGCACGCCCACGTTCAAGTGGAGTGAATAAAAAAGGGGGAAAAAATATGGCAAATTGCAACAGAGGTCTTATTCATACCCGAGGCACCGCCATTACGAGGAGATAGGGAGTCGATAATGACGGAGGCCGATGATTGCTTGAATGGACTGTTGTAAATAATTAGCGATAATTTCTGAAGCGATGACATCGAGACGTAATGCCGAGTGAGATCGATGAAACCCCATTTCTGACGTTTATTCGGGGTCTGCCCCTCGAAAGTCACAACGGTGAGTTACATTCTCACGGAAATACGCGCGGAAATTACGCAAGCCGAGCCGTGCCGAGTGTAACAAATCCATATACGCGGTAAGAGATCAACGTGAAATAACTAACCAATCGCGGTTACGGTGCGCCGGGCATTACGTCAAATTGTACCCATAAGTGTGAAGGGTTACTCAACTGCGATCGCCGTCAGTTTCGACCTGGGGCCCGATTCTCGACGTTCAGGCGGATTTTTACTTCGCGTATTAATAGATTTGTCGGATAAAAAAAATCGCAAAATGTGAGGGAAAAGCTCCCAGTTTCCGTAGAATCGCATTTTGTAAGGAAGGCCTGCGCGGCGGACGAAAACCGAGGGCGCCGCGCAGGTGCCGCGGGGGTATAAATAGGGGCGCGCGCCGCTACCGCTTCAGTCCGCGCTTGCGTGCGCGCCGCGCGCATCCCCGCGAGTAGGCGGGTCACGCAAGCTCGTTCCGATGCCACGATATCCTCGTGGACATGAAAGACGCATGCGAAAGGAGTCTCTGAAAAGGTTTCGAAAGTCGGCGCGGCCTCCTGGGTCTCCTCGCGATGCAGTTTTCTAGTCGTTCCCTCGATAACGGCCGTGAGCGGACGAATTAATGGAAGCCCTCGTCTACCGAATGGCGTGTTCGCGATGCCCGGTCGCCGAGAGAACGGAGAAACTTAATGGATCACCAAAGATAAACCGTGACTCACTTGTATACCCCAATTTTTGTACATCTGTACAAATGTACATACTTTCCACATTTGCAGGATTTACCAACGGGATCCAAGGAGCCGTCACTTTTTACAAGAAAGCGCTAACAAAACTCGGAGAAAGTCTATATACAACTATAAGTTAACGAGAATTTAACGATTATTATTAATACCTGTCATGTATTACCGCCGTTACATGCGTGCCCGTAAAAATGCGACCGTAAACTTATTATACGACTACTAATTGCACGAATTACGTCCCACGGTTTATGAAAAACCGTTCCGCTGCGCATAATTAACGATCGCGCCCCTAATGGCACGAGAAAGTATCCCATGGTTGTTTAAAGTCCCGGACAGTTTGAATCACGCTCTCGAGGAGTCATTTTCAAGTTTCTCCGGACTCGTCAGTGATAACGCTGCCTTCTTATAGTTTTCGAGCATAATTGGAAAAGTCAATTTACGGGGACGTAAATCGACGCTGCCGGTCGATCGCAACGCGGAAAGGAATTCCATCGTTTATAGAAATTGCGGGCTGGCCGGGATGAAAGAGCCGGATACTTTCTAAGTTTCTAAAATAGTGGAAAACGACATGACCGGGCAGACATGACGGAGCGTCGTTGCGTGTAATTATTCCTACGTGCGATTGTTACCGCCGCTATGTTGGCGCCTCCACGCGATTACTTTTACATCCCTCGATATCTGGATGATAAATTCGAAATAAAATGATATCGGGGGTTTTCATTATTTTTTTTTCCGCGACACGCAAGAAGACTCCCTCGGTATTTCGTGCCCGGAAATGCAGGACGCGACGCCGCGTTTCGCCGATCCGCATCGCACGGCGTTTCCGCTCTAGAAAATCGGCGGGCAACATTAATTGTCCGGCAATTAAGTCGGTCCAGTTCTTTTTTTCCGCAAAGCGGAGTGCCCCAGGTTGGAATCGCCGCGGTCGATCGGCAATTCCAGCCTTTTTGTCGCCGGTTCAACGGACCGCATGAATTGAACCGTTCGACGGTTCAATTCCGTCCGTTCGATCGATCGAAAGCAGGAAGAGGACGATCATCGATCCATCGCCATTGACTTTCTCCCGATTCCGATCGGGCCGGAATGCGTTAAATGCAGCCTGCGAAAATGCACTCGACCTTGCCGCGGTGGTTCCCGTGCACTTTGAATACAGATATCAACCCCTGATTAAAAAATCAGGTCATTTCCGTCATTATCTCCTAAAGAAAAAAAATCATGAAACCCTCCGAAATGCAGATAAAATGCAATATTTCATTACTAAAATTTATTACAAATGACCCGACTCAGGGGTTGACGATATCTGGGGGAAGTACTTTGCCTCCGCTTCCTAGTGGGGCTTCGATCGTGCCATTTTGAAAATAATCTTTTCATGCGCAATTGAATGTATATTAACGTATATTAATAGAAAGCGGTGGAGAGTGCGGGTGTACCTGGGGTTTGGACATGGCGAGGCACGTTTCCCGGGTGGACGTCGGAAGTCTCGGCGCGCCGACGCGGATCCTCTGACGGCTCGCGCGCTTCTGACTAGTTGGCTCCGAAGCCCTCTTGGAACATCCTCGCACCAGCTGGCGGTGCTCGACGCTGATTGGCCGAGCCGACCAATCGCGGGCGTCTGCGCAGTCGGCTGCGCGCGCGGCTGACTCTCCTCGGACTTCTTCACTGGCGGGACGTCCTGAAGAGACTGACGGCTATCGGGTGGAGGCGCCTCATGTCGCCCGTCCGAGGTTCTCTCCGACCTACTTATTATATTCGACGCCCGTCGATGGACATCTCGACCGCTCCCGCGACGGACCGACGGGTTTCCGAATTCGAATTCGACTCGTTCGGGGTGAAAGGATAACCTCGCTTTCGGATGGAAAAAACTCGAAAAGGGGCACTTTCCTAATTTGCCCAAATTTGGGGTCGAGGTAGACGCAACTCGAGCGAGCGTGGAAAAGAGACTCGAAATCCGGAAATTGATCGTTAACCGATGTAGGAAGACGGACTCTCGATAAAATAATGGATGATTAATCGATGACGAGTGACATTTCAGGATCGTCCATCTTTACTTTGGAGGTTGCGGAAGGAGGACCGACCCGTCGAAAAGATCCGGCATCTCGATGGAAAGTCGGCAATTTCGCGGCGCGTCTCTCCCAGCTCGGCGGAAATCGACGGAAATCGCGGATCCTCTTCGGAGGCGCGGATTTCAAGTTTAAGATGGCGCGTGTCCGGTCTCGGCCAGAAGAGGCTCGAGGCGGGTTCAGAGACCTTCAGTGAAAGTTGCCATCGACGAGACACGCACACCTGCGGTGCAAGACCGAGAACCTGCCGAAACTCGGGGACACGAACCCGTGACCTCGAGGAGGTCCCCGATTTGGTATGCATGCAGTCGGTAGGAAGGAAGAGACCAACGGAATCGGCCTTCTTGCTACGTGCTTCCCGAAGAATCCTCCTCCACCTCTTCGCCGCGGCTTTCTTTCCGTCCCGCCGCCAGAAGAAAGGAAAAGGAAGAGGCCGACGCAAGGAAACTCGATCGAGCTCCTCACCCCACTATTTATAACGTTAATTCCAATGAAATTGTACAACCTATTTGCAAAAAAAAAATATATACCCGTAAACAATTTCCAGATACACATAAGCACTATTAAAATGTATGCACATCTAGTACATATGGAATTTCGATAAAACCGTAAATTTGGAGTCTCCCATATAAATTAGCTGTAATTTATTTGAAAGATGTATGCATAATAAAAATTTGATAAAACTGGTCTGGATAATGCTTTCGGAATGTTCCTTAGAGGTTTCGGCATTTTTTCTATTTAACGGGGTAGGATAAGAGGAAATCGGTGATAATTTGATTGCCTCTCGACTATTTACGAGGAAACCGTGTCAGGTGAATCTTGCGAGATACGAGCATCGAGTTAGAACTCCTGGAGACACCTGACCCCTCTGAGAGTTCTCGAAATGTATGCATACCACCTGGGAGAAGATAAGACACGAAATTGGCCTCCGGGCTCGACTCTCTTCATTTTCTCCAGCCGAGGAAGGGACGAGCGACAAGCGAGGGAATATCCGACATGATCGATGAGTCTCCAGGAAACTGGTACGATCCAGAGCCGAAATCATCCAGGGATCGTTAAACGAAGACCTCGAAGCTCGCCACGCCTCGTTTCGGCCGAATGAGAGCGGAAAATGGACGACTCGATCGAGCGAGGTGGAATCGAGTACACAATGTAACATGTAAAGGGGCCACGGTAAAAAGTCCGCCCGAGAAATTGGCCGTAATGAAGCGAAATGTTGCGCTAGGTCGTAAAACCGCGCCAGCAAGAAAACCATCGGTGAAAATCCCATAAACTTCGACGAGGCTCGACTCCTCTCCAGGAAGAGGCCGAGGAAAAAAATGGACGATGAAAAGAAACCGCCAAACAATGGCAGATACTCCTCGAATGATATTTACCAGCCACGAAAGGTCTCGACGCTGATTCTTCATGAAATCGTGACCGTTCCCTCGAAGAACGTCCATTGGCCTCGTTTAAAGAGGCTTTGTACCCATGTCGAACGTACAGCCCATGAACGAGAAGATAAAAAAATCCCCGAAGATGTCCGCCATCTTGATTTTTCGATTTACTCCACAAACGACGATACAAGGGAAATAATCGGTGACTTATCGCCACGACAATGCCAAAGGACTCCCTTCGGCTCTTTCTGCATTGTTTGGAAACCCATGCACACTCGTTTGCCTTGACATACCGATGCAAACGCAGAAACTGCGAGTCGGGGCTATGCTAATTGTGGATCGTAGATCTGGAAAAAAGGAGGAGTCCTTTGAAAGCGGATCCGAAGACCTTGAATATCCGCCGTTTTGTGCCATTTTTATGAGACTTTTATGCCTGGTTTAGGCGGCAGAGGTTCAAGGGGAGATACCCGATGGGATTAAAAAGTAATATAACCTCAAATAACCTCCGGGATTATTTGTTGCGCAGGCCCTCTCGGGGTTTATTAAACGAATTATCATTTTACCGATGTAATGGATGATAATTTTAAAGTGCAACCGCTCGGCTCTACTGACGCAATCACTCGCAATGGTCTTTTCTTTTTCTTTCTTTTTCTTTCACGTGGGCACCTTGCGGCAACTGCAACGTCATAATTAAATGCAACGAGAGTGCGCGCTCTTAACGGAAACGCAAGACGTGGCCTGAGGTGCCTTTTAGGCACGCCTAAATAGGAGACCAGCCGAAAGGCCGGTACTAATAGTCGCCGAATATGTACGAATAAGGATAAAACGCACGAGAGAATGTTATTTACCGTCTGAGAAGTCGCTGGACAAAACCCACCGAGAATATAAATTCTTCCGACAGAAATGGACCCTCGTATTTACTGAGAAAAATGTTCACTCGCTAACTGCCCCGTCTCCATTGCCCCGCGTTAATGGCCGACTAATTATTAATAATCACGCTAATCATACGAGGACCGTAATTAGAGTTTTTGCCGACTTCCCTTGCAATGAGAAATTCCGAGGATTACGAAAATTGCGAGAGGCGGATGTCGAGACGCAAAAATTCCGGCTTCGTTTTGGGGATCATAAGCGACGGCCACAAAATGGCGGACAAGTCTCGAGGCCGGAAATGAAGCGTTCGGGTCAGGGATTTCAACGCTGCAGCGTTCTCGCATTCTTCGAGTGAAAATAAGCGTGCATCGCCCCTTCCCTTTACCAAAATCTGATTCCTCGAAATCGAGGGAAGGCCCTCGATTTTCCCAGAGTGAAAAGGGCGACCTTTCCCCTGAGAAATATTCCACTCGGCGAGGTAAAGAAACTCGAGCCCCGAGGTGAAGAGAAGGTCCGAGAACGTTGAGAACTTTTTCCACTCGCGTTATGCCCCGCTAGAATTTTATGATAATTTAACGCGCCATCCATCCGTTATCACTTATCCTCCATCTGCAGCGTATACGACTCCTCTCGACTCCGATAACGCTAAAGTAGCGTCGTTTAGGCTCGCTCTTTTAACAACAATAGAGAGCCTTGTAAAAGTGGGTCGCAGACGGCTCAAAAGATCCAAGACGTCGAGATGTAGTAATTGACATTTCATTGGCATTATTCCTTGCGGAACGAACAGGTGCATCGTAAACGCGTACGGCCTTGGGCTCCATGATAAGGGCCAAACAGGTTAAATGTGCCTTATCGACTTGTCCCACGATTTTTTTTATTTCATCTCCATGCTGGTAGCAACCTAGAAAAAAATCTCTCATTTGGTAAATCCCTCGCAAAGTGTCGTTTTAAAATTATCCATGTGCATGGCTTATGCAGAAGTGCAGTTTTTCGCAATTCTAGGCAACCTCGTGGGCAACCTATCGCGACAAATCGAATAGGATGAACGCCTCGCACACTTTCTATGAACTCATCTCGATCAAGGAAGTCAGTGGGGCAAGGAAATTATCCGTAATTACACCGATACTTCCTAGCTTTTTATCGATCGACAGCCGCCGGGATAGAAACGTAATCATGGGGAGAGGCATTGTCGATAGCGCGTGTCTCGATTCTATACACTTTTGATCCTGGCCGAAAACTTTCGACCTCAGCCTGATTAGAACCCGAGGCTGACTCATGACTTTCGCTGGTCCTGGTCCCGATCATCGAGTTTTCCCACGGTATAAGATTCCAATCCGACCTCGATCCGTTTCATTAAATTTTATCGACGCCCAACGAGGTCAAGAATTTTTCCTTCCGGCAGAAAATCCCGCCGGAAAAATAAATTCCGGGATTTTTACCCACTTCCGGTCTGGCTGGATCTTTCATCTCGAAGTGTGGAATCTTTCCTTACTCTTGGCTGCCTTAAATTTGCTTTTACCATTTGTTTTCTCGAGTACGAGCGCCATCAAAGTCTGACCCACTTGCTCTCTGCCGACTACTTTCACTTGTACATACACACGGGTAAAGAAGAGGCATGTAAAAAATTTAAGTAAATCTCCGGTCCACTGGCACGGACTGATTTTCGTCCTTTTTTCTTCCCCGCGACTTTCCCACGTCCGCAAAAACCAGTGCAGAAAAAAAGAAAAAAAAATGGCGCGAGGATCGGCCCTGATTTTCTCAAATCATTTAATTCGCTCTCGCGATTTCCATGTAATCACCTTAATTCCAGGGAAAAAGGGGACGAGTCATTAGCAGACGATCAGGCTGCAGTCCTTCCTTTTTATTGCTGCAAAAACGTCCTGGAGGCTGTGGTCCTTCGGCCCTTCTGATTGCTCCCTAAAAAATGAAGGACTTGTCAAGTGTCGCGTCGAAAGGATAATCAGGGAAGGAAAGTATGAAAAAATGTGGTATGGAAAATCCTACGTTCCTGAAATGGCTTGAAAGATCCTACCTCTCCAGGAGGTTCCAGAGGACATTTTGCAGTAAATCCTGCCGTGATTTACCGCCAGCCAGGATGATCTCACAGATCGACCTCACCTCACAGATTATCGACTCCTCCGTTTGGATTTCTTTGTGCTCCGCCGGCAGATCGATAACTCTCAGCTTGGACAGAACTATGTTTGGCTGACTGCAGGAAAATAGAAGAAAAAATAAGGAGTAACCCGTTTCCAGAAAACCAGTCGAAGTGTCGGCAGGATGTCCAGGAGAGGAGAGCCACCTACTCACGTCGAGTTTCCTATCTGCATGACTCTTGGTTTCAGCGCGGCCAACAGCAAACCCAGAGGTAGAAACGTGCCTATCACGTGAATTATTTTCTTCCACGGTGAAACTCTGCAAGAAATCCCCGACTTAGGATCTCCGTCCACCTTGAAACGCCGCGGAGAAATTCGCCGCGGAGATTTTACGTCGATTAAAATCGTCCTTTCTTTAAAATAAAAAGGAAATAATTGAAAAAAAAAACATGCAAATGCGCAGCGAAGAGGATGTCGGAGTGATTTCAATGCCTCGCGGTAGATGGTCATCGAGATACAAATGGCGGAAACAAGCGGTACTTTTAATGGAATGGTGCTCTGACAAAGCCACTCGGAAGAGTAATTACGGTAATCACCCTCACTGGTGCTAAAAATAGGCTTTCCATGAAAACCAGAATTTCCTATCGATTAAAGCATGCATTTTTTCCTAATCAAATACCTGTTCTCCTTGTTCCTGACGGGATGAGGCGCTGGGAGTCCTGGATCCTGGTACCCGGGAAGGACCTGCGTTTGCAGGAACTTGTACGGGAATTTCTGAGTCCTAATCGGTTTTGCAGCTTCGTAGGGTGTCGCAAAGTACAGATACGGTTTTTCGACAGTCTGGACTGGATAAGGATATTCCTGCGAGACCAGGACCTCCGGATGCTGGGCACCGTCGAGCACCCCAGGGGGTCTCGAAAATTGGCCCTGAAAATCCGGGTACCCTGAAGAGACGTGGTTAACGTCGCCGAAAAATCTCCCTTGCCCGAAAACTGAACCAGGATCCTGCAGGACGTTTTCCGTAGAGGGGGTCCTGAAAATGGGGTGTCCAAAAAATTCGGGCACCGGAAAAATGGGCTTGTCCAGGGTCAGGGTCGCCTCGGTTGGGTTTTGATTGAAGACCCCCTCCAGGAAAGGATGCACTTCCGGGACCACAGGATGCGTCTGGACTTTAGTGGGATCTGGTCTGCTGTGTCGACTGTCGGTATCGTAGAACTTGATCCTGTTCTTCCGAACCGACTGCGGAACCGTCCACGGTACCTCGGGGTCTCTCTTCAAGGTGACGATATTCTCGAACTTCACCTGCTGCACGTCGTTGAAGGGATTCGTCCTGGTGATCTTGAACTCCTCGATCTCGCCCAGGTGGACGCTGGGCTTGAAGACGCTGTTTTTTATCATAGAGTCCCCCTGGACCAGAATTTCCTTGGTCGCTCTGGTCCCATTTCCCGAAGAATCGGTAAAACCGCTCGTCTCTTTGCCGACCGCTAATCCAGGCTCCGTTCTTTCGGAATTCTCCTCCACCGCCTCAACTTTTGCGGACCTCGAATCTTCAACTACCTCTTCGGGAACCGACTCGGTCGTATCTAGACTCTCCAAAGAAAATCCACGCTGCAGGAATGATAAACAAATTAGTGTATTAAAAATCCAGATACTCGGGAATATCACTCTTGGCGGCTTCATGTTATAGTGAATATTCTTCCTTGGTATTTATTAACTTCGATGAGATAATTCCGGGGTGAGAGAGTTAATCTAACGTTGACTTTTATGGATCTTAACGAACGCGGAGAGAGCAGCTCGGCGACGTCACCTCCCCGGAAAAAATCGCAGAACTAAACCGCGTCCCGCCGAGTTTCTCGTCTTTATTCCCCTCCGACTCTTAAAAAGCGTGAAGATTCTCCTCGACGACTCTGGTACTCTCAATCTGCTCATCTCTACTCACTCCAGTTAGCCGGGATAAAGTCTTCCTCTTGGTCTTTAGTTCGGGCACGCATTTACCTCGGCGTCGGTCCCGATGAATTTTCCAAGGCGACTTACCGGAGCTAGGTAAATAAAACCGCGGCGGCCAGTAGCCAAAGAACAATACAAAAAATAACATGAGCATCGGAACCACCATTTCTCCTCGTATCTAAATTTCTACTTCAATTTTACTCGAAGCGCCCCAAGCGAAGCGCCGCCATCTTGGGTACGGACCGGGAGCGACGGTTTCCCCGCAGATTATCGATGTCAATTTTAATAATCGCTTTCAAATGGCGCCCGTTTTTCCACGATTGATTTTCCTCGATTTCCAGCGGAGGAATCCTTTTGAGGCTCCACCGTGATGAGAGTTTCCGGTACGGATAATTATCGAGCGGAGACACGAATGCGCGGCTCTCTCCGCTCGCTAACCCACTCTTCGACCACTCGTCGAAATCTCTAATAATAGTCCCCGTCCTCCGAGGATTCTCGAAATCGTTCCAAAGTAGGAGACCGGATTCCTCTCTATTGTTGCAGAAGTGGCGAACAAACTGGTGCACGGTGGGTGAAAGTAGAAGAGCGAGCGAGAAAACACTTGAAAACCCATGAAAATCGGCGGCGCGGAAAATCCAGGAGTCCAGAAACCTCCAATCCGCACGGAAAAAAAAACTAATAGATCATATCCAAAATTCTTGGGAAAAATCATATAAATCTGTGTTTTGCCGAATGGGGAGCAGGAAAATCGCGTACGGCGAAAGTCATCGGAATGTGGGAAATTCTGGAAGGGGACTAGGAGGATGAGGAATTCCTGCAGGGAATTTCGTGGTACTCGAGTCAATATCGAGCCCGGAAGAGCCCATAAAAATTGGCGAACGGGCTCGTAAAGAAAATGGCCTCCTCGGCAGTGGTCTCGCGGAAGAGTACTGTTTTCCTATAAGTAGACTGACCGACAATGAAAGTAGCGTTCACGCGGCTAGGCTGTTTTTGCGGTAATCTCCTCGGTGACCCGGTTCTCTCGGATCGAGTAGGCCAGGAGTAGTGGCGAGTAAACCGCGGCCGGTAAGTCGGAGCCCTGCGGATTAACGACGGAAGCACGAGTCGTAAAACGACTGGAGAACTTCCCTTCTCAAGAAAAACGCCTTTCTGGGCCGAGAAAGCGCGAAAATCGGACTTGAAATGGCACGCCATCATTTTTTTCCAAATCTTTTGGGAAGAGAGAAAAGAAATGGATGAAGATAAAAATGGCGACCTAGAAATTCCTAGATTTACTGAAATTCACTTGACACGGGATATTACGTCAAAACCAGTCCTAACCCCATGGGACGTTCTTTCGAGAGGCTCTCCACACGTAAGCCCGTAAAAAGATGAAAAAATCCCGCGAAAGTGGTCGCAAAGTTTACGGCATCCAAGATGGCGTCACCTCGTCGTGGGCACTTTCCTTGGGATAAATTGCGGAGAAATTGACGTAGACGTTTTCGGGATTACTGAGATTCCCGGAGATCCTCTTAGATTCTCTGGACTTCCGTGGAAGGAAAAGGGAAAATGGCGTCGGTGGTCTTGACTCCTTTTTCGCTCGAAGCGCGGAGAGGATCTTCCTGTATATATCCTTCTCGAACCGGAAGAGGGCCTGAAGTGGTTTCGGCCCTTGTTTCTCCCTTCCCGGTCGTCTCGCTTTGCGGGACATTTCTCTGGCGGAGAAACAGCCGTCTGACCGAGATCAAACGGTCCGGTAACAAGAGACACCGGGAAACTCTCGAGAGGCCGCGAGAACGGCCGCGGAGATTCATTGTCAAAGTCGCTCTTATCCGCTTCCAGGCCGCTCGTTAAAGGGAGAAAGTAGGGTTTTGACAAAAGGCAAAGTCCCCGACAATATGGCGGACGGTTTCTTTCGCCTCCCCCGGGGAAGGTAACGAGGTGCGAGATCGTCCGCGACAATTGGAGCGTGACCGAGTCGCCGGCACCGGTCTTAGAAAAGAAAATCATCGCGCGAAAGGCGCGGCCAGGAATTAACATGACAAAACGGCGCCGACTGACATGACTGGGAGGGAAAAGAAAAACCAAATAATGCCGACGAGGGTCACGGGAAGGAATTCCCGTAGAGCGCGACGCCCTTCCGGTCTCCCGAACAAGATGGCGACAACGGCCTCTATCGACCTTTCATTTTTTACCAACCAGTACTCCACCCGAAATATAAGTCTCCTCCCCATCCTTGAGAATAAAATAAAAATAGTTCTTGAACAAAGAGTCCGAAGATGTAACTAATTTTTCTCGATTATCGGCATCCCATTTTCCTGACCTCTCCCTGTGGATCCCTCAGAGGAATCTTCTTTAGCGAGGGATACCGATCGGACACGCTCTACAGGATTCGTTGTCGTGTGCTTAAATCGGCCCGACTTTCCGACGCGATGAAGCCGAAGAAGCGCCGAAGAAGAGGAGGGCGTAGACGAACGAGGGAGAAAGAGCTGGAGGAACTCGGAAAAAAGACGGAGACACCTCGGACGGAGACGAAGAACTCCGTTCTCCCGGTGGTCGCGAGAGAAAGAGGCAAAATGGACCACACCACGAAGTGGGGATCTGGATTAAAAGCAAACGAGGCCATCGTCCGGGCACCAGAACCATCTCGGACCTTGAAGAGTCGCGGGTCCGGATCCTGGCAGAATCCGTTTATGTCATTGGACGGTGCTTCGAACCCAGGTTCACGGTTAGTGTCGGTGTATCGAGTATCGATAGGCAGGATTCGAGGAGTCGTCCTGACCGATCGATCGATCAGTGGGGAGGAGTGATAGACCGACTTCGAAGAGTCGCTCGGAAGTGCAACTAGTCAAATAAAAATTTTCCTGGATTTTCCTGGATATCTTGGGTCATCCTGGATTATCCTGTGATACCCTTGAATTATCCCGGACCGCGAATCCAGGTCGGTATTAATTAATATCGATGCTTGCAGATGATCTTCCCAGGAGTAGTGACATCCCTGCTCCTGGTGGGCCTAAACTTCGAGGGGTCCTCGGCAAGGACTCGCATCCTGGAGGAGGCGAGCACGAATGCCTCGGACCTGTTCAAGACAAAGCACGACAACCTGAGGATCCTGCAGGAACCGATAGCGGTGACGAAGGGACCCACCTCGGAAGCTCGAAAGTCCGAGGTCGACATCAGGGACGAGTCGAGCGCGAAATTCGCCAGGAGGAACTTCATCGAGAGCTCGACCTTCAATCCAGACGTGCTGAACAGGTTCCTGGAGGAGTACGCGACGAGGGTGAAGAGCACCACCGATAGGAACTTCAGGTACCCCTTCAGGGGCGTCTCGGCGCCCTTGGAGACGGACGTCCTGGTTCTCCACGAGACCAGCTCGGAACAAGCGGCGACTCTCGATGCCGAAGAGGTCGTCCCCGGCGACAACGGGATCAATTCTACGATGATGGAGACGGTAAGCCATGGTGACTTCTTCATGGTCTCAGGGTGCGTCCATAACTCGGGAAAATTTCAGCTGAACGGTGACCTGAACGACACTCTGGAGAGGAACAAATATTGGGGCTCCACGTCCCACGAGGACAGGAACGGCTGGGTGACCCTGGACGCCATCCCCTGGTCGAAGAGCAAGATCTCCAAGTGGCAATCCAACCCCAGCACGCAGAGACCCTGGCCGGAGATCAAGCCCTGGGAGAAGCCAGGAGGAGAGAAACCCTGGCCCTCGGACTACTCTTCAAGACCTGGACCGTCCTACGAGAGCAACAAACCCTGGTACGTCGACCTGGACCCAACCTCCAAATCAACTCCAAGATCCTCTCTCATTAAACCCCTTATCACCAGAATTATATATTTGTTTATTAATTTCTCAGGTACGATAAGCCGAAGCCGCACTGGGCGGAGTCCTACGAAAAGCCCTGGCAGTCTCAGGAGAGACCCAGACCAGGACAAGCGTCTCGTCCTGGATCTTTCTCGGATAAATTCGATCAACCTAGCGTCCAGACGCAGAAGTGGCCACCAGAGCGACCCTGGGACCGCGAGCCATACAAGCCCGGCACCGACATCATCACCGACGACCGTCCCTCCAATTTCCCAGCGTCCTGGGAACGTCCTCGACCCTCCAGGCCCTCCTACGGCTACGACCGATACGGGGAGAAGCCTCGCCCCGAAGAGGCCAACGACTGGGACTTCCAGCACGAGTTCCCATCTAAGGTTGACCATCCGACCGAGCGACCCACGAATTACCCGAGCCTGGACCGGCCCCACTTTTCCCAGTATCAGTACTCGAATGACCGGCCCTCTCATCCTTCCAGCGGAGATGGCCAATGGGTGCTGCTGTCGACCAACCGCGGCTACTCCAAGTCTCGCCAGAGGTCCATCAAGATCGAGGCCTCGCCGATGGACCCGGTGAAGGTCGAGAGAGCCTCGCTTCCGCTCTCCACCCTGAAAAACACCATGAAGGAGACAACCGAGCCGGAAGTCCCGGTCCTGACCTCGAGGCGCCAGGTCAGGCTGACGGTCCTGCCCTCGGTCAACGGGACCAACACCACCACCTCCCATGGAGGCCTCCTCGAGGTCGAGAGGACCTTCAAGACCGTCGACCAGAGCCAGAGAGAGTACGAGAGGGAGAAACTGACCGCCGACGAGCAGACCACGATCCTAAAGAAGAGGCCCATCCGGAACACCATCCTCAGGCACCCCTCCAACTCGGCCGTCCTGGCCGCCGTTAGCGCGGGGATGCTACCCGCCACCATGGCGATGATGATCCCCATGGTCCTCGGCAGGAGGAAGAGGGACCTTCGTCTCACCCTAAAGAACCCCCTCGACCTCGATCGACTCCGCCAAAGAATCGCGCTTCCGATGTAGGGAGCGAGCCAGACCGGAAGTAGGACATAATTGGGCGCAATTTGACAAAATTTCACCTTAAATTCAATTACTTAAAATCTGAAATTCTGGAATTGCCAAAGAGACATTTTCTACGAAGAGGCGAACGATCGATTTTTTTTTCGAAAGAGAGTTTCGCAGAAAAATTCCAAGTGTCTTTAAAGTTTCGAAAAAGAAAAAAAGAAAAGAATCCGAAATGCGAGCGACCTCTGCGTCGGGTGGATCGTACGTCGTTTATTTACACTATCCTGCGTGTAGGAGTAATATATAAAGTAACGTATTTATTTATATTTATCTGTAATTATATAATAATATATATACTTATTTATGTACGTCTACTTTACAATTACTCGAATCCGCTGCGAAGTTCTGTCCTACGACGGAATGCAAAGTCTAGCCTTTCCTATTTCGACGATCGACGATTTTCGAAAAATCGGCGAAACTACCTCGCTAATCTATCAAGTAAGGCTAATTTCCTTAAATTATTCCTTAAATTAACTCTCCGAAAATTCGGGAAAATCGGCGAGCTTTCCACCCCGAGATCTCGAAGAAGCTGTCGGAGAGCTTAGGATCGCTTATCAATGAAGAACTATCGACTAAAAACTATAATTTACTGTGCAAATTAGAGAGCGTTATGCACCCTAGAAATCCTGACGAATTATTGGAGATACGTCCCTACAGACCTCGATATTGCGAATTTCGCGAGAAAGGGATCGAAATCCAAGAAATTCAACTGCACGGAGGACCATGGCGTACTCGAAGAGTCTCTTCCGGTGCCTGGAAATCTCGAATTCGTTTCGCCGTGCCATTTGGACCATCCTAGAGATCACTCTTCCCCGTTGAGTCTTTTTTGCACGTGGCCCAAGTATCGCGCAAATCCTTCGCTGGCGTGCTTCAAGATCGTCAAGCCAAGCCGGAACTTGACCTCGGCGACCCTCTTCACGAAGCCGAAGAGGCCGCTATTTCCTTCCTCGTGGTTTTTCTCCGTGGTGGCGTCGAACCAATCTTCCGTGGTGTGCAGAGGATCGGTGGTGCTCTCGGAAACCTCGGAAGAAGCGAGCGAAGAGGTTTCAGCAATCTCCGAAGAAGAACCTGAAGAAAAGTCCAAGTTAGAACCCGCGGAGGAATCCGAAGGGGAGGTTAATGCGGTACCCGAAGAAGTCTCCTCTTCTCTCCTCGTGGTGGGACCAGCGGTGAACGTCGTCGCTTCCTCGGTCGACCCCGAAGAAGCACTCGTACTCTCCGGTTGCTTTTCCTGCGAGGTTTTCTTGTCCTTGTGGCGCCTCTTCTGGTCCTCCTCCTCGGGCTTCTTCTCTGCGCTCTTCGGGGTCTGGACGTCCCCCTCACCTGGTATCACGGAGTCGATGATGTCGAGGATCTCGTTGCTGAGGTCCTCCTCCTGCTCGTCTTTCTCGACCTCGCTTCTCGAAGGGATCACCTGGATGACGGAGTCGCGTTTCCTTCTGGAGGGGCTTCGAGAATGCACCCAGCTGGAGACCTTGAAGACCCTGGGACGATGTTCCTCCACCTTTTTAAGATCCTCCTCATTTTTTATCCCGACCTCGCGTCTTCTTCTAGAGCTCCTAGGATGCATCGAGTCGATGTCCTCGAGGGTCCTGGGACCATGCTCTACCGCAACCGCCGAAGGCGTGATCTCTATCTCTTCGTACCCATCCTGGCTCTTCAGGGCCTGGGCCTCCGGCTGGTCGTAGCCTTGAGGCAGGTCGGGCTCTTTTACAGGTGCATAGGCTTGCGCCACCTCTTCGGCGTAGCCGCTCACCTGTTCCTTTCCACTCTGGTATCCTGTTCTTCCGTCCTTACCCATCGTGGGCGCGACCTCGAAGAGCTCCAACTCCTTCGGCACGTTGCCGACCACGAACTGCCGGTTCACAGGATTTGCGTTACCGACCGAGAACTCCTGCTTAGGCCTTTCGTAATAACTTCCAGGTGTGGTTATCACGTCAGGATACTTGAACTCGGTGTTCCGGTAATTCAGATCATAAGTGTTCTCCAACGGCCTGTTCGAAAATTATTAATTAAAGAAGTTTCCTAATTTAATGAAAAATCTCATGTAAAGAATTTTTCATTAATAAGTTATGAACGTAATTAACTGCACTTAGAATCGTACCTGTACATGGGCCCTGAAGAGGTGGAGTGCTTCAGGTCGCTCTTCCGGGTAGTCTGCGGTTCCGAATATGCCCCGTCGTAGTGCTGATAGCGATAATAATTGCTTTCGTAATCCTTGATGCCCCCAAACTTGGCGTCGTGGTTGGTCATACCCTGAAGTACCTTGGAGAACACTTCTTCCTCGTTCTGCCCGAAGTTGCCGCCATACTCGTCAAGATTGTACTTGTAGTTGGGCTCTACATCGTAGTTTCTCCTGGCGATGGTGCCCCCGAAGGGGTACAAGAAGTAGGAGGCCAGACCTAGACCAAGTCCCACCAAGGACATCATCCCAAAACTGGGCATCACTTCTCTACTCAAGAAATTGTAGATCTGGGTGCTGATCGGTTTTTGTACCGGCTTCTTCTTGTTCTTCGTCGCGTTCGCCACTTTCGTCTCCGGCTCGATCTTCGACTCCTGGAGGGAATTGGAATTTTCCACGGAGACCTCGTTGCTCTCCAGGGTCACCAGAGGTACCAGGGTGGTGGTCCCGACCGTTGTCGAGGGTCTCCTGCGTCGCACCTTGTTCTTCTTCCTCTTGTTCGACCCGTTCTTGGGCCTCTTCGTGGTGGTCGAAGCGGTCGACGTCGCCTCCGAAGAGGTCTGCACCTCGATCATCGTCACTTCAGGGTTGAAGTCGAATTTCAGGTCGATCCGAGAGTTGTCAAGGATGTCTTCGTCGTCTCCCTCGCCTTTGGCCACCTTCTTCGTCTCCTTCTCCAATTTATCCAGCTTCTCCACCTTTTCTATCTTCAAGATCGGGGCGTTCACCTTGATGGGCTCTATCTCGATGCTCGGCGGCTCGTCCACCGGCTTCTTCAGCTGCACCTTCAGGACGTTGTTGCTCTTATTCCCTGGTTTCGCTCTCACGGGAACCTCCACTAGGTCGGTACTCGGCGAGGTTGATTTCGACTCGTTCGTCTTCAAGACCGTAGGGATTTCGGAGACCTGGGGGAGCGAAGTCGTGGTCTTCGTGTTCTCGGTCAAGACCGAGGCCTTGATCTTGGTAACGAAGGCGGGTCTTTCGCTAACGGAAGTCGCCACGTCCTTCCTGTTCGCCGGGACTATTTGCACTGGTCTGAAAGTCACCTTTTCAATCTTCGAGGTCGAGGTCGCGGGACCATCGCTGGGTTTATTGGTATCAGGCCTGGGAGTCGTCCTCCTGGAGGGACCTTTAGGTCTGTTGAAATTCGGCCTGGCAACCTTGGGAGTCACGGGCCTCGGAGAAGTCGTCGAGGCCGGTCTCGAAGAGGTAGACGAGGAACTCGAGGTAACCTTGGTTTTCACAGTAGTGCGAGGGGGAGAGGTCGTGGCCTTCTTCGTGACGGTCTTCTGGACCGTCGAAGCCTCGATTTTCTCCGGCCTCGGCGTCGTGGCGCTCTTAAGGGTCGCGGTACTCGAAGACTGCGCCATTTTTTCCACATTCTGCCCAGTGGTGCTCGTCTTTTCTGGCTTTCTGGTCGTCGTAGGTCTCTTCGTGGTGCCGAATTTATCGTTACCCTGACTCTGGCTCACCTTCTCCGTACTTGGCAGTTCCTGAAGAGTGCTCTTAACCATGGTCGTCGTCGCTGTTACTTTCGCCTCGCTCTTCAACTTCGTCACCACTTTCTCGTTGGTGGTCGATGGAGGCTTCGTGGAGGTCTTCTTTTTTTCTTCCGCCTTTACCTTGGTCTTCTCCTGGACCGGCTTCAGGGTCGACGTTGGAGGGTTCAGCAGGATCCATGTAGAAATTCCGCCAGTGGTCGTCGGCTGGCCTTTCGTCGTCGTCAGTCGAGCTGAATGTAATTCCTTCTCCAGTTCTTCCTCCGTCAAGGCCATGGCCTCCCCAGGATGGCCTATCTCGAAGTACCCGAATTTCGAATTTATAGGCCTCCCAAAACCCACCCCCATGGACTCCATCGCGCTTATTTCCGAATTTACATCCTTTATCAAATCGCTCTTTTCGTTCTTGCTCGTCGTGGCTTCGCTCGACGGCGTCAGCGCCGTCATCTTAGAAACGGTCATCACCTTGAGGTCGCCCTTTCCGGGAATTTTGTCGGCCGGAAGTGGAACTTCATCAGGATTTGTAACATTCAACAACTGCGTGGCCACCGTCCTCAGGGACTGGTCCATGTATTGGAAGTCCTTCAGCTCTCTGTGCTTCTCCGGACCATCTCCAACCCTGAAATAAAAGCCACTATGTTAAACAATTTCCTCAAATACTGCTAAATAATTACCTACGAGGTAATGAGGAATAGCTGGATAATTGAAAAGTGAAGTATGGCATATATTCTCAAACATTAATCATTAAAATAGCGAGCTTTATAGTCGGCAATAATAGCAAACTTCGGAGAAACAAGAACGGATTGACAATCCAAGATGGCGGCGGGCGACCATCGTCCAAAGCCGACGTCGAGTTTCACGTCATTTGCATTATCAGTTGCATTAATGCAGGAGAGAGACTCGTATATGACAAAAGCGGAGAAACAGCTCTCGACTCGCATGAAAATTTCACCGCATAAGGTTTACACAAATGAGATATAAATATTTGATAATCGACCCGATTACTCGCTCTCGCACGAAACGTCCATTTCCATATCCGGAATTTCGGATAGGCGATACTCACCCATCGAGGCATGTCGCCATTCTCAGGGTCGAGATCAACAACCTAAAGCTAACGGTACGAAAAATAGCATAAGAAAAAAAATTAATAATCTCACTGGAAACTGAAGGGAAGGGACGGGAGAGGAGATGTACTCCCTCTTCTCTTTATTCAGGGGCGAAGTATAAAAACGCTGCGGAAACCCTGAAGCGTGGCCACGCGAGACGGAAATCAGGCCACGAAGAGTATTGCGGAGAAATAAGCATAATGTTTCTTACTGGGGATGATTTATTAGTGTTACAGATTCGCAGAGCAATTGCCGGTAATGCTGCGAAACGGCCATGCTGTTAAATCGCTGGGAAATAAACACGAGCGTTAATGACCATTAAACGCTAAATGAGAATTCTCGTCAGGGAGTCCTTACTAAGCATCGACGTTCTTCAACTGCTAAAACAAATGGGTAATCGAGTCACGCCGAATTAACAGCGCCGGCGATAAATTCTTTAATTACACGGAGATCATTTCGACGCAGACACCTCTTCAGATGGCGCGAAATTCAAATATACTACCACGAGTTAAACTAAAGTAGAAAAAAAATATATGTTAGATGAAATGTCTCATTGACATGCAATTGAGTGCCGACACACTTGCTCTCGGTAACTACTACAAATACTGTAAGGTAGAGTTTAAAAAAAAAAATTAAATAAATTGATTAATCGCAATTAATATAAGATTCTAAGAGGCTACCGCTGAGATAATGTATAAATTAACTGGATGAGTAAGAAATGTATTTCCTAAAAAAAAAAAAAGAGGTAAAATTCGGAGAGGGTGGAAATTTTGGTTTCACCTCTTCCGCTTCCTCCGCCTGCTCTTCCACTCGTTCCAGTGCTTATACTTGTGAATGGAATGGTTAATGACCTCTTCAAGGCTGGGTCTGAACCTGATGGTGACCCTATCGGCGGCTCTACCTAGGTCAAGGACTGCCGGGAAAGCCCAGGGGAAGAGGATGGCTCCGACCCCGAAGACCCCAGCGGCTAAAGCTGCTGCAGGGGCTATAGACATGCTGAAGAGACCATAGCTGAAGGGGTTCATGAAGGAGAAAGAGTCGAATAAGTAGGTGACGGACTCCATGAACCCTGTGGTCGTAAGGGAGTAATAGTCCTCGTCGTCATCGTCGTCGTCGTCGACTGGGGCCAAGGCCGTGGACAAGGAAGGACGGTTCCCCCCAGACCCTAAAGAGCCACCCTGAGAAGTCCCCAGGTTGCTCACCAACCCTGGGAAACTGGAGAGCTGGCCCCCTGATGAAGACCCTGAAAAGGGGGCATCCAACCCTGAAGAACCGGGATTGGGCAATGACCCTGAAGGTAGGGGACCTTGACTTGGCATCAAGGCGGTGTCTGATAAAGGTTGGCTGGATTGGTCGCTGACAGAATTCACAGGATTCGCAGGATTTGAAGGATTTACAGGACTCGCAGGATTTTCAGGGTCAACCAGCTGACCGTCATCTACCGGCCCCTGGCCACCAATATCGATATCGGTCCCTTGATATATATCAAAACTGGTATCGTCATCAAATTCTTCCACTTCCGGAACATCTTCGTCATCTTCACTCGGGACCTTATCGGTCTGCGAGGACTCATCCTCGGTAGTCTGATCATAAATCTGCGTGGTACCGTAGATCCCCATGTCAGGAAACGCCCCAGGGTACTCGGTACCAACGCCATAAAATTTGTCATTCGGATTCATATCCGAATAATCCTCGCCTTCGTAATCATCGGTCACCAAATCCGGATCCTCGGTCCCGGGCTTGAAGACGTTGGTGTTCACCACATGGGAGTTGATAACGATATTCAGATCGGTGCACCCTTCCTTGTTCTGAATGGTGTTGTTCACCTTGGTGTAGGAATTAATGGTGATAGTGGGACACCCTAAATCATCGTCATCGTACGTGACTTCGGGACTTTTGTCCACGTCAGGACCTCGCAGGACGTCCTTCGTGGCGTCCTGCTGGGAGGCGAACATGATGTGGACGTTCGGTGGTCCAGAGATGCTGGACTGATTAGCAGATTGGATGATTTCCGGTTGGCCCGGCTTTGTCACTGTGACGTTTGGTTTTCTGGACCCGCCGTTGAGAATGTGCACCACCGTGTTCTGGGTCACCTGGGACCAAGGGTTATAGGTCGGTTCCTTCTTCAGCTTGATTATCTGAACTGGAGAACCGGTCTCGGGGAGGTCTTCGAGGTCCTGATCATTTGGCTCGTATCTTACCGGATGCCAAGACTGAGGATGGGGATCGACGTAGGTCGGGCTTGAAGCATGATAGTAAGTCGTCTTCTGAGGCCGCTGACCCTGAAGAACGTTCGAATTAGAAACTTGGGTACCGTAATCCTCGTCTTCTGGTACCAGGGGTCGATTGGGCTCCAGGTTATCGAATACCGGTTCGAAGGCGTTCACGATGGGTCCCTCTTCGTCGACCACGTGGCTCTGGTTCGTCGTGAAGGCCGGAACCTGAAGCCACTGGACGATCTCTTCGACATCGGGCTCCGGCTTCAAGGTGGTGGAAGTGGTACCCCGAGGTGGGACCGACGATGGCTTGCCCTTGCGGACTGGCTTCGGCTTCGAAGCCGGTTTGACGGTCGCTTGGTGGAGGATTGGGGAGGACTCTTCGTGGAAGGAGGTGTACTTCTCGTAGTTGAAGAGGTCCTGGGGGTTCTGAAGACCGTCGCTAGGCCAGTCCTTCAGGTGAATGCTCGGAACGGGGGTTCGAGAGTTGGGTCTCGGATTTTTCGACGTGACCAGGGTCATCGGTCGGAAATCCCTGAAGAGCGCCGGAAGAGACTCGCTTACTCCAGGCTTTATTCGCACGAGACTCCTGGAAGAGTCCGACCTCCCCTTCGAGATCGTCCCCGAATCCTGAGGACCGACCCCAAGGATCGGGACCCAGTCAGGCCCTGCAGACCCTGGACTACCTAACTTTGAGATCCTCGAATAACTTCCCACTTCCGACCTAACCTCCGAAAAATCTGACCTTGTCCTTTTTGGGATCAACTTACCCATCCCTGACCTCACCTCGGGTGTGGAGCCAGCCCTTGGACCTTGGAATAATTCTCGGGATGATCTCTTAAATTCTGAGCTACTTTTAAACCTACCATCCTGGACAGTCCCGGACTGGTCCGCGTATTTTAAAACTAGAGTACTAAATTTCGATCCACCATCAGAGGTAGACCTGAGACCAGGGTCTTCATGGAACTCTTCGGCATCCATGAGACCTCGCAACGGTCCATAAGACCTCCCAATCTGAGCGCTCTCCCTGTACCTGGTATTGTTATGGACAGTCTCGGACTGGTCCCCGTTTCTCTGCGTCGGAGGTCCCTCGGTGGCGTTTTTTGTTGCATCCTGAAGAATCCCCGGCAGGGCTGCAACAAAGAAGAGTCCTTCGTCAGACACTTTTCACCTTCAACCCTGATTTCACTCTCGACGATGAAGCGCAACTTTCGAGGACTCCGTCGCGCAGAACAACCATAATTTACGGCGACTTTCGCCGGTCGATCGATGCCTTTGGCAAAAAGAAACACCCGTAATTTGCGGACGGACGCCATTGTTCCATATCTCCGGGCCGATGGCGAACCTCCACTCGTAACGACCCAAGGATTCTCGCAAAGCCTTGCTTCACCATCCTCTTTCCTCCCTTTTATCTTTAACCGCATATTCCCTACTTAATATCCCCTGATTTCTCTAAAAACAATGAAAATTATTCATGACTCTTACCGGTCTTCTGTGGCCTGGCCAAGATGGCGCCCGCGAGCAGCAGGACCGCCAGAATTCTCGACACCCTCTGCCGCATGTTTACCCTGAAACCAGAAAAACCAATCGTCAAAACCTCTCAAGAACTCACAGGGAGAGAAAAACGGCGATTTTTAGTTCTTTCTACTCTTTTTTCGGTTTCATTCGACCAAGGTCGCCGCGCAGGAACCTTCAAGGCGTCGCCATGATTCCAAGATGGCGGACTAGGAAACGAAGACATTAAAGCGCGGATGTCCGTACGTGCATCCAAGTGCCTCGAGTACGTGAGTGGCATGAAACACGGCCCCGAAAAATGTGAGAAAATATTTTCCAAGCGTATTAATTCCGTCGCAATGCCGAATTTCGTGAGGCCCCTTGCGCAAATAGGCCATTTTCAAAGTCCAAGGGCCGCCTCCACTCTTATTCCGAAAACGGGTCAAAAACAACGCGGTGACGCAATTACACCGAGCCTTTTACAGTCCCCTCGAGTTTCTGGTCGCTCTTTGTATTCGATACTCGCGGTGCAACGAGACGTGCGGAATGCAAATCGCACGATTTACCGGAGCGTTTTTCGGCAAGGTCGATCGATCCGGATATATCGAGGACCTCGCGTATCATCGAAACGATTAATCCTGCGATGAAAAATAACGAAAACATCCACAGGAATTGGGAAATCATTTGAAGGAAGTAAAAATAAAAAGCATGTACGTTAAGTACATCCACGGGGGTGAATTTAGGCGTGGATTTCTCCGCGTTCCATGAATCGATTAATTTCTTTTTCTTTTTTTCTTTTCAAGAGTTCAGGTGGGAGAGAATCGGTCAGTTCTTTACCGTTGGATATATTTTTCCTGGACAGATTCGTGTCCGGTAACGGTACCGAGCATCAGTGCGTAATGCTCGCTTTGCATGTGCCGGACATTCCATTCGAGTACGCACTTTACGCACACCTAGAGAACGTCCGCCTCGATCGGAAAAAGACTGTGCGGAAAACGCCGAGCGGCGGTTTCTTCCCCCCGGAATTTTTTCCGGTTTACGATCTCCTCCATTCTTTATGATCTTCCTCTCTTTACGGCCCGAGAAAATGGCGAAGTCCTCACAGCGTAGAATCGTAAGCAAGCAACAAAGTTGCAACGTGTACAGGTCTCCTTCCTTGATTACTTTCCATAAAAAAAAAAAGGAAAAATACCCAGAACTAAAAGTTCGCGATAAAGTAACAGAAATGCGACGCAAGGTCTCCTTTCCTTTACGTACTTAACAATTTTCTGTATAAATTAAAATTTAAATGAAAAACAATCTAGACCGCGCGGAAACTACGCTCGGACTTGAAACAGAAGCACTTCGAGGTAATTACGTTGCAAATCGACACGCGACGAATTAATTAGAGATCCACCTCGTTATACGGTGTTAACTCGTTGCGAGGAAACATTTCCCGTAATTATCGAAGACCCGTGCATAATTATGTAACTACTTTGAGCCGCTCATTACCCATTCTTGGAGAAGCCACTGCAGCGAGTAACCTTGCGCGTTAATTCTTAATGACCATCTGCAAATTCCTCAGCGTACTTAAGCTTATGAAATTATAATAAAAAATATATGGTTAAGATCTTGTAATGGTAAATGAACATTTCGGGGCGTTTAATAAATTGGAGGGCCTGAAGGCTCGAAGTGCCATTCCGGCTTGATGATCGCGTGCGGAACGGAGCGATTTAACATTGCAAATCTGCCAGCGGGAATTCTAATGAGAAAGGGTGCAAACAGCCCGGGGAATAATCGCGGAATCGCGGTCATTCGGATGATAATGTCGGTTAATTGCGCGGGCAAGTACTGCCCCCGGAGAGTACGTTAAAAAAAATTTCGATCCAAAGATCCTCCCTTCCTGTACGTTCCCCAGAACTCCCAAACTGTCTAAAATTCTCACGATGAAGATAAAAATTCCAGATAACGAAAGGAAATTTTCTAATAACTTTCAGAGAAACTCCAAGTCAAGGCAGAGGGTCTCCAACTTGGAGCGGGAATAAAACGGGGAAGCGGGGTCGGAAAAAATCGGAAAAAATTCCAGGGCTTACCTCTGTTAGTCCTCGATCGATGACTCGGGACCATTTACCCACACACGACACTAGACGCGAGTAAATCGCGATTCGCGGTCGCGAGTCCGAAGTTCGCGCGGCGGCCGACCCTGACCGCGACCTACCCCACTGTCGGCACTAGAGCGCGGGTCCGGGGCGAAGCCCCCCGAGAATCCGCGAATTAGATGGAACCGGATCACTAGGACTAGGGAAGAAGAAAAAGAAAATCCCGGGAATTTTCCTAGGGAGAAAAACCAAATCGGGGATGATCGACGAGGGGGGAACTTTTCGCGACTTTAGACGATTCGCGAGGGACGGCTCCTCAGGGTCGACGGCGGAGTCGATCGCGCCGATCGGTGTCGACTGGTCGAGGGACGAAAAAGTCGAGGTTGGACGTCGAAGAGAGCCTCGTGTCTTCCGAAGAGGACGATCGTGCGACTGCACGGCTGACCGAGTGCTTATGGTACCTTTGTGCGTTCCTCGAGCCGAGGCCCAAACCGTTACTCGAGCTACGCTCGCGGGTTGAATAACCTACCTGTACGGACCGTATGCTAAGTACCCACGGACCGGCCTTAAGGCGCCGCCCTGAAGAGCGAACGGGAGAAGAGAACCTTGGGACTTTTCCGTCAGGGCGAGCCCTTGAACCGGTACAGGTTCCGAGAGACGTCGATTGGATCTTTCTCCTGCAGGTGGAGGTTGGGGATCTCCGAAGATACAAATCCCGTGTACAAAGGGCAGGTGGATGGATCTTGAAGAGAACAGATGAAGAGTCTTAAATTTCACATAAGAGTCGAGACCTTAAATCGGCACAGGTTCTGAATGGCATCGATTGAACGTATCTTCTGCAGATGTAGGTTGTGAATTTCAAAATTTAAAGAGTGCACTTGAATCGATCTTAATTGGTTGCCATCCTAGAAAAAACCTCTCCAGGGTGGAAAATTAAAATTGCAAAAACTCTCGGAAACGCTCTTAAATGCTCTTAATATACATGAACGAGTACACGGAAACCGGAGCTAGAGAGGCGAGACCGCGACTGGCTCTCGAATTTATTTCCGCTCGGTAGAAAGTGCTTTCGCTTAAACATCGCCATTAGATCGGGTCGGAAAAATTCCGAAAACGAGCCCGGGAGGAAAATAGGAGAAAATGAGTTCCTTTAGGCCTCCCAAACGTGTCGGATCTTCGAACCGGTCTCGTACACCCCAGAAGAGCGATCTAGACAGTCGTTCCCGCACTAGGTAAACCAGGCTTTAGATCGCCTTACAGGAAGCTCGATCTCGATCGCCCAACACGGAGTGCAAGGAAGTCGAACACGCGATCCAGGTCGATCTTCCTATCCGTGAGATTCGCGTTTAAATCCCCCAAGAGAAACATCGAAAATGGACCACTTCCACCTGAACCTCCGATTTGAAATTCCATCAAATTCTCGCGAATAAGTGTACCAAAGAAAAAGAAAAAAAAAACACGTGCGAGATTCCAAGATCGATCTCAACCTTCCCAGGTCGAATCGAATTTAAATGAACCGTAGAAATCCCGAGTTAAACGGAACCGATTGGATGTAAGCTGCAGATTCTTCCGGAAAAAATTTCAATTCAATCCGGCGATGAGATTATCCAATTTCTGGAGATGCCGGCTAATGGCCTATGGAAATTGACCTCGTCCTCCACGCTCGGCCTCGAAGAGGGAAAAGGTCAGGAGGCAGATGAGACGATTTCTCGGACTAGGGGAAAATAATATCCCCGGGATAAAAGGAGGTCGACGAAATTGGAGCAACGGGATGCTGCGAGCGCTCGCGTCCTGGGACTCAAGAAATGGGATGCAGGTTGATGAAGAGACCCCTCCACCTCGCACTCTGCCAATTTCCCTCATTTCCCTCATTTCCCGGGATCGTCTCGCAAAAAGTGCAAGACCAAGCCTCGAGTATGCAAAACGAAGACTCATTTCCTCACGACTGCTCGTACCGAAAAACGGCACCGGCTTCGAGATCGCCATCACGAAGTACGCCTCGGTAGAACGTTGGGCGCGTTTTCTAGGACATAGCGGCACTTCTTATGCTCGCCTTAATGGGTCTCGGATAAGGAACTTCGTGCCCACAGTTTGATGCACCGGCAAAACGATTCCGCCCACGACCGTCTCGCCGATCGTCTCGCCGATTGTCCTCGGAGGTTCCCACCGGGCCGAGTTCAAAGTCACAGGAAGATTCGCGAGGCCGCGATAACAGAAATTACTATGACGAGTCCCCGTGACACGAGATAACCGGGATAAAACCGGCCAAGAACCGGAATCACGCCTCCGACTGCCACTCCGATGCAGATCTTAAAAAACCTCGCTTTTTATCCCGGAAGAAAGGAAAAACTGCCGAATTTGATAACGGGACTCCCTTAATATCTGCTGATAAATTAATTCTCATTTTTATGGACTCCCCAGAAAATGTCTACAACAGGATTCGATCATTTTTAATGGTATCGCGTTCTAACCGATGGCCATCGTGCACGTCGATTTGCGTGCACCTGACCGATGCACTCGAGCAAGTGCACCGCAATAATTACCCCCGATTTATTACAAGCGGGATATTCACCCGCTCGGTGTTATTAATTTCAAGCCATCGAATTAGGCCTTCTCCGAAATATGATTAGGATTTAACGATCACGCTTTAATTATGCTAAGTGATTAGAGACTTGAAAGGCCTCCTCTATTTCTCAGATCAATTATTAAACGAACCAACTGCGCTTTGACCCGCTTCGTAATCGAGTGCACGTTGCACCTCCGCCTTCAAGAGGTACTCGTGATCGATGAATGCGAATGTAATCGTCGATCGTTACCGCTATACCCACCAATTTGCATACGCGATGCATGCACCTACGAGGTATAGCTCGGAATGCCTCGACTCCCCCCAGTGAATTTCTGAACGATATAAACCTTCTAAAAAATTAAAAACCTACATTTCGTATATCCAGTAATTATTTTTAATTATTAAATTCGATGAATTTCATGAATTTGATAAATTCTATTAGTCGAGGGTGCATCCGAGTCAATGATTCGCGGTCGGTGCAATCGTGACAAAATCGACGTGCTAATGAACCGCGACTGCTCGTTAATTGGCATTCTAAACATTTCTTAAGGTGCACTCGAGGGGAGCAAACTGGTCCAAGACCTAGTGCCATTGCCAAGAAAGGTGCTAACAGGTGTCTAAGTGGTTTTACTCGGCCCAACAATGCAAAACGCCTCGAGAGAGCCGCCGAAGGTCGTCAAAGATTTTCGATTTCGGCGGTCGGAAATGAAATGGTCGTGAAATTGGATTTTCTCCCGAATTCGTTAATAACAAAAATCGCCATTTCACCCTGGACGACGTTAATATTTTCCCAATTGTTTCATGCGCTTACCCCCTTCATTTATTCGCCCAAGTCCGCCGAGAGATCCGCCACCCCCGCTGCAGCTGTAAAAAAGAATTTTATTTTTAATACTCAGAAATTTATTAATATCTCCTTCGCGTGTTCTTCAGAAAGACTTACCAGATACTCAGGAACTTCACTCGGGGGAAGATAAACCGGTGATGATGAATTTTTCTTGCATTTTTCACGGTGAAGTCGATGCAGGATCTTCCTCTGTTTTTTTTTTTAATTGGATTCTAGATCACAGTGAATCTTTGGGCGATAAATTCTAAGCTTCCGGTTCGGTAATCTAGGGCATTTTTCTTCCGACTTCCCCGACACCTTTTCCCGACTTTCTTCTTCCTCGTTTCCAGGAGTAGGAGCTTTCTCATCTAAACGAGATTTATCATAAACAAATGGCCGCAGAAGTCGTAAATGCGGCACACTCCGGGGATAATTACAGAGCGCCGACTTCAAGACCAGGCGAAGTATCCTTCCGAGCCACTTTAAGGCCCATCTCGCTCGAAAATGGACATATCGCTCGTTAGAGATGATCGTTTTAGGCGATAGGTCGTTTAGTTATAAAATATATCTCTTCCAAGCCTGCTTCCGTGCCGTAAAAATTATAGAAGAAAATTCTCCATCCCTAATGAAGCGTCAAGTGTCACCGATCAGCTGTTTCGAAATCTCTTCCACGATTGCCCAATCGAGCCAGAAGTGGAATTACGGTAAACACGTAAAGGCAACCGTTAATCTCAGGCCCCATCAATTAGTAAGCATAATGTCTTCCTTCCAGGTCTCCAAAATGACCGATAATGACACGGATCATTCGCTCCGTGTCCCTTCTACGTCGACAAAAAGCGCTCCTCCTTTTCGGTCCGCCTTCGGGATTCTCTTTTTTCCTTTCCCTAATTCCCTCCAAATTGCTGCCTCATTCTTCTCTTCTCCTGCTCCACTGACTCGTGACTGCTATCCTTTTTTTATTCCGCTTCTTCCGTCTAACGACGTAGGTTTCTGCAGGTTCTTCGGGAAAAGCCGACGAAGAAACGCCTCGAATTTCGCCGCTCCCCCCAGGTCCTTTCCGACCTTCTTCAAGGAATTAATGAAAAATAAAGTGGAAAAATTAATTCCTCCGATAATTATCCTCCTTTCGGTCGTTAAATCATCCCAGAATTACCGTGGAATTTTATCACCCTTCGATCGTCTGAAATTTCGTTATTTCTGGAAATCCAAGATGGCGGACCCCGAGATGGATCCAATACCAAGCTTTAATTGATCGAGACGTCGTTGATTGGATTCAAGTCACAGGCATTCCTATTCCCACGTGGATCTGTATAGAATTCCGGATCGGATGCCAGTCTCGCTGCTTTCCAATCGATATGCCTCCAATAAAGAGATCACTTGTTCCTGGGAAGACGCGCGTGTCTTGTTACGGCTTGCAGTTTCTTCTCGCAAGAAGGATCCTGACTCGATCATGCGGTATCTCTTAGCATTCCTCGATCTCTCCTCTTCTTTCCACCTAGGATGCCTTGTCTTTCGCAATGTATGCAGATCCTATCTCCCAAGGGACCGCACGAATCCGCAGCTTCCTCGAAGACGTTCCAGTGGAGGTACAAACTGTTCCTCTTCCGGGTCTCTGTGCATCACTTATTCATGTCTCGGTTAATGCAACGCGTGTCCTCAAAGTTCGACATCTCATGACAAACATTCATTTTCCACACAGAAATATAAATAAACCAAACGAAGCGATCATCAGCTCTGCGTTCCTTATCCTCCGTCCTTCCGTTCTCCAGGACGAAGACTCGCAGATATCGAGAGCTCAGATTATCCTTTTATGATTTTATCAACACTGGATTTTTTGACACGGAGTCTAGGGCGATTGATAATACTCTTGTACAGAAAATCCATGCCGAGTCCTGTTGCGTTCTCCAGGGTTCTTGAGGGTCCTTGAACGTCCTTGAGGTTTCTGTAGGTTCTCCAAATTATCGAGGTGGGATTCGTCGAATCTCCAAATTTTTTTTTCTGGACCCTTAACCGACGACAGGCTTCTTCAGGGCTCGAATCTCGAAGATTCTCCAAGAGAAGATCCTCTCAGCAGTGGAGGTCGAGGTCCTCCTTCCCAGCCTTGGTCTTCCCGCTCGTCGGAAATGGACTGAGGCTGGATGCCATGAGAACGCCCCCAATGTAGCTCGCTTTCCCATGCCGTGCCATCGGACATTTAATAGTGGGGGTTTTAATCCCTTCTTTCGCACATGAGCCCTTGTCGTTTCCCCGTACCCGGGCCCCGAACTCCTAGGACGAGACAATGCCAACGATAAGTGGAGAACGGTGTAGCGCCCAGAAACCGATCCCACGCCGAAATCTCCAAATCGGAACCGTAGCCCGCCTCGGCCTCATTTTTAAACCCCAATTAAAAAAAAAGAAACCCCCTCGATAACGAACAATTTACCCTCCCTCTCCACTGCACTCTCTAATAACCAGAATTGTAATCCCTTCCTTATCTAACGCCCCGCAAAATGGAGGAAAAAATTAAAACGGGACGGTACCATAAGAAGAATAATTATTATTGCGGTACACGTACACGTGCGTACGCGATCCTTAGGCCGGATACGTTCACCGAGACCCGCGAGAAGAGGAAACGGACGAACTAACTGTTCCACGGCGGTGGAGGGCCAAAAAAAAGATCCGCAAAATGGGATCCCTTGATCCTCGCCAGGACGAGATCGCGAATGGACGCCGTTGCTAGATCATTCCAGATTCGAGCTCTCGAATCTCCGATGGTAATGGTAATCTCTAGACCGAGTTATGACCCCCTCGAACGGAGTCGCGCCCACGAAGTCGTTCAGGCTTATGGTCAATTTCTGAATTCCCCATCTTCGCCATCCTCGAGATAAAACCAGGGTAAAAAGGACGAAGAGGGTAACCGCCGCAGTAAATCTCGGAACGAGTTTCACGGACCCGCCTAGACTCTTCCGGATGGGATTACGCATCGGGAACTAAATATTTACAGGCAATGGAAAATCAACAGGTGCCTATGCAAGACAGGTGTACGTAGGAGCGCGTCGTTGTTCCTTGAAGAGCCTGCCACAGGATGGTGTAAAAAAATGACGAAAAGTCAAGGACTACGAATCAGTCCAGTCGCAATCGGCGTGCTCCTCCGGCGTGAAGTGGAACTGCATCGCGGTGGTTGCATCCTCTTCTTTGATGTCATTAGAGGCAGCCGAGTAGCGCGTTTATGTCCGCACAGCTGCAACGGCGTCCCCCGAAGATGCATTTATAACTGTGAGAGTAGACAAGACCCCTTGAAATTGACCCCGATGCAGGATACGTGAAGAAAAAGGACGGGTAATGGCCCATCGGCTTTCCCCCTGGCACCGGCGGGTAAATTGATTCCGAGGAAATGCCGCAGCCAGTCTGAAATACGAGTGGATTATTCATTATCATCTGGATAATTAACACGCTTACGGCATATGGGGGTAATTGTTAATGCCATCCTTGCCAATCTCCGGGAAATCGAGGTTTCTGGTACTCCACCCTTGACCTCTTCGAGGTGCCGAAGGAACCTCTTCGAGGTGCCGGTGTCCCGGATATTCCTTAATTTCTTAATTCTTCCCATCCCGGGAGGAAGCGCGCCATTACCAGAAGACTCGTCTTCTCGAGTCTTCCGGCAAATGACTCGGTTTAGCGGCTCCTGGCCGGAAGTCCATTGTTCTTGCCGGCTGATTACAAATTCAGGGCATTTTTGCGCTCGACTTTGTCCTCGAGCTGGTAAATTGCTTCCCGGCAAATTGCTTTAACGTGTCGGCGGCTCGTTCGGGAATATAGACCTCGGGTGAATATGCTAATCGGCGTAGTAACGGTGCCGAAGGTGGGTGGTTAAATTATCCTTCTTCCTGCCAGGACGAGGGTCCGGCTAGCCTGGGAAGAGCGACCACCTGGAAACGACTATCGAATTAATTTTCGGGGACGTCAATTTGAAGAATTCTCCGCAAACCCTTTCCCCCTTCTCCGCGAAGGGGGGCCGAGATACGAGGATGCGGTAATCAGCGACGCCGAGAGGTCGTGCCTCAACTTCGTTTATTTACACGCAAATATATTATATCACTGTATCGTCGTAACGCCCCCCCGAGATTTACACGTAATAACTACAATCCTACGTCCGTTCGTCGCCGATAACGCGTCTCTTGCCCCTTATCGATCCTTGTTCTCGAGGAAGACGTCCCCTCGGCCGGGCATATCCTGTACATCGACACCCACCGGCGCATCCCTAAAATTAACCCGAATTACGCCGATCGCCGCTACGCAAGAAATTCATGAGCGCCGAAAATCGTCACTTCCGGCCACGTCGATCCAGCGGAGGATTCTCGCACGACGAAGGACTTACATAGAAGAAGAAGAAACAGAAAAGAGGGAGAGAAACTCGCGAGGGAATTCCGCCGGGATTTCGTCGACCAAAATCGAAGCCGCCTCGCTGGGCCCGCGCGTTCCACCTTGAAGAAGAGCCTGAACGATAGCCGAGTCGACTCCAAGGACTCCTCCCGAAATTTCGGCAGTGCCATTTTCGAAGAAGAAAAAAGAAAAGAAAAAGGCGTCGGTAATACTGCTTCAGAGAATCCCCGGCGAATCGCCCCGAGTCCTGAGCCTCCTTAACAATTGTCGCACGCAGGGCTTAGAATTTGAGCGTTATCGATTATCATTTTTGGAAGTCCATTTCGCGAACCCGTACGTCCTTAAGACAGGTGTCCTCTCTGGACGGATCTTAATGGTGAACGACGAAGAAAGCAACGCCGAAATATGAAAATTCGCTCACGAGCACCGGCGATACGAAAACGTGCCCCGTTGATAGTTAGTCGTTAATTCTTTCTCTCATCTTTCATTTGTTATCCTCCAAATGCCGTTTTACATGTGTAATATATGTATATATATAAAAGTCGCACCAAGCGTTACGAAATGTACAAAGTAAAGAGTGTATACAAGCAGCAACGAATCAGCTGATCGGGGTCCGACGAGAATTCGCTCGTTTCTCCGTCTTGAGACTTCAGGGAGCTCTTCAAGGGTCGGCTCTAAAAAAATAGCTTATCGGTCATTCCCGAGTAGAACGGAATCTCGCGATCGCAGATCCTCAACTAGACGGGGACAGAAGAATAAAACAGAGGTGAGAGTAATCTGAGCGCCCTGAAGAGCGTCGAACCGATCTCGCGATTAAAATTAAAAAAAAAATAGAAGACAATCAGAAAACAATCAACACCGACTAAGATAAAAGTTAAAGCAGAATCGAGATCATGCGCGCCCTCGAATGGCTAACTTTTGATTTGGACCGTGATTTCCTCCTCCCTTTATACAAAATTCCACCGCGCGAAATCGAAATAGAAGAAGAAGAAGAGGTCGACGCGCGAGAGTACAAGAGAGAAAGAATTAAAAGAATTAAAAAAAAACAAGGAGGAATGCAATCGTAAAACTTGACGAAAAGTCGACCCCGTACGCACATGTATATATATATATATCCTGAAGACGTGGCTTTAAATCCGATAGTTCATAGAAAAGCAATATCTCATTAGTCTTTCCTTTTGTTCACTATATACAACAGAGCAGCGCTCGCCGCATCCTCGTTACACGTCGGACAAACATGATCAATCGTTAAGGCATGTCGATTTTCTATAAACTTGAATTTAAAACGCACCGGCGCTCCCCCTACGCCTCGAAGAAGGGCCGCAGCGAGGCGCGGTGTGTCGACATATACAATTCATATATATCTATGTTATACTATATGTATAGATCGTGTATGCTATACCTCTTACAGTAACATAGTTTATCAATTAATAGTGTTTTTGTTTCCATTATAAAAGGTTTCTATGTAAGCGCCCGCGGTCATTCCCTAACGTAAGATCGGACGAGCTAGGACTAGCGGAGAACGTGAGCGATCTTGGACTCGCGTCGAGCGACTTACACGAAATCTCTTAGCCTGATTCCGATGGTAAAATTCTATCTACGGCCAAGATTAATCTTTAATAGTAGGTGGTTGCGTACGCCTAGGGTGTAAATTACGTATAGACGTATACGGACTGTAGACTTTTACGCTATTACCAGTGGCTCGTCGTCCGAGAATCCACGTATCACGGGGCTGTCTTCCTCGTCTGCAAGAAGATGTCACCGTGAAAATCGTCAATGATCGGGATTAATTGTTAATAGACTGTGGAAGATGTTTTACCTAGGCCATCGGCGGTGCCCGGGAACGTGGCCTGACCTCTCCTCGTGTCGTAATGACTGTTGGCGAACTGCGTGAAGCTGTTCGACAGCCTTCTGTGCTTGATGACGTAGTAGCCGAGGACGGCACCCAGAGCCACGATGAGCAGACACACCGGGATGGCGAAAGACAGGATGTTGGACGTGTTCAAGGCGGCCTGCCAGGCTGTTTCTGGAAAGTCGAAGGGAAGATTAGGAGTCTCTTTATCCTACTTTCATGGTCGAGATCAAAAGAAAACCATACCGGAAGGACTCTCGATGCTGACGACCTCGCTGAGCAAGCTCTTGTACCCCTTCTCGGTGACGAGGCGGACAGCGAAGGAGTAGATGACGTCGGTCTTGGCGTTGGGGAATATATACGGGGGTTGGTCCTCCTTGAAGATCATGGCGGTGGACTCGTTGATGCTCCTGGAGTCCTCGTTGACGAGGATCTCGTAATGGTACTTGGTGTTCTTGGCGATGCTGTCGGGTAAGCCCCGTTCCTGCCAGTAGAGGATATAGTTGCCCTCCTCGTGAAGGACGTTGAGTTGATGAGGCGGCAAGATGGGCGGCGCCAGGTAGATGGCGGGTTTGCTCGGGATGGCGTAATCGACGTCGGTGGAGATGGTGATATTATATTTCCCGCCATACTGGACCGAGGTGAACTTGTACTTCATGGTGGTCTCGTTGGTCGGGGGCAGAGTGACGGTCTTCTGGATATTGAGGGTCATCTCGGTGATGGAGATGGTGTAGCTGATAGGCTCGTCGATGGTGGGGCAGCTGGAGCTCCAAGAGACGATGATGCTTTCGGACTTGTCGGTCGGCGAGACCCTGAGTCTCTTCGGCGGCGCCCTGGCGTTGAAATGGGTAGTGACGGTGACGGGTTGACTCAGAGGACCGGCTCCGTAGGATCCCCTGATGCCAACGGCGAAGACGTAGGACTCGCAGGCCTCCAAATCGCGGACGGTCGTGGTCTTGTTCGTCGTGAAGAGGTGGGGCTCCCTGAAGAGGTCCTGCATGTTCAGGGCGTAGTGGATGGCGTACTGCCACTTGATCTTTCTGTTGCTCTTGGGGGGGTCCCAGGTGAGCTTGACGCTGGTTCCATGGCTCTTCACCAGGTAGGCCTCCAGGTTGACGACCGAGGGCAGCGGGACGCCTTTCGTCGCCCCGACAACCATGACGCCCTTGCCGAAGTAGTTCTTCTTAGAGGCGTTCACCTCGAATGTATAATTGATCCCGGGTGCGAGTTCGTTGACGACGAGAGTGTTCTCCGTGGTGACCAGGGTTCTGAGGGTGGGGTAAGGAGCGGGGCCCCTGGGGGTGACGTTGTACCCGGTGGCGTCCTTCACCTTCTTCCAGGCCAGGGTGACCGAGTTATTGGTCGTCTCCACGACCCTGAGATCCTCTATGTCGTCGATATTGGCGGATCCGTCGAACGTCAAGGTGGCGATGTTGGAGGGCTTTGACTCGCTCTCCCTGTTCTTGGCGATGACCCAGAAGGAGTAGTTCTTCCCGGCCTCGAAGGCGATGTCTATGACGACCGAGGTCTTCTGCAGGGAGAACTGCATCGGAGGTATCGGGGGCGTAATGAACCCTTCGTAGCCGGTGATGGGACCGTTAGGATGCAGAGGAGGCCTCCAGGAGACCTCTACCCTAGTGCCGTTCTTCTGGGTGACGGTGACGTTCCAGGGCTCCGAGGGCACGCCTTCTCCCGTCATGACCGTGAGGTACTTCGCGGGCGGGAATACGGTGGTCTGATTCTTCAGCCTAACGTAGACGGTCAGGTTGTACCGGGTGTAGGCCTCTAGGTCGTTGAACTGATACTCGGTGTCCTCGATCCAGTCCGTGGCGTTCTTCCAGGTGGCCTCGGGCTCGGCCTTGGCGATGGATGGGAGGAACTCGAAGGTAACGTTCGTGGGGATCGGCATCCACCAGAAGAGGAACAAGCTGGTGGCGTTGATGGACCTCTCGTCGACGCCCATCACAAGGACCTGGTACACCCTGGAGTTGATCTTGTCGCAGTGGCTCTCGTCGGTCTCGTCGACGCAGTCCCGCTTGCCGTCGCAGAAAGCGGCCAGAGGGAAACACCGGGTCTCGTCACAGGGGAAGAGCCCCACGGAACAGGAAGGAGTGACCGCCGGGCTGACCTGGTGCACGTGGCACCCGAGCTCGTCGCTGCTGTCGGGGCACTCGGCGACTCCGTTGCAGATGTTGGTCAGAGGAACGCAAGAGCCATCGGTACGGCACATGAACTGGTCCTCTCGGCAGCCCATGTGGATTCCGTCGCAGTGGAGCTCGTCCTCCCCTGACTGGCAGTCCCTGGAGCCGTCGCATACCCAGGACTCCTCGATGCACTCGCCGTTGTAGCACTGGAACTGGTGTTCCCGGCATACCCTGGGCTGCTCGGTCATGTTGGGCAGGTCGGTGGTGTCCTCCAGATTTCCGCAGCCCATCTCGTCGGAGTTGTCGCCGCAGTCATCCACGCTGTCGCACTTCCACCAGTAGGGGACGCACTTCTTGTTGCTACACTTGAACATCCAGTCGTTGCAGGAGACCAGGGGGACCGTGGGCCTCGGGGTCAGAGGGGTGACGGTGGTGCAGTTGGCCTCGTCCGAGCCATCGGCGCAGTCCTCGGCGCCGTCGCATCTCCAGGTCAGAGGGATGCACTTGTGGTTGTCGCAGGTGAACTGCCACTGCTGGCAAGTGCGGGACTGACAGTCGGTCTCGTCGGAGCCATCCTCGCAGTCGTCGTTCCCATCGCATACCCAGGCCTGGTCGATGCATTTTACCTGCTGCTTGCAGGAGAACTCCTCCGCGGAACAGTTACGAGGACCAGGAACTGTGCAGTAGATCTCGTCGGAGCCGTCCCTGCAATCTATCTCGCCGTCGCAACGCCACCTGCTGACGAGGCACCTACCGTCGTCGCACCTGAACTCCGTGCAGTTAATGTAGGTGCAGTTGGTCTCGTCCCTGCCGTCCTTGCAGTCCCTGTCCCCGTCGCAGACCCAGTGCTTCGGGATGCACTTGGAGTCGCACTCGAACTGGTCCGGGGGACAGGAGAGCCGGTTGCAATTAACCTCGTCGGAGTTGTCGCCGCAGTCGTTCTGCTCGTCGCACTTCCAGGTCTGGGGTATGCAGACGTTGTTGGCGCAGGCGAACTGGTCGGCCGAGCAGGTGCTGGCCACCCTGGGGCAGGTCGCGTTTGCGTAAGGTGGCGTCATCCCGGGACACATGCACCGGTCGTTGACCATCTCCATTCCCTCGGGACAGAGGCAGACGAAACTGTTGTTGGGCGCGCCGAGGCAGATATGAGAGCAAGTATTATTGGCGCACATATTCGTCCCGGTCTGCACGCTGTGGGCGAAGACTTTCAGGTCCATCAAACCCGGGAGGTGGCCGAGGATCTTCGCGATCCCGAACCCGTGGTCCTTGTCGGCCTCGAAGATCATCGACTGCTTCCAGTCGTCCCAATACATGTTGTCCTTGAAGACGGCCACGGCAAAGGGGTGCGAAACGCGCTCGTCCTCGGAGATGATCTTCTTGAAGCCCTTTCCGTCGAAGTCGGACAAGCCGATGTAGTCTCCTCTGGCGTCCACCCAGTAGATCCTCTCGGCGATGTGGTCGATCGTGATACCTGGAAGAGCCACTCCCGTACAGATCCGAGTCTTTATCAATCAATTCCCGACTTACCATTGGGCCACTCCACGGTGGGCGTCGTAAAGAGCCTCTTGATGTCCGTCCCGTCCAGGTTGGCGCGAGAGACGGACGGACTCCCAGGAGCCCAGTCGGTCCAGAACATGTAGCCCATCATCGGGTGAACCGCGATACCCCGTGGCTTCTTCAGCCCATGGTGGGAGCTCAGAATGGTCCTTCGCATCCTCCCCATCGACGAAATGTCCGTCCTGATGATCTCGATCTTCATTTTAACGCCGTCGACGAAATAGAGGACGTTGGATACCCAGTCCAGAGCCATCCCCTCGATCGAGCTGAGGTCCGTCTCGACGAGGATCTCCGGATACCTAGTACCGTCCTGAAGACATTGCCGTCCAATCGTGTCATTCACGATGTCCGCCCAGTACAAACAGTTGTTCTTCAAGTCGAACTCTATAGCTATGACGTTCTTCAGCCCGTGGACCGGTAGCGTCTCCAGCTGTTGCTTGTTCAGGTCAATCCTCGAGATCTGGTCGCGCTGGGCGACCAGCAGAAACTCCGGAATCTCCTCCATGGGGCAGGGTATCTGGGAAAGGAGGACAAAATTCACGTAGACGTTACTCAAATAATAATCTAACGTTCCAATATAAAAATTGAAGAGACCGCAAGGTCTTTGGTTCACCTCGTCAGGTTCGAAGTTCTTCGCAAATCCGCCGGAGCAGTCGTCGTCGGGTATTTTGACGTATCCCTTCGTCCGGTTGTAGAATTTCCCCGGGGCGCATGTGCTGGGAACGGCGTACGGGTCGACGTCGGAGATCGACTTGTTGCGGACGCAGTGATAAGGGTTACCGACGCGGACGAACCCGAAGTCGCATTGATAGTCATTAGCGTCGCATTGACAAATGTCGACCTTGATCGGCCGGTCGTAGTTAGCTCCAGTGTAACATTTCGCGCGAGCAGCTCTTCTCTGATAAGTCTCCTTTCTCCCCAGGACGCAAGCGACGACGGGCTGATCCGCGTCAGAGCCGGTCGGGGACCAGAACTTGAAGTCCTCCTCGGTGCAGTTCCTCTCGAAAACGTTCCTCAGGTCGACCTTCATGATCAGCCACTGATGTTGTCCACTGCCAGAGCCGAACATGGTGAACACGGTGGTGTTCTCTCCAGGCTCCGTCATGAGACCATAGACCTTCAGCATCTTCTCGTTGAAGACGTAAGTCTGCCAGGTCTCGCCCTCGTCGACGGAGTAGGAGATGTCCCTGGTCTCGCCGCGGGATTTGAAGTACTTGACGGCCACCAGGACGCCTCCGTGGTCGCCCATGTTGAAGAAGTAGTAGTCCTTGAGGACCTGCTTCCAAGTTAAACCAGCATCCCTGGACACGTAGAGTGCAGGGTGGCCCTTCAGGCTCCTCCCGATCACCCCGGTCGCCATTATAATACCCGGCGCCGATTTCGAGCTCATTATCGAGACCGATCTCGTCACCGGATACAGCTGGCTAAACTTCTGAGTCAGATGCAGCGAACAGTCACCCGAGCATGCAATAGGAAACCCTTCGCTGGTCTTTTCTGGGTGCTTGATACGATTCCAGGTAGCCCCATGGTCGTATGTTATTAGCGATACCAAGTGCTCGGGTCCGATGGAGCCCGACTTCGGGGTCTCCTTGACGTGCGAGGCGATGTAAATCCCTCGCAGACCCTCCACCTTGTAGAGGTCCGTGAAGGGCTCTTCGGCAACGTCGCTGAAAGGTACAAGTAATATTTTTCTCTTTTTCCTCCATTTATTTCACGACGCGGACAATGAACTATACCGTCAAGAAAATCTCCGCTCACCTTAACCAGCTGTCCTTCCAAGTACTGTTCGGGAAGTACGTGAGGATCCTCTCCAAGGACAACGTGAACGTCGCTGTCTGGTTATCTATCACTTCCGACACGTACAGGTTGACCACGGTCTCGCTATGAGATACCGCGACGAAGATGCGATTGTAAGATACGTCGACGATATGGAAGTCCCTCTTGTCCAATTCCGTGTTAAACCTCGCCTTCACGAAAGGCTGCCTCTTGTACGAGATGTAGAGGTCCAAGTTTCTCTGAGGCTGCGCAGTGTCTTGCTGCAAAGGAATTAAACGATTATTAATTTATTATCCCATTCGACGGATCGCAGAGAGGATTTATCGTGATACAAATAGAATCTTACCGAGTCAGCTTTTCTCGTTCCGAACATGTAATCACCCCTAACTTGAAAATCCTCTACGTTCCTGATGACTACTGTGAAATTTCTCTTGAACGATGTCAATCCCATTTTTAACACTGTCGTATAGTGGGTAGGCTCCGCTCTCTCCACAAGCAAAGCTCTAGGATGGGTCGCGATCCAGGAGAAGGCTTTTACATATTCTTGGAGAAAAACCCAGGTTGTTCCCATATTCTCTGTATACCATAGCTAGCGAGTACATAGAATGTTAATGCAAATTCAAGAAATCTACGGGTAAAAAAAATATTTTAATATTATCTCACCTTTCGCATGGGATCAGTCTTATCCAACACCACGATAGTGAAACGATCTTCATCGTGGAATGAAATTTCACTCGGATGGAATTGCAAATTATGCCTTATGATATTTTTTCCATTGTCCATGGTAACGAAAATCAATTGATTAATATTATCGGCAAAGACACACTAGCAAGAAAAAACACAAATCATTTTATTAATGAAGAAGAATTGATCATATTTTACAAGTACGCAATTTTGTTATTAGCTGATATCAATGAAAGATCGTATCTCCAAAGATTTCACATATCACATGCTATTTGCACGATAAGTCTTTATCTGTTATTAAAGTCACATGAGCGAAGATAAATAAGGTACTGCTTGTAGAAAATTAAATGTTAGTAAAACAGCAGTTGTTTCAAATAACACTTTGTTGTTCCGCTTCTGTCATTACGTAAATATTACACCTACATAATAATACATACATCAGTTGTAAACTTTGGATGATTGTAGAACTTATCCACGGATGCGTATTTGGCATTTGGCTCACGGGATATCTTAAAGAATTTAGTCTTGTTTTCGAACGTATCACCATAATTGTAGCTTATATACACAGCACTAGGGCTACTGGATACTGCTCTATTGCCTGATAAGCGTGTCAGTAACGTGCTGTCCTTTGCCAGACAAATTATCACATCCGACCCCTCGCCAACCCAATGTACCATTAGCTGTTGATGGGAATCATTTAAAGCATTGATCTGCAACAGAGGAAAACATTACGTTAAAACAAATTGAAATATATTCACACGGAAGAATTATGTATTGACCGTTTGATAATGCATAACTAAATTCTACAAAAAATCCTGAATTTCTATGGTAAAAATGTTCGGTATGAAGTAATATTTATTTACTATAGCTGTGTAGTGACTAGCACTTTCGACATGACTCATTTCAGATCTGCTTCCTTTGCACTTCACATACGTATACGTGCATGTGCACGTGATGGGTGGCTATCCTACATCACATGACTAAATCGTGAATAACTTTAAAGTGATACTCAGACAGACATTTTCTGTTGATACAGATGTTTCTTTGTCAGGGTACATATTACTTCCATTGTAACAAAACTGTAAGGATAAGCAAAATAGCTGCTAATTATCGCACCGAAGGACTCTGATAACAATAAACGATAGAGTCATTATTATGCTGAGATAATGAAGGATAGTTTAACTACGTGGAACTTATGGCAACACGCACACATAGGAAGTCCTCTAAATCTCATGGTTCTCAATGCCCGGATGAATACATTTGAGGATAGCATATTATATTCATCGAGACAATTAATAAGAGTTAAGTTAAGCGTCGTTCGACCAATAAAGCTGAGTACACAGAGTCCGCTACATGCACACGAACGGTGTATATCCCAGGTCACTGCACATTCAATTATCTACAGGAATTGATACTTTGCACGATCTTTAGAAATGCTTTTTAACTGAAATTGTATGTAATTGGTTCCAAGAAATAGTTCATACAAACACCGTCGTTCTAGGAAATAAGTAATTGTTTTAAGACCGGTTTCCCCAGGTACAATTCTTCCTCCTATGATTAACGTAATCATTTTATTGTGAATCACATGAACTTTAATATCGATGATATAATCAATTCCTTTTGACTTTTATTAATTTGAAATACTTTCAAAGTATAAAATAAACTAAGAGAAAAATTAGAAAATACATATCATTGTTTGGCACGTCTACCAACAAGTAATGTTTAAAATTAGCCTACAGGACCAAAACCTTCCACAGCCTGGCACATAAAAGCATCGTTCTTCTTTGTAAGCTATCCATTATACCAAAACCTGTTATTGAGTTTCCTTCTACGATAAGCATTAATCAATTCCGCCCCAATCAGCTATCCGACTCAATATCACCGGCAAAACAAGTTCCCTGCACAATAATTTCTACAATAATTTAAAGACGACTAGGCAATATCGAAAGCCTATTAAATTAAAAAAAAATCCTTATTCAAAACATCCCATTTCCATAACATAAAGTCCATCCGCTGTGTAATTAAGACGCGCCGTGCAATGGAATATTTTGAACGTCTCGCAACGAAAGAAGCTTACTCCACCAGGGCAAAAACTTGCAGCGAAAGCACACAAACGCGTTATCCTGTGTAATGCATTCATTACTCCAAAACCAGTTTTCAAGACTTTCCTTGTATGCCAAACATTCCATAATTTAATGAGTCATCCGTCCAGTCAAATACCGTCTTCAAAATAATTGCCAGGCGTAACGATTTCTGCGATGAGAGATAGCCGTCTCTCCGAGGATAGAGGATAATAAAAAGAAAAAAAGAATTCTGGTCTCAATGACAGCCTATGAAGACCGACTCGTCGAACAGTCCCGCTGCGATAAACAGCTTCTAAGAAACGTCACGAAACGGAATTCTGCGGCGGATTCGGAGCTCCGTCAGCGGAATAACGTTCGCAGCATCCATTAGAAAAGAAACATCCACAGTTCGAGAAATAATGAGCGTTCCCGATTTACCTTGGTCGTAATATTTGGGTTATTGTGCTCAGGCACGTCCCTGCGCATTCGACTGAATGACGTTTCATCTCCGCTGGCCAAATCGTCGCCTCTATTGATGATCAAGGGCCTCCTGACGCGCAAATCATCCTCGTCGGGTGACAAGTGTAGCGTCCTTGCCCTGTCACCAATCTTCTCGCCATAATTATAATTAATCAGCAGGAACAATTGTAAAATAAGCAGGAAATGGTAAAAGGCCGACATCGCCCGAGCGGCCATCTTGCACAGACTAAGTTTTTTTTCCCCCGAGAGCGGACGTATATGTAAAACAAACAAGACGCGCGACTAGGGCGCCGAGAACAAGTGGCCGGATCGACGCCGCTACGCATGCGCCGTAGGATTGTGGACTAACTCTTACGCCGCGCTAACGCAAAGAAATTCGAAGGATTCCGTCCGCTACACTCTTCGTTAACGATATGTGAAACGCGATCGAACTAAATATTGCCCCTCTCTAAAGGAACACTTGGGCAAGGTAGAAAAAATGAGAGGAAAACGTAACGAGCGCGTTCTAAAGTTCCTCCAACCGAGTGAGGTTGTCACGGCGGCCATCTTGCTTTACCCCCACCAGTCACACCGGGGATCGACGCGTAGCCACGCTCTCTCTCTCGCATTCATACGTTTCTTATGGTGAGTAGAGAGAGATGGTACGAGACGTCGTATGCTCTTTCGGAGGGCCGTTCACGGATACAAGGAACCAACCTTGGTTAAGTTCACTAATCCTGGTCGTAGAGTCATAACAAAGAACAATGAACAAAGAAGTATTTATATTATCGACGTGAAGATATATATACCTGACTGCTAGAGGTATAATTTAAATGACAAGCAATTTTTGAGAGTATCAAGTACACGTAGATGAAAGCATTAATTACGATCGAGATAAATATAGATGATATGGCTCAATTTAGCAGGAAAAAATATTTATCTCGTCGTAGGTTGAATATTTTAGTTACTGAAAATTAATGCATTCTTGGTAAATATCGATGCAACACAGATTGTATATTGGTAGAACACAGATTAGGCACGGATTGTGGCAAAGCCCTCCTCAAGGGAATGAGTAACCGGTTTTAATGAAGACCCCCAGATGTAATAATAAAAGTCTATTAGATAATGGGTTTCATTTCCTGATGTGTTAACAGCCAGTGCTTTAGTGTGGGTCTCATTTAAGCCTACAGTCCCCTCGTGACTCGAGATAACGTGCTGGAAACGTATCTAAAATGTACTACATTTCTCAATGTTGGAACGATTTTAGCGTTTAAAGGGCAGTTTTCTATTTTTCAACAATGATTTATTACAAGCTTCCACAATACTTTATCCACTGATTACTCCTCTACTTATACTTACAGTTCACGGTATATGACGCAGCAGTTGTTACTCTTTACAAAATTCAGTTCCTAAACGAGTTGCCTCTTTCGGCATAAATTACATGTACTGGAATTTGCATTTGCATTAATTGACAAATAAAGAAATCGCTGGACGTACTTCTTTAATGCCACACAATGTTGTACGTAATTATTGCAAAGAATACGTATAATCTTATAAATACGATTCCATAAAGAGTAACAACTGATTAATATTCGGCATTGCTCCTAAATTCCTTAAGTCAGCGACAATGTGTTTCAACTTAAAATTTTCATGAAGCATACATTTAAAACACTTTCCTTTTCTCCTTCGTACAGACTGAAATGTCATTGCAAAATTGGTTGTGTTCAAATTTATGCTTCATTTAAATTTTAAGTGGATACAATATGCAACCAGCGATCGTAACATCGCAATCTAACGATCAATTAATCATTATCTAGAATGTCACAGCTAATTTGTTTCCTCTTCACTCCGTTTCAAACGGACTGCTTTGGAATATAAGATCATTTCCATCAAATCTCAAGACTTACCATTTTAAAAATGGTAAACTTACCATTTGTCTTTTCCTTCAAATTGTCACACATAGTATAATTTCTGAAGCGTCGGATATGACTCTTTAGACAATTATTACTTTTACAAAGAGAATAATCAGCAAAAATATTTTGAAGAACCTAACTCTTGTTAGCGATTTAAAATGCTTCTCAGCCAAATAAGAGGAAACTTCATTGATAATAAGACACAAGTGTAACTCATTTCTAGAAGGCAAAATTGTCATTACTTTAAAAAGCCAACGGCAAATAATCGTATTAATTAAATTTTAGTTATATGCCAAGCATTGAATAATTCTGTACATCTGCAATTATTTATAATCTTATCCAAGCAATTTAACCAAACTTACTCTTGCTCTAGAATCTAACAAAGATGCAATTGCATGGAATTGCAGTAATAAGATTACTTTTAAATTTGAAGATTCAACAGTGTAGGTTTCCAACTATGTTATTTTCAAAATCTAATAGAGATAAGAGAAGAGCAAATACCTAAAAGGCTTTCGATTTCATATAAAAATGTTACAAAGGAGGATTTACGATTATCGTAACTACCGTCGTAAGTTTTGATTTTTCATTTCTGACCCTGAACATGTGGATCAAAGTGCTGTTAATGAAAAACTGAAAACAAATCAAGACGGTGATGCGATTATTATAAATAGTTGGATTATTTCAATCGAAATGTAATGAACGTGTCGGATGACAGAAACCAAGGTACATTAAACGGCATGCATTTTTTCCGACGTGATACAATGAACCTTTGACAGAATACCAAGCTAGAGTAAGGGTTCATTTTTGAAATGCATCGACAAGGGAGACTTTCTATTATAAAGTTAATGGCGTTATAATGTAATAGTGAGCGAAACTTGGCTGAGTAGCTTTTTTCTTGTTAAAGCGGCCCCATAAGCGAATCCAACTCTCTCGTCCCAAACAACTAGAAATAAACCTGCAATTAAGTTTAAATCGTTCCTTTTAAATATGAAAAGCAGCTCGTAACAATGTTTACGAAACCAGAGAAAGCACAATCGATCATGCAACACTCACGCATCGTTGATAACCTCATCTTACATCGGATTACAGGTTTCCAAGAAGGGCCGATTTAAAGCGAAAAGAGCCAACTGTTACTTTATAATTATATATTATCTGTAATTATCAATCATTTTTATTCCTTATAACCTATTTATCTTCTTTATTACTTTATATATATTTATAAAAAAAACACAGAGCGACGATATATCAGTTTGTGTCTCGTTTTGGCGATGCGACTCTAGTTTTTAAAACAAGCGGACCTAACGCGGAGTGTAGGAATTAATGCATCTTTTTTTTCCCTACGCCACACGATGTATACACATTAAATGCACGTAGAAGACGATTGCGCGTGAACATCGCTATGACCATTCTAACCTCTTCTCCCTCGTATTACGTTGACCGGAAACTTAGACAGGAAACACGTAGAAGTAGTCACTGTTTAAAAAATACGAACAAGGTTATGTCTACGGCTGAGTCGCGTCCGCTCGCGGTATAAATCAAGAGAAACTCTCAAGAAAGCATCATAGCCTTAAAACTGCCCAGTAAAGTTTACAAAGACTCTCCTTCCGAATCTCGAGATTGGATCTTAAGTTCTAAAAAGGAGGATGGACGTGATAAATATTAAAAGGGAAACGGAATAACAATTGAAAATTAATATAGCTCCTTCGCTACATCATATCAGCTGGGTCCACATCGAGTGAGTCGAAGGACCATCGAAGCCATCGCAGCTTCCAAAGTCCTGTCACCGATCCAATCTCACCCGACAGGGACCTGGCCTTCGCAGACTCCTACGGAATCAAATAGCGTCACGTGTACGTCTCTCTTTTTAACTCTCGGGATCGCGTAGGAAGAAACTCTCATTAATTATTACAGCATTCAATATCCCCTCAATGGTGATTCCTCCTCTCATACGGCGAAGTACCTTTAACATTCGTTAGAAGCTATTTGTATACTTTATAGTACGTGGTCCCAAGTTAGCGCGGCTCTTAAAATATACGTACACATATGGCAGTCATTAAAACGCAAACGACCCGTTTGCGGCGAACGAAAACGAGAAGGGGCAGCGAGATAAAATTAAAAAAAAAAAGAAAAGAAAGACACCGGAGACTAAGTGCTCATAAGGCATCGGCATAGAGGAGAACATTCGCGGCAACGATCGCGTCGTGTCGACAGGTCCGATTATAATTCGATATAATTTTGTGCGTCCTTCCAAGGGCTCGAGAAATAACGCAGAACACCTCAAAAACTTAACGCGAAAGACCACGAGGACCCGCGTGGGGTCGATTAAAACAAAAGAAACAAGAAAAAACGAAGTAACGTAAACCAACAATCGTACCTCAACATCCGTTAAAACGAGATTATGCTCGCTAATATATATATATATTTATATTTATATGTATGTATAAATATTCACAGTTTATAAGTCGTATATACCGTCAGCGGGACGTTCCGATTCCTCTTAAGTTTATTCACATTCCGTGTCGAGCGGGTCACCGGCTCCTCGCCGTAAATAAAAAGAAAGAAAAAAATATATATATACGTCGTCGGTTGCGAAATGAACGCAGAACGTCGCGGATATTACTTTAAGTGTACTGAAAGGTGCACGTTAGCCCAATTAACAGGCGCGAGACGCAAAAACGGTGGCTCGAACTCAGAAAGTCAAATTGACAAGGGTACATCGCGATCACGCTAACCTGGGACTATGAATGTTAACTCTCTCTCTCTTTTTTCTCTCCCTCTCTTCTGCGTCTCTATCATTAGCGATATTGCAGACCGTCTAAATTTCGAAAACGCGCCGAGGTAGGCATCTTCGAAAGTTTTACGCGCGATTGCCGACTCGGCCAGGACAACTTTTGTTAGATTCTTTCTTTTTTCTTCTCCACCCTCAACTGTGGAAAATCCTGCGTCGCGCGTTAAACTCATTCCTGGCCGAGTCTCCTATAATTTGCGTTATCTTCCTCTTCCCTTCTTCCTCTTCTTATTGGCGCGGCTTTACGGGGTAAAGCGGCGCAAATTATTCCATCTTCGCTCGACGTATTGTTGCGCTGGCGCACGTTAGCGGCTTCCCGTACTTGCACTGCTCCAGTTTAGCTGAAAATTAGCGAGATGGATGTATTGTACAGGTCGGTACCCATGGGTAAATTGAAGGAAAAAAAAAAAGAAAAAACGTTCTTTTCAGTCATCTGCAGCTAGACTCGACTAATGACAACCGTACCCGCGAGCTTGACTAATCAAAACCGTGGGTAATCGTCGGGTACTATGAACGAGTCTTACTCCAATTTACTTGTACATTCTGTAACTCGACTGCTTCCCGAGAACCGAAAAATCCGTGTCTCTAACAGTCCTCGGCGACTTTCGACGGTGAGAACTCGAGTCAGTATTTAAAGACATCCCGTGTTTCTTTTTTTTTCTCCGGGCGCGGGAGCGCGTCTACTTTTTATCTCGATTTATCATGTTCTTCTTTAAACTTTTCAGGTCTTCGGATGGCGCAACGATGTCTTTAAATAGCGGGCCAAAGCGTGACGAATAAATGATGCGATGACAAGCAGTGATGGCAAGTCGTTACAGTGGAGGCTAACAACGATGCACAATACGTACTTCTCAGAAACATCTACATACCAAGGCGGACTAACTAAACGTTCTATGACGAAATAATCGAAAGAAAAATTAAACAAGCACCTAATGCACGTCCGGATCTAATCGAATTCCGATGTTTCATACGTGGAATCTCCGGAAGAAAGAGCGAAGCCATTCCACCTCGACTATTATGCGATTACGGGTCTATGGGGAATATCAGGATACGATAGGAAAAAAAAAAATAGAGAGATACGAAAATGCGGAAATCATACGACCGTTCACTACGAGATATCCAAAAAGTTCTACGAAAAGCGACCGCACGTACGAAACGAGAGAACTCGAGAGATCCGGTGAAAAAAGTCCTCCCACCTCGGAGCGGTCTTCGGTCATTCCGCATTCACAATTGGAAGAACATTCCCCTTGTATCGCCAAGGAACTAATGCAACATGACGAGGAACCAACGAAAATAATAATCGAAACGGAAAGTGTATATAATGTATATGTATATATCGAGTGTCAAAGATATAATCGCTTAATCGTGCAGTAACGACGTAAACGAGGTCTAGGATGTTTGGTGCGACTCACCGCGTCTAAATGTTGTTCCAATTGTGTACAGTTTTTCTTACTTTCATGGGGCTATCGCTTTCTATTTTTTGGCTTTTCTAAAATGTGACAAATGCGATATGATCGGATGCGCTTGCTTTGCCAGGCTCGAGCGTATGTATATGAGGTGACTGCGAGAGGCCGACTTTAAACAAGGACGACGATCTTGCGTCGACATTCCACTTGGGAAAAACCATCACTCGTTTTTCGGGGCTCATTGTATTCCGTCCTGGACATTTTACCCTTGACTCCTGGTCGTAATTTCTCCTTGGGGAAGACGCGAGGCGTCAAGGAGTCGAGAAAGTAAAAACGCGAAACGAGTGACGTCTTCCGTCCAAGCGGTCTCTCAACCGTGGTCTCGACAAAATTGGCATCGACCCTTGGTTAATCGTTAAAATTAGGACAACCGGGCGATCGGACCTTTCTCGAACGGGTTGGGAGAAGCTCTAGGGCTTACTTTTTCTTGAGAGTGAAGAAACTGCGCCGCTTGGTCTCGGCTTGCGTCGGGGCGGGCAATGTATGCGCTTTGGAGGTACTTGCGCCTGACGTGCCTTGTGCAGCCTGGTTCAACATCGACACCCAGTCCTTCATCTCTGCGTCATCTTTGGCCTGGAACAGGAAGTCGGCTCCGCTCTGCGACCTAGGAGGAAATTAACATCGACTCAATTCCACCCTTCCCGAAGAGGCATCGATTAGTTCGGTTCACCAACGACGCGTCCCAACGTTAACCCTTGCAATCGCGACTAGTTAGGATGTAACTAACGGGCTTACTTTACTCGGAAGACGTGTTTCTTCTTGGTGTAGTCGCTGGCAACGATAACGGTGGCGCCTCTAAGGTCCAAGGGCGACTCTCCCTTGTATGGTTGATCAGGAGCAGACTTGTACGATTTCTGATCCTTGTACGCGACCAGGTTTTGTCCACGGACGACCATGTACACCTTGTCCCAGGACCGATTGGAGGCCTTCTTCGTCGTGCTCTCCCACTCGTGCTTTCGTACAAGGGTACCCTCGTACTCGTCGTCGGTCGGGCTTCTTTGCTCTGAGAAAAATTCCGGCGATTAATGCAAAGGACTCCCATGCATTCCATTACACTTAAACGCCCAACAATGAGACCAATCGTCCCTAGGACGGAGAGGGAACGATAAACCCACGTGTCGGTGCACCTTCAAACAAGTATGATCGTCGCAAATAGGGAAAGCTCGCGTACGTACTCTCATCGAGTGACACCTGATGCAAACGAGGCCTCGCGTGCATACATACTTGTTTGAAGAGACAGGAAAATATCTGGAGCCTCTCAGCGACCTCGTCCGCTGCAACTGCTCCCGCCCCCTTCCTGCGTAATTAGCGATGCCGTTTAAAAAATTACACAAAGCACACAGGGACGCGGAACGATCTCAATTGTTAATAGGAAACTGCAACGGATAGTTAGGTACATAAGAAAAAAATACAAGACGCCGACTCCATCTGCTGGAAGTTAAAATTAAAAAAAGAAAGATGAGAAGGCTCCGTCGTGAATCATTCGAAGACGCTCCGCAAGTTGAGGGGAACCCTCGCCCGGATGGACGTATCCGCACTTCTGGACAATTTCCCGGATTAATTGCATTCAGATCCCATGCACTCCTGCCTCGACCACGTCGTAGGAACCCTTTGCCACGTCCCTTTTTTTCGGAAAATCAATTTCTCAAGCTACTGATCGAGCGATGCGTAAATTCGCGCGGACGTGGGTCGATTTACTCTCCGCCTCCTCCTTTCGTCCAAATAGGAAAAGAGAGATTATCGATCGGCTTAGGGACTTACCGGGGAAACTGTGCTCGTCATCGCTCACCCCGCTGCGATCTAAACTCGGCGACTTGGCGGATTTTCTCCAACGGAAGCTGCGGAAGGGCGACTTGCTGCGGCTACGCTCCTTGCGCTTTAAAGTGCCGGACTCGGAGCCACCCTTGGGAGCTTAGGGGTGTGCACAACACATACGGATTTAGTCGGCTACTTACTCGGTCTTCCTGTCTCTCGACTTGCCTCGAAACCTTGACAACCCTAAGGGCGCCCTAAAGGGCCCTTTAAACCGTCTGGTTCATCCAAAGTGCGTCTATATCGCGTATATACTGGGTCTATACCGACGAGGTCTCCAAGCGCGACACATCAAAAGAAATAAAAAATAAAAATTCAGGAAGCATCACCCCGAAATTCTTGACACGATAAATAAAGGACGTGAGCAAAAAGTGAGCCGCATGGAAAAATCGCGCAGACCAGACGCACCTTGGATTTATCAACGTTTACACAGGGACATCATGCGACATGCTCATGCAGAGGTTCTCCAGGATCTTTAATCCTGCTACACGTGGTTATTTAGAGCCTCTACCTATATCTCTACCGCTCGAGACTACTTATTTAATGAGTGCAACATCGGGCAATGATCTACTGATTTTTTTTTTTTTTTTACGGAAAGGCGAGGGAGGAAGGCAACCATCGACCCCTTAAGTATCTCCGCGCTTCCCCGATGAAGTGCATTAATTAAATCCCTGGAGCACGAATGTAGCCGCAAAAGTGACAATTGAGCGCACCGAGAGTACATTAATTTGGTTACCCGTCTGACGTTAAATTTTCAAGTTTAAAGGCCTCTAAATGTAAAGAAAGTCGGATCAATCGTTTCTTCTCCGATGCGATGTTCGGGGTCTGCGAGAAGTGCGGCGAGGGAAGAGATGGCTCGATTACCGAGGTCATGCATCAATTACCGGCACTTAGGAAAAAGGCCCCGGCCTGGTCGGGGGTCGCGGTGCTCGATAAGGAATTTCGCAACATATCCTCGAAGGACTACGAGGGGAAGTACCTAGTTTTACTTTTCTATCCGTTCGACTTCACCTTCGTGTGCCCGGTGGAGCTGATCCAGTTCGGAGATCGCATCGAGGAGTTTCGATCTTCAGGTACCGAGTCATTACTCTTGGTATCCTTCCCCCTTACTTTTTCACATTTAATTTCAAGTCGTTCACCGTGAAGCTGCGGACATTACCGTCTCTTTAATCTCTAAGCGGTAAAATCATATTGAACGGCGCAATGGATAAAAATGAGATCCTCCTCCCAGGGACGGAGATCGTCGCGGTGTCGACGGATTCCGAATTCTCCCATTTTGCCTGGGCCACGACCCCCCGCAAACAAGGCGGCCTGGGCGACATAAAGATCCCCTTGTTATCGGACAAGAGTCACAGGATATCCAGGGCCTATGGGGTCCTGGACGAGGAGAAAGGGGTGCCCTTCAAGGGCCTCTTCATCGCGGACTGCAAGCAGGTTCTGCGCCACATGGCCGTACACGACGTATCGATTCCTCGATCCGTCGACGAGGTCCTCCGACTTGTAAACGCGTGTCAATACGTCGACAAATACGGGGACGTGTGTCCCGCGGGACTCTCGAAGAACGCGGAAAAACGGCCGCAAACCGAGTCGAAATGCGGAGCCCCGGGGAAAATCTCGGAATACTTCGCTGTATGTTAAACGGCCTTGTTAAAAACTAGGGAAAACAAAAAAAAATGAAAGAAACTAAACTTATCACCGAATACCCTGAAGAGTCGAATTAACGAGTACTGGTGCCTCCTTTTCATATTTTCATATTTAATTCTTTACCCTCGGGTGGATTTTCTTTAAGGGGTCGATGAGGTGCCCTTTTTCTTCCCGGTACATCGGGGACGGTTTTCTAGAGACTACACAATTTTTCTGAACGCTTGGTTTCGTTCTATTTTTTTTTTCTTTCTTTCTAATTTTCTTCACTTACTTGTCGGAGTGGATGCAACGCGGGCTGGAGATTTCGGAGTGGATGGTGTGACAGGTGGTTTCGCCTCTTCCGGTAACGACAGTCGCCCAGGCTTCTGAGCATGCACTACACCACACCAATTTCAAGTTCATGCTGTGTTCATTCAAGTACATCGAGTAATACGGGGCAATTACAGGGAGGGTACGAAAACCATCAGAGATAGAATTCGAGAATTCATACGTGGCGACATGCGAGGGTGTGCAGTGATAAGCGAGTTCGCGATCATTAAAATATCTCAAAGAACTACAAATGGAAAATTATTCGGCAATACGATGCAATTGAAATCTCGATAACCGCAGATAGACGCGAGATAAGAAAAAAATATGAACAAGCGTACAAAGTCCCAAAGCGACGAAGGTATATCTTTGTAGCTATGATTTTTCTTAGAAAAATTGAAGAAAAAAAAAATTAAATAAGTGCTTTGCGCAACAGACCATGCTTGATAAATTATGGGAAAAGCAGAGGGGGGTTATTTTTTTGCGGCGGGTAATTTCCTCCATTACCTTCTAAGTCAGCTTGGCATGGTAGTGATTAGAGAAATGCGTTGCTCAAGGGCGCGTCAAGATTCCTCAATTAGATAATCTCCGTATACCGAAATTCATAATTATAACTAGCACAAGTGGACGATGATGATCGGCCCCGTGTATCTCCATCACCTGTTAGAGAGGTTTAAAAAGCGACTAGACATCGACAAGTACATTGTTGCAACGGACGCTGGAATCTGCTGAAAGATGTAATTGTTAATCGAGAAACACGTAACTTGGGACAAGATAGGGAAAGATAGCCGATAGCCCGTTCCACCACCGTGATTAAGACCTGCTCGAGAATTAAAGGAGGATGTTACAAATTATAAACACAGGCGATCTACCAAAGTGCTGAATAAACAATTGCGGCATGAAGGGGCATGGAATGGATTAATTGCTCTTAACGAGCGTGGAAAATAATTCGGGAAAATTCTCGCGACTGCTTTCGCCTCGCATGAAGGTAATCCTCGGATAAAGTCGGGGAAATATAAGTCTTTTTTTTTTTTAACCCAGCACACTCACCTTCCTTGGGCTTTTCTTGAGGTTGCGGTGTACGTGTAGAAGCCTTGCGGAGTGCCACTGTAGTTTGTGCATTCCGTGCCGCATTTGGATGCATTTTTGGATAATGGTCACGGGGGAGGAATTGATACAGGAGGAGGGAAATCCGGGAAGGGATGGTTTACGGGTCAGGGTAGAGATTGAGGCAAAAACAAACGTGCTGTTAGCAGTGTCATGCTCTTCCGCGGTACCGCTCCATAAGACCAGAAGGTTGACGTCGAGGAGACGTTGTCGATTAAATGAATTACCAGACCACCGCCGAGTACACGACCCACACGGATACGACCGCAAACCTTCTAGTTTTACAGCATCACAGCAAAGATTACTCGAGTAAGCTCGTATTAGAGACGGAGAAAAGAGTAATCGTGGAAACGTAAGCCGAGATCCGCCGAGTCGAAACCGGGCAACCGTTCAGTTGCCTTCTCAAGGTTTACATAGAAATTCGCTAGCCGAAGTATCTATACCGTGCCGTACTCAGCTGTGCGTAACACACCTTTTTTACGGGCACGCTACTTTTAAAAGTGACTTTAAAACACTCATGTCCTCTTACCATGGGAGTCGTCTTCGCCGGCTGCGTGGTCCCGGCTCGGCGAGCCCTCACCGTCGGGTCTGAAATTCCAGATTTAATTTAACCCACCAAGGGAGTCTAAGTTCCTGGGTACTTAATTCCATAAATCGGTACACATCTTTAGTACAAAGTCATGTCATAAAATTAGTATAAAATCACCTGTCGCTGGGTGGTTCATCGGGACTAGTAACAGGGGTAGCTTTAGCCAACCTGGCAGCCTCTGCAGCGGCTGCTTCCTCCTTCTTGCGTCTCTCCTCTTCCTCTCTCTCCTGCTCTCGTCGCTTCAGTTCTTTCAGCTCGAACTGCCGGAAAACGTGGGTGTATACAAAATTGTCGCAGCAAAAGAGTTAATAGAAAAAATTCCACGTCGTTCCGACTTACGGTGGTGAGTCGTGCCAACGCGCTAAACCTCTCCTCCTGGGCCGCGGCGGACTTTTCGAAAGCCTCGTGCTTCTTGATCAGGTTCTCGACTTCGTCGATGGTATGCTGAAGAAAATAAAGGATCCTTATATCGCTCGATTTGCGTTCAATCCAGCAATTCCCACTTACACCAAGCTCCTGGCTCATGAGGTACGGTTCCTGGGCGATCAGCCAAGCCTCTGCAACCGCTGCATCCCTGGCGAACTGGTAGACCTCCAGGACTGGAAGATGAAGATGAAATGTATTTAAAGGATACCCGAAGAGCGACCATTAGGAGAGAAAAAAAAATCCTTACTGAGCTGCAGATTCTCCCAGCGTTCCTCCCAGCGATGCAGCAACGCGTTCCTGTGGTTGGTGAGAGTGGCCAATTTCTCCTTGATCTGGGCACTGGCATAATGGTTCCTGGCGAGGAGGTCCTTGCCGAGGTTAATGCACGCCATGAGGTTGTCCTCTCTGGTGTCGATCTCAGCCTTCAAGCTCTGGTGATTGTTCATGAGGAGCTCGACGCCGGACACGTCCCTCGGTTTCTCGGAGGTGTTCATCTGCCTGACGACGTCGTCCATCCAGATCATGAGAGTCCTGACCATGTTGAAGAACCGGAACAGGTCCCCGGTATCCTCGAGCTTGGCCTTCCTGCCCTCGCACAGGGACTGTAGATTATTCCACGCTGCGACCACTTCGGCCTCCCTGTTAGTAATTTCCCTAGCCTTATCCCCAGCGTAGCTGGCTTGCAACTTGGCAGACTCTTCCTGGATCTGTGAGACCTGGCTCTGCAAGGTAGAGAGGTCCTGGATGAAATTGGCGTGCTTCCTCTGGAGGGCGGAGACGGAGCCGGCGTCGCGGCCCAGCTCGTCCGACATGGCGTTCTGCTTCTCGAGGATCCTGCCGAGGACGTCCTTGCAGTCGTGGAAGAACTTGTGGAGTTCCCTGCTGGCGGCCAGCATCTGAGTGCGGGTCTCTATCAGCTCCAGGAGGTCCTGCCAGACCTCGTTGAGGCCGTCCTTCCATTCGGCGATGGTGGCAGCGTCGGAGTGTCCCGTGGCGATCAGGGAATCGGCGATGCCGTTGACGGCGGCGACCCTCTCCGAGCCGATGGTGTCGGTGTCCCTGGCGAACTCCTTGAACCTCTCCCAGAGCAAGGTGACGTGGTCGTAGTCCTGGCCTAGCTCGTGACTCCCGGCCACCAGCTCCCTCTCGGCGATCCACTGCTCCAGGTCGTCCACCTCGCGGTTCAGCATGAAGAGCTGGAGAGCCTCGTCGAGCTTGGCGCGACGTTCCCCGGCGAGGTCCTTCAAGCCTGCATAAAGCTTGTCGACCTGAGACTGTTTGACCGCTATCTGGTCGGCCAGAGGATGCTTGTCGTTGATGAGCTGCCTGGCGGTCTCGCCGAGCTGCCTGACAGTGTCGGCGTAGTCCTCGACCGCGTGCTCCAAGGACTCGTGCTTCTTCATCAGGTTCTGCGCCGAGATCTCGTCCTTGCCCCGGTCCTCGACCATCATGTAGAGCTCCTGTTCGCTCATCCAGGACTCCGCCTCGGTGGCGTCGAAGAAGTACTGCTGGGCCTTCTCGTTCTGCAGGAGCTGCCTGTTGCGGTCGTCGACGGCGTCCTTGAGCTCCCTCCACTTCTCGGTTAACTCCGAGATCAGCCTGGTGAACTCCTGGCTGTCCTCGTGGGCCTCGTCTATCAACTTCTGCCCGTTGTGGCAGACCGAGTTGATCCTCGGCTCGTGGTTCTCGATCTCGGTCCTCAGGGACTGGTTCTTCTTCTTCAGCATGTGGACGTTGAAGAGGGAGTTGCCAAACTCGGTGCTGGTGGCCTGGGGCATCTTCTCGGCGATCCAGAGTTTCTCGTCCTCGACGTCGCGCCTGAACTGGAAGGCCTCCTTCTTCTTCTCGAGATGACGCTGCCGGTCGATAAGCGGCGCCTTCAGCTGGGCGAACCTCTGGGCCACCTTCTCCTTCTTGCACTTGATCTCCTCCATCTTGTCGTCGGGGACGGTGCGCTGCAGATGCTCCGCCTGTTTGTCGAGCTCGGTCACCTGGCGCGCCTTCACGGCCATCTGGGTCTCGATCATCTGCTGCTTCTGCATCAGGATGTTCACCGAGGCGAGGTCGGACCCGGTGTCGGTGCTCTCGATCTGCTTCTCCAGCTCGTTCATCCAGGAGTCGATATCGTCGCAGGTCTGGTGGATCAGGACCTCGCGGTTCGCGTCGAAGAGTCGCTCCCCCTTGTCGTGGGTCGTGGTCTTCAGCTCCTCGAACTGGTCGGCCAGCTCGGCGACCTTCGGCGTCACTATCTCCGCCAGCTCGGGCTTCTGTTGGATCAGCTCGTCGGCGGCCTGCTGGAGTTGCTGAAGACGGTCCTTGTTGCTGGCGATCTCGGCCTCGAACGCCTGGTGCCTGGTCCACTTGCTGTGCACCGTCTTCGCGCTCCTGTAGGTCTCGTCCTGAGCGGTGATGTGCTTCTCCTGGACCCACTCCCCGAGTTCCTCGCAGTCCTGGAGGAACATCTGCAGCTGCAGCTGGTCCTTCAGCCTCTCCATCAGCTGGTTGGCCTTCTCCCGGTTGATGTTCCTGCGCTCATTGATACTCTCCGCTTTCCTCTTCACCTTGTCGGCGGCGAAGTGACCCTCGTCCACCAGCCTCCCGGCAAACTGGACCACGGAGTTGATCTTCTCGTCGTTGGCGTCCATGGTGGTCATGAAGGCCTCGTGGCGTTTGATCATGTTCTCGGCCTGCTCGAAATTCGAGGGCGTCTCGTCCTTAGCCAGGATATGCTCCTGCTGGGACAGGAGGACCTCCGCCTGGCGAGCGTCCCGATCGAAGACCTGAAGATTCAGCGAATTGGACAACAAGTTCTGCCTATTAGCCCACATCTGATGCAGCTCCTCCCAGCCCATCTTCAAGGCGTTCAGCCTCTCCCTCAGGAACATGTACTGCGTGTCCCCGTCCCCGGCCTCGCTGGTCAGTCTCTCCCCGTACTCCATCATTTTCTGGTAGTCGTCGATGTAGTTGTCGATCTCCTCCTTGATGTTCTGATGCTGGGTGAGGAGCTTCTCGGCGTCGGTGAGGCTGGTCGGGGTGTCCTCGCTGGCGACATCCGTCTGCGTCTTGGTCAGCCACGCCTGGAAGTGGTCCAGGTCTCTCAGGAACCGGTGGAGGTCTCCGGCCTCCTCCAACTTGGCGTCGCGCTCCTTCAGCATCTGCGTCAGCTGTTCCCAGATCGCGTGGATCTGGGTGATCCTCTCGCGGATGACGGCCGCCTCTTCTGGGTGTTCCTGCTCGATAATCTGCGCCTCCTTCTCCAGGGCGTCCAGCTTGGCCTGAATGGCGGCCAGGTCGCGCTCCATGCCGCTCAGCCTCCTCTGGAGGGTCATCACGCCCGTCAAATCCATCTCCAGGCTGTCGGTCTGCTGCAGGATCCTCTTCTTGTCCTCGATCCAGGACACGGTCTCCCTGCACTCGATGTGGAAGGTCTGCACCCCATGGGCCGAGTTGAGGGCTTCCCTCTTGCCCTCCGCCTTCTCCCTCAATTCCGCCCACTTCTGGTTCAATGCATTCTGCCGGGCGACGATCTGCTCCGAATTCGGATGCTCCACGTGCAGGAGCTGACGAGCGAGCTGGTTCACCACGGCGACCCTGGAAGCGTTGGCGTTCATCTCCTTCTCGAACCCGTCGTACCTGTGCTTCATGATCTCCACGTCCTCGATATCCTTGGCCGGGACCATGGTGTCCAGCATCCGGTTCTTCTCGCCGATCCATTGCTCGACGCCATCGGACTCGCTGAAGAGCTTGTACAGGGAAGAGGCGTCCAGGAGTCGCTGCTTCCTCAGCTTAGCGAGTTCTAGGAGCTCCTTGTACCTGGAGTCGATGGACTCAAGCCTCTCCAGGACCTCTGGCGACTTTGCGTCCTGCTCCCCTAGCTGGGAGGCCTGCTGGTGGAGCTGTTCGATGGTCGCCGCGTAGTTCTTCAGCTCGTCCGTCACGTCCTTGTGCTTCTTCAGCAACGACTGCACGTTCGCCTCGTCCCTGCCGACGTCCTCGGAGGAGACGAGTCGCAAGGTGTCCAGCATCCAGATGTCGACGTCGTCGGCGTCGGTGAAGAGTTGGTGATAGTCGACGGCCTCCTCGAGTCGCTTGCGCCTGAAGGCCGCCAGGTCGAGGAGGTGGTTCCACATGCCCAGGATCTCCTGGAGGCGTTCCTGGATGCGATCCGAGCCGAAGTGTTGTTGTCGAACGAGCTCGTCTCCTACGGCCGCGACGGTCATCAGCTGCGGCTCGTGGGACTGTATCTCGTTCTCCAGGGCCTTGTGCTTCGATAACAGGAGGTTGATGGTCGTCAGGTCGTGCCCGATGTCCCCGGTGGAGACGATCTGCTCCTTCTCCTTGATCCAGTTCTCCTCGTCGGCCATGTCCCAGTAGAACTGCCAGAGCTTGCGGGATTCTTCCAGTCTGGCTCTTCTTTCCACGGCGAGTCGCACCAGCTCGGCATAGGCGTCTTCCAGCTGCTGGACTCGCTCGACGATGATGGTCGGGTCGCAGGGACGATAGCCCTCCCCCTGTTCGAGGAACTTCTGGCTCTGCTGGACCACGGCCTTGACTCTCTCGCCCAGGACGTTGATGTCGGCCTCTACCAGCGAGTGCTTCTGCAGAAGGTCCTCGACGCCCATGAGGTGCTTCCCGTAGTCGTCGGTCAGCAGCCTCATCTTGATCTCCTCCATGCTGTCGAGGATGTAGAGCATCTCCTGGAAGTTCTGCTGCAGGTGAAGCGAGGACTCGAGTCTGAGCCTCCTGGCGCGGAGTAGCTCCAGGAGGTAGTGCCAGAGCCGGAGGACGTTGTCCTTGCGCTGGTTGATCCTCTCGATGTCGTGGTACTTCTCGGCCTCCAGCTCCTGAGAGACAGCCATGACGGCCTGGACGCGCTCCTCGTAGGCGAAGATATCCGTCTCTATGGCCTCGTGTTTCTTCGCGGCGGCCTCCACGGCCGCCAGGTCGAAGCCGAAGTTGTCCTGGGAGACGAGTCGCTGGTTCTCCGAGAGCCAGGTCTCCCTCATGCTCGCCTTCCGGTTGAACCTCGCAGCCAGCTGCTCCAGCTTCTCCTGACGGATGAGCTCCTCCCTCAGGGCGAGCTCCCGCTCGTGCTCCGCCTTCTCCAGCCTTTCCCAGGCCTTGTTTATGTCCGAGATCATCTTGCCCTCCTTCGGGATGTACGGCTTCTGGTTGTTTGCCCTCATCTTCGACTGCAGGGTGAAGAGCAGCACCTCCAGGTTGCCCTTCTCCACGAATTTCGGGGGTTTCTCGACGGTCCTGTAGTTAGAGAACTGGGACAGCTGGGACTGGACCCCGACGAGGGAGTTCGCGAATTTCCGTCCCGCCAATGCTTGGATGGTCGCCTCGATCCACCTCAACAGGTCGCTCGTCAGGCTCTCGTACTCGTGGATCATCCGGTCGTTCTCCATCGCGATGCCCACCACCTTGCCGATCCGCTTACCCTGGACCGTCTCCTGCTTCATCTTCGAGAAGTAGTGGTAGTAGGTCACCACGTACGTGATTATCGACTTCTCGTCCGGGTGGTCGACGAAGATGTCCTCGGCGTCGAGGAGCTTCGTCAAGCCTAACTTGTCCTCGGCGACGTTGAACGCGTTGTTCAGGTTGTAGATCGCGTTCGACTTCGACAGCTTATCGAAGTGGATCAGGTCGGGACGGTGCTTGTGGATAATGGCGTTGAACGCGAGGCCGTCCCTCCAGGAGGTCGTGAAGTTCCGGACGTTTACGTTGTGGTACCCGGCGGTCTTCATCTGGCACCAGAGGAGAAGCGCGTCCTTGGCGGACTTGGTCTCCTGGTTGTCGGTCTCCTCGATCGTGATGTCCTGGATCTGGAAGCGCAGGATTATGGTCCAGATCAGACCCAAGCTCAGGCGAGGGTTCCCGTCGACGATGTCGTGCGAGCCCATGTTCTCCAGGTGGACTCTCTGCTCCCGTAAGAACTGCAGCGCCTTGTCCACGTTCTCGAGACAGTGGATGCGCATCTTCCCCTTCGTCGGCCGGGGTAGCCGCTCCCCGGAGAGGATCTCCAGGAGTTTTATCAGCATCTTGCCGTCCCGCAGGTCCACGTATAAATCTCCGATCCTGCAGGAGCATCTCACCAGGTGGGAGTTCACCCACTTCTGGAACGTCTTCTTCTGGACCGACTCGCGCTCCCCTGCGGAAACCAATTTTTCATTCCTTTCGGACCCTTATCGAAAATATGAAAATATGAAAAAATGAGAGACCACAAAATGTCTAAAGCATGAGAAATATTAGAGATATGAAAAATTTCGAAAAACAATATAAAAAAACATGTCAAAGCCATCAGAAATAATCCCGCTCCCATTATCCACGGGCTGTGATCAAAGGACCTCCGACTCACCGGCCAGTGCCTTGATTCGAGACCGTTCGAAGAGCCTGGAGCTCGAGTTCCCTCCATCGTATTCGTATTCATCGACGATCTCTTGCTGAAGCGTCGGGTCCCAACCCGAGCGCACCACCGAGATGTCGGTCGTCATCTTCTCAATCGGACCAACAGCTCACTTTACCCTTCTACGGGGCGAACCTGGAAAAGGTCGAGAGGATGTGAAGAAGGTCGAAAAATCAAATTCGAGAGGGTTACGCAACGTGGATGGGCAAAAAAGGAATAAAAAGGAAATAAAATTAAAGACGTTCCCAGAGACTCGAGGAAGGCGAGGGGATCCGAAAGGCCATTTTCGGAGCGGTCCGCCAAGGTCGGAGGCCTCGAATAAATGCATTCCCTCTCGAGGCTGGAACCACCTCGGGCCGTCATCGTGTGGTTACATCACTCGCATGATGTCACACGCGCAAATTACACGCTCGCGGGATATATACGCACGCCGGAGCGTGCCATAAATAATGCGACAGAAAGGTGCACCGTTACGCTCGTGAAAGCCCACGGCTCGAGGCGAACCTCCGAGGAGTCGTCGTGAAGGATCGCGCGATGCGAGTACGCCCCGTAGTACGCACAAAATATATGCTCTGGATAATATTAAAAAAATA